GTCAAGTCAGGTATCAGGACTGGTGTTTAATATTAAGAACAAACAATTCACATTTGTCAACAATTTACGTTCCATTGTCACCAGTTGTTCCCTTCTGAGCTGGCTAAGCTGCTTCTTGCTTAAAAAGATACGATACTGTGATTTATATCTTACAGTCGATTAGGACTATGATATAGTCTCATAGATTGACGTCTGTCATCTGGTTTAGCTCTCATCCCTTTAATGTATTCCGTATGATTTGTAGATGATATGCAATACATATACATGTATCAGGTGAACTAATAAACAAAGCTATCTTAACTTGTTGAAAAACACCTGATATTATATTCATGTTTTAATGTTTATCATATGAATATCTATCTGTATGTGATAAACATGATATGACAATCATTTCACTTCTACTACATATATCAGTTTATCTTCTGTTCGGTTGTATCAGAGGCTTAAACCTTTTTCTTTCCTTACCCTTTCGGGATCCTTGATCACTCCACCCCATAAATCTTTTTCATATCGGAGAATATAGCCTGTCGGAAGAGAAAGACTGAAAATGTTATTGTCCGAAAATATTATGCTAGACTACGTAGATGTTAGAAAAGAGGGGCGCTTGGTCGCTATCTCACTTTTTGTCTTGAGCCTGACATTTATGATATTAACTTTCACTTTGATTTTATTTGTAATATTTCGACAGTTTAAACAATATAAAATTGAAAAAAAAAACTTACCATCTCCATAAACTAAATAAAATTCACAAAATAAAATGATAAATCCTGCCAAGTTATGCCACATTTCGAACAATTTAATTTTCTTTCAAAGACCTCACAAATAAACTCTGAACTAAAGAAATAATTAATGTCATAATTAAAAAATTCTTAATAATGAAACCACTTGTTGGCCTTCCTGTTAACTCTTATTGAAATGGTTAAAATTAACTGCGCGGCACTTGAAACTCCCGCACGTCATACCAGTTCTGTTTTCGCGTAGGCAATTCCTTCAAGTAGTAGGAGAGTTTTTACTGTGCTGTTAAAAGCTGCAAAAAACGCCCCGTCAACACATGTAGGCCATGTAATTTATTTTTAGTGCATCTGGTTGCATTTTGTGAATGAATGAATGACATATATATCCCTTAATCTAAGATATCTGTATCACTTTTCATAATTCAAATTGTACGTCCAGATCATTTATAATCAATCAAATTACCATTCAGAGCTCAATCAATTAGCGTATCGTTAATATTTGCTAAGGTGTGGCTGGAAATTTTTATTCTGCGGTTCGTTTCCAATTTGACCCAATTACAGTAAAGAAATTGATTCCGTCACCAAATGGATATTGCTTGATATATAAGTGGATTGTGAGACTGATAAGAAAAAGAAATAAAATGGTTATTAAGAAGAAACGTTCCCCATTTTCATAATGATTAGTTTGAATGGTTTATACATAAAAATCAAGAATAAAATAAATTAGTTCTCTTCTCAGGTTAAAAAATTAGTCAGCTATTCTAATTAGCAGCCAATTCTAATTAATTTCACGTCATGTAACAGACAGACTCGGCGTATTGACATTTAAAAGCGGATAGAAACACTTCAACGTTTTTACTTTTCTAAATTCGACTTCTTTACATGCATGTTACATATATTAACTTGCAGGCTTGTGAAACCCAAAACCTCGTTTTGTACAATAAAAAAATCTTCTTTTAATGAAACTAATCTAAAATGTCGGTACGATAGAGAGAGCTTATCTTTCAACAGAACAAAGACTGCGTTTATTCCTCGCCCGGTTGTACTAAAATCAAATAAAGAATTGAATAACTTGGTTTATAAAAGTGAAAGAATGAATCTTTGTTGATTAGATAGATAAGTTTGAATTATTCCAATTTTCCCATAGCTTTCTAGCAGACCACACGAGTTCCTGACAGCAATATTCATATTTTAAGCAAGGTGCGTTATGATAATTGTGGATTTAATAGTATGCAGTAACCAGGGGGTAAGGATGGCATGTAGGCTAATCACACCTGTTCAAAGAGTGCGTTTGTCCAAACCATCTCTGTTGATGATGATCTGTTGTCAATAACACTGTAGTTGTCTGTCGTCAGAGTGATTTATAATATTCAAAGTTTTTTGCTTTTTAGGCTATACTGGTTAAACTGAAATATCCTCTTGGCTATGGAAAAATACTAGCCATAGACAACTTCAGAAAAAAGTTGCCGGTCCCGGTCTTGGCCATTTTAAGTTGATATTCAAGTCTACTAGAATGGTGGACATTCTCTTTCTCACAAGCACCAATGCTACTTTCAGAATCTTCATCAATGAGACCTTTATATAATCTCGCTCGACACTGATCCTACACATTCCTCGGCCGTGATATGGTGTATGGTAACAACTTCATGTTAAGGGACAATGTTTTTACTTGATATCCAATAAATAGTATCAAAATACTAATAGCATCACTTTGTTACTAAAGGGCTTGTAAAGAGATTTTCTTTACTTTTTATGTGTATCGGGGACACTGATAGCTTCAATTTGCACCATTCCAATTATCATTCCGACGTCTGTGGTTCATGGGAACTGCATATATATGAATAGTAGTTTCCGATAGCTCCCCTCTGGTGACGTCATAAAACGCGTCAGTTTTAGTGGAATTGCAAGAACCACAGACGTCGAAATGAAAATTGGAATGGTGCAAATTGAAGCTATCGGTGTCCTCGATACCCATAAAAGATTTAGAAACCTCTTTACAATCCCTTTAATGGTTTAACATGTAGTATGTTAACATAGTGCCTTGACTAGGTCCATTATTATATTTTATCGGGCTCTCTGTAAGGGATTCCGATTCGACTATGTCAGAACTTGTATTCGGTATATGATGTGATTAGTGGTGGCTCAACTGGTTCATGAATCTGGATTTATTCTATTTGTAAGCTAGTAATGTCTTCAATGCGTTAAATGTATTAAGTCCAAAAATAGTCAAATTATAATTCCATTACAATGGTTGCCTTAGCCCTACAGAAACTACATGCACTCTGCAAACTTGGTTGCCAAATTATACATTAGCTCTTTATAGTCTACAGTTAGTGGGGTTTTTTTTGTTGGGCGCTACAAGCTGGTCATTTTAGGTTCAATAAAAACATTTGGTATTTCAGATTTTTATCAAAATCATGTTTCATACAATTACGATATCTTAACAAAATATAAACAATAACAACAACAATATTTATGTACATGTTAGTAATATTAGGACATAACTCTTAGTACCGTAGTTATGTTATATTTTTCCTCTGATTTCAATCATATCCTCTTAATATTCCAGCTACATGCATAATCATTCCCATTGGCTTATATATACATAATATTTAGACCTTAAACCTGCGTGCTTGCATACTTACAATGGTAAACAGATTCATATGTTTGCAGTTCCGCAAAAATATTACTTTTTTGACAAAAGGTGTAACGCTCAGTCTATTCCAAAGTTTCAAAATATGAGTTTTAATTTTAAAGAAGCTTATTACTATCTTGACAACTCTTTCAATAAAACGAGAATGAATGGTTATGGAAACAAACTGAATTGTGGTTTTACATGAAATTCAATGAACACATAAAAAATGGGTGAAAATTCCAAAAATATTACAACTTATTATCAGCATGATCTTGGTGTTAAAGTTTTAAATAATAATGAAATGATAAATTGGCAAAATAAAGCAAAAAATCTAAAAGATTTAAGTTATCAAGTTCATATAAAAAAGCATTTAATGTTTAAAGTCAATAATGTACAATGTACAAACTTGATGTGTGACACATAAAATTGACTTGTAATTATATATTGGTGATGCAAATCATTCTTCAAATTAAATTATTACACATGGACATAACCTTACAAAATTATTTTACGGGAATATTAACTCCCTTACAAATCTTTCTCTAAACTATTGGCTTCCATGACAGTTCCAGGTATTTCCATATTAACAATGGCTTTATCATTGGTAACTATGGAGTTTTGAATAACTTGGTTCTGATTGGCTGGTTCTGTTTCTATGATGTTTTTCATATTGATATCATTAGTATCATTTACTTCCATATCAACATCTGATTTCACAAATTTGTTCAAATCTGTTTCCGCAAAATTGTCCAACTCTGGTTCCCTTAAACCATCCAACTCTGGTTCCACTGTTTTTGATTCCTGAATTTTAACGCCACTTTTAACAGAGAGTACAGCTGGTGTTTTTTCCTCCCAGGGTGAAAACGGTTTGATTGATACACCATAGGGATCCTCATCCCCACCTGTAGCTTCTGTATTATATAACAGACTTCTGGATTTACCTGTAATATAAAGATATACAGACATTAGATAACCAGTGAAGAAGAGTATTGTAAGTAGGAAGGTCTTCAGAGGATACTCTTTAAGATATACAGGATTTTAGCATCAGGACATTTTACTGTGGGTGTACATACTGATTTACACAGTAATATTCTGGTTAAATTCTCTTTTTTAGAAAACCAAATAATTATAACTCATTGGTACACAAATAACTAATGCTAACAATATTGACCAGTTGAGTGTGCACAAGCTAGATATGGAGGGCTTATATGATAGGTATCAACCACTATTAAAAATCTGTAACTGACCTGGCATAACAACTGATTTAGGATGATCTGGTGAGGTAAGAGATGAACGACCTGATAAAGGACTGAAGTTTGGTACAACCAACAGAGCAAATGATAGTAACAAAACCTGAAAAATACAGCAAAGTATAAAAATATCATAAATAGAAGATTGTGATATGAAATAAATTTTAATTTCTTAGTTTGCACTGCTTTATATGATAAAATTGTGAATTTGTGAAAGGCTGACAAGACTACATTCAATTTCTGATTTTCAGTTTCTCTGCCATGTAGTTGTCAATTAAAATTTCACCACCAAGTTTTATGCTTACTTATGCAAGTTATTATAGAAGGGCCATAACTCCAGTTATAAGATAAACCTACCATAATACAAGTTGTGGTCTGAGCTGGTTTTGATTTTGATGTAACAAGAGCTTGTAATTTCTTTAACTGGGCCATCATACTCCTACATAATTATAAAACATATTGTATCACATTGTGTTATTTAACTACCATGTGTTTGACAATATAAGCAAGTCAAAGGTCAAAAGGTTAATTTGATGAAGGCTCAAGAGAGCTGTCGTTAGACCCTAGCTGAAGTGGCTATATTAAAAACAAAAGTTAATGAACATTTTTTAATTTGACTGGCAAGTAGAATAACTTCAAATAAAAGAACAGTGCAGTATATGTAGTCAACTTACCCGTAAACCAAATTTATTCTATGGCAAATTAATCATAACTCTAAAATCTCCTAAATTCGGATCAAAAAATGATCACTACATTCACATTTCTTACTTCAAATTATCAAGACTATTTAACTTACATGTTTTGTTTTTCCAAATTTTCAATTTTCTTCTGTAGCTGTGAGTTTTCTGTTGTACATAATTTAACTCTATGTTCTAATCCATCTACATATTCCACTTTACGTTTTCGACTTTCTTTAGCTGAGACTTTATTTCTGATTTTACGTCGAACTGTTCGTAATTTCTTCTCTTCATCTTTTGTTAATGGCATATTGGTTGGTAGGCTGATGTTCTCCCTGGCTAATAGTTCTTTTTCTTCATCAGTTAGACGTAATAATGGAAACTAGAGAAGAATTATTGATTTATATTCTACTGTAATTGGTAAAGTAAACTAAAGAGGTTCCATGAATGTACACATGTGATACACAAAATATCTTTTGAAAGGTTTACATCCTGACACCTGTATACAAGATCTACATATTTACCCCAGTTAGAACAAAAACACATATAATTAGGCTTATTGTAATGTTACAAATATTACAAAAAGTCCACGCAAAACAGTAAGCTAGTGTTCCTGTACTTGGAAAATTTTCCCACTGGACACTGCACGACTTTGCTTGTCTTCAATTGCTCATTTTAGGTGCATAAAAGAAGGACATACAACTGCACATAATTTTTCTCCATTGCATAGAATTTAATCTCACCTGATTTGATGAAGAGCTTGTTATGTCAGGGCTACAATCTTTCATAGTAAATGGTAAACTATCACCAGAGGATGATCTTGAGTGATATGAATGAATCTGTACTGTTTTATTTCTATGACAAGTATCTACATCTACAGCTGATATAGAACTATCACTCACAGTTGATGATGGGATATCTGAATAAAACATATCACTACTGTATTAACACAATCACAAGGAAACAAAGTATTCTTATCTCAAATAGCAAATTCTAAGGTAAAAATCTAGGCCTTATATTATTGATGATCATCAAGATCAGATCAGAGTCCTCATTTATAGGATTTTTCATCATTCTGGCCCTTAATTAGAATTGGTTTAGAACAGGTGCTTGACTTTTTCTATTAAAAAAAAACACTGACTGAAGTATTTATTGGGTCATAGCCAATATCAATAAATAACTAATAAGCTAGGTCTACTATAAGCAAGAATCAATAATTCAGAATCAGGTAACCTACCATGAAAATCAATGGAGATGTCATTCACTTCTTTTGATGAATTTAAACTGTCTATTTGATCTAACAATGATGGTGGTGTAGTAACACTTGAAAAATTCACATTAATGTCCTTGAGGTTAATATCTTCTATTTCAAAACCTGACATGTTATAATCCATTATGTCTTTATTTATGGTTGAGAAATCTTGATCTGTTGAATTTGAGGCTGAGAAAATGTCGTCTGTCATCATAATTTCTGAGTGATCTGAAGGAGAACCATGTGGTGAACCAGACATCGACTCAAGGGAGACGCCACTGTCACTGTTGGATCCTGGAGATTTCTGTAAGATGTAATCATGGTCAGCGTGAACTTGTTTGGCTACGGAGTTATCCAAGGCTGTTTCTTCTGCATTATTTAGGATTTCATCACTCAGAAGTGTAGGGAATATATCATCTGATAAAATATCTAGGTCAGCCTGTAAAGAGAAAAACAGTTGGCATGATTAAACTCTATGAATGAAGTACAAAGTCAAGTTGACTTAGGAAAGAGAGGAAGAAACAGCCAGTCTTAAGAAAGATAACAACCTAGGTTCGTGGTATTGTTGATCTTGGTATTGATCTTTCGTACCCGTTTATAGCTGGTTTAACTGGAATGATGAAGAAAGATGAAACTCAACTCTAGCTGAAGATTCAGAGCACTTTAAGCATTCAGCTAGTAGCATGAACAAAATATCTTTTAACTGTACCATAGTTACTAACATTGACATCTTCCCAGAATGAACAATCCCATTCTTCGCAAACATTCAACATCTCAAGTTCAGAGAACTTGACACCATCACTGGCAAGTGTCATTTTGACAATTGACACACTTTTAACTCCTTTTCACAAATTTTCTCCACAAGGAAGCCTATGCCCTAAATGTTAGGGCTTATGTTACATTGGAGTCAACTAAAGTCTATGTGTTCCTCAATCAATATTCTTTGAATCTTGGACAATCCCTGTCACTGTCAGCTGATAGTGAAAAGCTGTTGCAACATTTCAAATTGTGAGTCATGTCCAGTATGAACTGATCTTCATGTAGGTCTACAAAACTTCCACGTCTGCTTCAATGATGGCATGGAAATTGCGTTGCAGAATAAGACATCATATGACATACTTACCAAATCAAAAAGCTTAAGATCGCTGATGTCGTCGGTTGGGCCAAGTTCCACTGAACGGACTGGTTGTGTGTTTTTGGCATTCAAATTCCGTTGATATTCTGGCAATTCTCCCGATAAAACTCCATCATTTTGATCAAATAAAAGATCAAGAATTTGCGACGAATTAGAAAACGACATCTTGAAGAAGTTACATCAGATTTCTGGTGACAAAAACTCTTACTGTCAAGATGAACGACGTGGAACTAATAATGGGAGAAACTACACGTCACTATCAACAAAATACCAAAACAAACCAGGAAATCCCTATAATGTGCGTGCTTCCGGTACATTAACTAGGGATTTTCTTCGTCAAATACCGTCTAAATAAATAAAATTTAATTTAGAAAGATGCTGGAGACTTCTATTACTCAAAAACCAAGAAATTGTTTTATGTTTGAAAATCATAACATCATCAAAAACTCTTCAAATATCACCTTTCACAGAAAACCTTCTAAAATTACAAATATCTATTTTTAGTAACAATTGTCAACACGGCGGTGACGTGGAAGTAGGTCAAATGACGAAATCATCACTTCCGGTCTAATTATTTTATCTTTGATTGTCAGGTCTTTTTTTCTTTAGAGAGATTTTTGACCAAAGACTGGAAAATCAAATCTGTAATGAAAAGTGGTGGTGTCTAGTTAATGGTTATAGAAATGCAGTATTCGATCCTTAAATAGAGATTCTCCATTTTAACTTGTAGTCCAAACTAAATGGACACAAAAATGTGTTATCTTGTCCATTCTGGCGTTGCACATAAATCTGTCAGGTTTGCAGGCATTTGCACAAATCCAAATACAATTTTTCTCTTCGTCATTTGATAAAGTTTCATTTTAGTGCGTGTAAAAAAAGATGTTGGATCTTGAAAATGATTTCGAAAAATCCCGACAACACAGAACGATATTATTAAATATTCATATAAAAGATGGCCAATTATGCTTTAATAAACTCTAATAAGAATGGAAAAAAGTGATAACATTTCAATGCACCTTTAATTGAGATGTTGCTCCAAATTCTATATTTTTACTGCACTACTAATCCAACATGTCTGACATGTAAACAAATCACAAAATTGTCGCGCGAACAAGTTTCATAACTTTCCTTTTCGCCTGACTGATAGATAAAATGGCCATGGAAGATAGCATAACTGGACTGTTTGAAAACTGTGCAAAATCCACATTCAGGATGACAATCGAGCTTTTATAACTCAGCCAAAATTAGACAGAGATAACAAAACACAAATTTTGAAACGAACACTTCACAACACTTTGTTCAAAGCGATTCAAGAAATTGATGCAAGAAAAACTGACAAACCCACCCCAGTCAAGAAAGAGATTGACAAAGTTCTGTGTTATGCATTTAATCTAAGACTAAAGAGAAAGTTTTCTGAGGCCAGCAAACTTGAATATTTTTTGGAAAAACTTTTGAAATTGGATACTGAAAATAATGGACAAATCATGCCAGTGCTTGCTTTCATAAGTGCTTTAATTGATTCAAACGAAACCTCAAGATCTGAATTTAACCCTGTGATAAGCGATGACAGTGCTAAAATACCTACAGTGTATGAAGATCCTAATTTGGAACTGTTTCTACCAGATGGTCCTTTGAATTATGGTGACAATAGGACATCAGTCATTGATAGACAGTGGTACATGCATTATCCTTCAGAAATATTTGAAAGTATGAAGACACTACATAAAGAAAGTGAAGTGAAAACAATATCTGTGTTTGACATGCCCCCAGGTTCTAGTCTATCTGGAAATGGTCTATTTGATATGAAGGGCTGTTTAAATGATTCCTATGAACAGAATAATAAATACAGTTTATTTGGTGCTTTAGTTCAGTCCAAAGTTACATCATTGGATGTACGATTAGAAATTCCTGAATTCACTAATGACAATTTTGTGCCTGAAATCAAAATTCCTCAAACAATATCAATGGGACAGTTATCTGAAGATGAAGGTTTTGTGGAAACTAAGTCAGAGATGTCATCATCTGTTACAAGTGCCATCGATTCTGGTCTGGAAGATGATATTTGGGAGCAAGCTTTGTCTCATACCCTAAATAGACATTACACTTGGGAAAGAATTGGATGCGAGGCTGGTTTAACTGAGAAACCATTCATTACAGAAGCAGGAACTGAAGCATTCGACCAATTTGCTTTATTTAAAATATGTCAATCAATTTTGCTATATGGAGAAACGGAAGTGCCAGCTAGAATTAAAGTGACTGAGAGAGAAATGGTTAGAGATGTGATCTATCTTATGATAGGAGTGCCTTCAAAAACTTTCACTTTTGATCATGAATCTGACAGTTTTGTTTTCACCCCTGGTGTATTTGTTACTGGACATTCAACCGAATCATTGTCTATATTTTTGAATGACTTCTTAGAGTGTGGCTCAAATTATAGGAGACTAGCCCAATTCTCTGAACCACTTAAACAAGATTCTTATTATGAAGCTGGTCTTGTGTTTCAAGCATTTACCACAGCAATACGTAAAGTCCTAAAGTTTTACACAGCAACTATTCTTTCTATAGATACTGAATCAACATTAATGGAAATCAAGTGCGTATGTACCAGACTTTTCAGTCAACTGGAATTCTTAATAAAAGTCACTTGTCACAGAATAACAACTATGTCATCAGGAACAGAAATAGAAAGATTCCCCAAGGGTATTGAATTGATCAGCTATCTCTACAAAGAAACCTTGGAAGCCAACAGTACAGACAATTACCCAATGATGTTGTCTATACTTCAGACAACTTGTGGTCCCTTTACACTTTTCCTCCAAAATTGGGTTTTCCATGGAATTTACCAAGATCTGTATGGAGAATTTACCATCCAAGTGAATCCTAATTACCTTGAATACAGAGATCGCCAGTACTGGACACATAGTTTTGTTATGACGACCCAAAAGTTTGAAGACTGTGTCCCAATATTTTTAAGTGATCTAGCAAGTGACATTATTGTTTGTGGTAAAAGCTTGAACCTCTTAAAGCTCTGTTGCCCTGAACATTTTATGTGCAATGTGACTGATAAAGATATCCCGAGAGTAACTATAACTTTCTCTGAAGAAGACCTTATACACATTGATATACAGAGTCAAATGTATGCCAGTAGAATGCGGCAGATAGCAAGACAGCTTACTCTGACTCGAAAGGAGAAACAGCGGAGAATGGAGCAAGCCAGATTAGAATTAGCTGAAAAGGCTCACAAAGTGACAACTACGCAAATGAAACAGTTCCACGATATACTCACTAACCAGAAGAAAGCTGAAGATATGAAGAAAAGGAAAGAGTTTCAAAGATTGAAAGAACAAATGAATGAAGACTTGCTGAGAAGAGCGTCTGAGGAAGACACCGCCAAGGCTGAAGACAAGAAGTTCATGGATGCGTTCACAAATCGAGAGGAAGCAATGACAGAAGAAGAGCAGATATTAGAAGAACAAGCTAAAGAAGAAATTATTGCTTACTACAAAGAACTTGGAGATGAAGCTGCACGAAGGGAAGAGAAGGCATTATGGAAGGTCAGAAGAGCAAGACTAGAGCTCGAAAGGGCTAAGTTTCTCATGGACGATGCAGATAAATGGAGAAAGGAGATGGACGAATTCAAAGAAGCAGACAAGGTGTTGAAAGAATCTGATCCTCCATTACCATCATGGGCTTCACAAAGTGACCCATCGATCCAAGGATCACCATCTAAGGATTTAAACATTGACCTGAACGATGAACCTATTGACGCACAGAAAAGGAATGGTGCCGAAACAGACGCTATTGCAACAGATGAAACTGATAAGACGCAACTTTCATCTGATGAAGACACAATTGCTAATACCCAATCGACAGTTGACGGTCCTACCGAAGCCACAAATATAGACAGCGATAAGAAATTATTAGAAGATGCATCACTGTTTGAATCAAAAGACAACACAACTGGAACCCCTGAGTTTGGAAAGGAAACAATGGAATCCTCAGAGGAAACTCCAGACCTAAACAAATCTCCTAAGAAAACCCCAATCAAAACCATGGTCAAAATGAATGAGTCGTTTTCTGCTTCGTCTGAAACTCAACCGACTCCGGAAAAGCATCACATCAAATTGTTTGATACAACGAATGTATCAAAAGAAACCACCCAATCGGATACAGCCAAATCTGTGAAATCTGTCGATGATAAACACGTGGCTGTAGAGACCGAGGAAGAAGAAGTCAAACAACACATCAAGTCTGTAGCAGATAAACATTTCAGCCAAGAAACAACGCAAGTTGAAGAAAGACCAGGTATCCGTACTGATATGGAGAAGTATGCGCTAAAGGAATCTGACCCCGGTAATGAGAGAATGTTCCCTAAGTTAAAAGAAGGAGACCACAAAGCATCAGACGAATCAAAAGAGAAAGAGTGGAAAGTCAAACCTGCCAGTGTATTCGGTCATTCTTCCCAAATGTCCGAAAGTTACAATTCGATCATTCCCAAGCTTAAGCAAATTCCCACGAAACATGTTAGCTTTGAATCGAACTTTAAAGACTTTGCAATCAAACCAAGAATACGAATGAATAAAACAACACATGCTACCAAGGAGAGTGACGCAACTGATGTTGGTCCAAAAGTAAGATCAGTGGATCTTAGATTTCATCCGTCCAAACAATCAACATTTGTAGACGAGGACAAGATAAGAATAAACAAATTCAAAGAAAGCAACATTCATGGCCATGCTTCCGATTCTAGTGTTCAAAAACTTTTATACTATGGCCTTGCAGAAACAGTGGAGCCCAAGGATTTATGCGAATTTAAGCAGCTACTTCCCCAAAGCGATTGGACTATATTTCCAGTAGAACCGTATGAGACTGATTACGATTCTTTTGCACAATTTCCGAAGGTGGATCTGATGGGCTCTGTTCCGTTTGCGGGGTTTGGTGCATTAACGGATAATGGTATTGGTCAGCATACTGATGTGGAAAAATACAAATATATGTCACTTCCCTCTGTCTTGAAGAAATCAATGATGGCCCCACTGAAGGCACAGATATCTTTAGTCAACAAGTCAATAGTGGATTATTTCTTCGTTGAGCTTCATCTAGAAGAACATTTTGAAACCTTGAGGCGATACCTGTTCATGGAAGACGGCGATTTCTCACAGATTCTCAGCGACAGTCTTTTGGATAAGCTGGCTACAAACCCCCTTCCTCAAGAAATGCTAAATCCAATTTTTCTTAATGGCGTGCTTAAGAAATCACTCCAGTCTTCCATTAACCCGAATGACAAGTATGCTGAGAATTTGACATTTTGCTTGAAATTTATTCCGAACGCCTTTGTTTTCAGTGCACACGATACACTTGACTGTTTAGAGCTGCGTTATAACGTAGAATGGCCTATAAATGTAGTATTAACCGAGTCATGCATTTCTAAATATGGTGCTGTTTTCTCGTTCATGCTACAGCTGAAGCGCATTGTATGGGTTCTGAAAGATGTGTGGTATAGACTCAAAAGAGACTCTCTAATCAAGAAGGCTGGAAACTGTCCCCAATTTAGACAATTGCAGCTTTATCGTCAGGAAATGCAGCATTTTGTTAAAGTTATGCAAGGATATATCGCTAACCAAATTATCCATGTCACTTGGCAGGAGTTTCAAGAAGCTCTTACTAAAGATGTTCGGGACTTGGATGACCTACACAAGGTTCACGGACAATATTTAGAAAAAGCAGTTTTCAGATGTCTACTGAACAAGAAGGCGAAACCCGTTATGAAGATTATCCAGGATATATTTAGCCTGATTTTGAAATTCCAGAACCAATTATTAAATGGTAATTGGAGAAATGTGGAAGGTTCATCTGAAATGGTCCATTCTAACTTCAACCAGGTTTCGACTTCGTACAAAGCTTTCAGACAATATTCCGTCTTTTTGTTCGAGGTGGTGAACAAACTGGCTATCAGAGGCTACCAACCACATCTTCAAGAGTTGCTGTTACGATTGAATTTCAATAATTATTACAAAGATATGTGATGGTAAGTTCATTTTCATCAAATACATTTTTAATTCAATAACGATAACCAAATTCAAATGTCGCCGGCAAATATGACAAAAGATACATTTGGGTAATGAAAGTGGACTAAAGGACACTGATCAAACCTGTAGGTTATGGTCTGGGAGCTCTACGTGAGCGCCACCTATGCAACATTGTCATGGTATCCGCAAGATATAAAATAGGATGGAACATTAATTCCATTATGCTTGTTTATACTCCTAATAATAGCCAAACTATTATATAGATGGCCAAGAATCATCATTACCTATAAAGATTGTGATGCACCGAGAACGAACAGAATCACAGACGAGCATTAGTTATTGCTCAGGGATAACTACCACCTACAGCACTAATGAACAGCACTCATGACAACAAAATGCTTTATTCTAAGGTCTCATTTCTGGTTCAAAATATATTAAATGCATTATATTCTCTTTTTCAGTTGAAACATGGTTTTGGTTTGGAATGGAAATTCACCTGTTACTTAGTTGATAAAAATGCAGTAGAGTGCTATCTTGACTTGTGGAAGCTTCCCACCAGTTGGACAATTAACAATATTATCTGTGAATTCAATTCAAAATAATTTTGGACAGCTTTAACTGAGGCGCGGTGCATATGGTGATATTATCGTTATTAAAAGATACTTATTTGTTCCACTGCTTTTTTCCATTGTACATGTACAAGCAATCAATCATATCATCTACAATACACTACACTTCACCGATTGAAAAATGTGATTTTCATATGTTTTTGCCCCAAAATATTTGTGTCAGAGTGCATCAAATCCATTCAATTCTTGGGAAAGTCCTCGGACAGTTCAAAGAGGCTTGCGCCTGTGGCGCTACCACAAAGCTGTCGCATTTTGAATCTCATCTTTGACAACTTACACAACTCTTGATGAATTTTTGAAGGGCTGTCGTGTTCGATGGTAAGCTCGAAACACTCGCGAAGGCACATTTGATGAAAGGTTATCCTTGACAAGGGAGTAGGTTCCGATGTTCAAGTGAATTGAAGAATTCACCCTATCCACCACCCTGTGCTCCCCGTCGAGTGTACAAGAAGCTTCGTTTGAATTGGCAAATACTGCACATTTTGCATGAAAACAATTCTTATACAATCAACAAAGAGTAGACTAAAGCTTCTGGCCAAATTTCTCTCATTGCACGCCATTATACAGTGTCTTCGTTATGAATGCAAATACGTGACATAGTAACAATAGAGTAACATGCATAGCTACCAGTCTATTCTATTCATCAACTATTAGGATAATTACATATTGTCGCTATTTTTTGGATGAAAATATAGAATGGGGTGCATTTTATCAACTCGGTCGGAGCCGAAACCACGTAGAAGAAGAGGGAACGTGATTAAAGTTCAGCCGATTGGAAATGGAAACGAGTTAGTGATGTGCAAAACTGACTTCACCATATTCCAAGTAAAGACTCTAGAAGAGAGAACAACAAACAGCGAGGCTAATGTAATGCCAAAGTCCAGTGCTTTTGGTAAGAACTGTGAATTGTAATTGACCAGATACCTTATTTCAACAAAATATAGAAATTATTTGCTGTTTATTTCTTATTAAATTTAATTCCACTTGTTCTAGAATGTGAAACTTTGTGAAAAAGATTTTCATACACTAATAACCTCTAGTAATATTTTACTGTACAGACTTGTATTAATTTAAAACATTGATTTGTTTATTATAGAAGAGAATTGTGGAAATGATGAAGGTCTGGTATTAAAACTGACCGGGGTAGCCGCCAAAGGTGTGGCGTTTGAACTTTCTCAAGAGGGAAAAGAAATTGTTCCCCCACCTTCACGTCTCCTTGAAATCGTCGAGAAGAAGAACAAGGAGAAAGAAGAAGCATCAGTAGAGGATATTAGAGAGAGACTGTTACAGGCTGAAAGACGCCGCAAAGTAAGTAATCATCATCATATCATCATCATCATCATTCTAAAATCATCATCATCATCAGCATCATCAAGAATTAGCATGCAGCTCTTGTTAGTCTGAAGCTGCCCCAACAAGTCTTAAATTTTAATCATATAATAAGGTTGATTTGTATAATTTCTATTGTAAATTACTTTAGTAAAACTATATTTAGAATGTTTTAAACTGGCATAATATTTAATCTCTTTAATGTTGGACTTTTTTTTTTGTAGCAATTGGTGGACGAAAGAATTGTTAAGGTCAGGAAGATGATCAAAACGGAATCTCCTGAAACTGTCCAGGCTTACATAGCCGAAAGAAAAGCCCTAGAACATGAACAAACAAAGAAGATGGAGGATGCCGTTGCCTCCAGACAAATGCATTTGCGCAGCATTCGAGATCGAATGAAAGAGAAGGACAATCATGCAAGGTCTGTGAGGCAACGGAGGCTTGTAAGCCTGGACAGTATGGGTGAGGCACCCAGAGAAGAACGGCAATACTCATTCTACACAAGCAACGAGTAATTTCACCCATCATATTCTCGATATCTTTCAGGCTCTGCATTGTTTCTAGAGATAATTCTAAACCAATCGGATAAATGCAGAGCCTGTAGTCTTTGTATTGAATCTGGAATGGCGTTTATAAACACACAGATTTATACGGAGGATGATATCAGTATCTACTTATTTTGATTTAATACTTTCATTATATTTGTCAACATCTACCAGGCTCTAGATTGAATCTGAAGTTGATTTTATATCAGAGCCTGTATCCTTTGTATTGAAGGCTATTAAGATTAATTTTGTACACATGTATCTTAAATGAGAGAGTATATTTTTGTATAGATGTGTATATTATTTATATTGTATATATGATGGTTGTAAGTAATGGTAATGAATGATTGAAATATGTCATGAATAAATGAAATTTGAAATCAAGTTTTTTATTATCCAGTACTGACAGTAGGCCTATATGATATTAGAATTTAACACAGGCTAGTCTACCATTTACCAGAACATCGTAGACGGGGATTATCTGGAAATTGCCTGAGAGAGAGGGGTGGGGGTGGGGGAATGATAGGTGTCTCTGAGGTGAGACCGAAGCCCCTTCAGTCCGGGGTCTAGAGAAGTCAGATGGCCTGAGCAAAATTTGAGCTTTAAGCTGTGCTTAATTGTCACTTCAATATAAGATCTTTCACAGGCCTGAAAGGGGGTGGGGCGGATACACCTGGTAATGTTGAACGCAAAGCATCGGTAGAAAAACAAACGAAGATGATGACTAATGCCGTTGCAGCGTTGTTTGATTGTATCACAGACGACCCTTCCCAATTAGTGACGTCATCAACACTATGTTTAAGTAGGATTGCAGGAATCACTGATACTTACCACTCTAGAATCATAAGACCACATACCCTTACTCTACTTAAGACATGAAACAACATGTCTTAAAACTCTAGGTCAAAATGTCACATAACTTTACCACCCTAGGTCAAAAGAGCACAATCCTGTACAACCGCAGGGTGATTAGACCTTTTATCTTTACCACCTAGAGATATTAGATCACATACCATCACCAAATTAGAGACATTAGACTACATTCGCTTACCACCCTAGAGTAATTGGACTACATACACTTACATTTGATCACATACAACCACCAAACATTCCATTACAACCCTAGAGATTTATAATCACATATCCTTACAACCCTAGAGACATAAAATCACATATCCTTACCAACCTAGTGACATAAAATCACATATCCTTACCAACCTAGAGGCATAAAATCACATATCCTTACCAACCTAGAGGCATAAAATCACATATCCTTACCAACCTAGAGGCATAAAATCACATATCCTTACCAACCTAGAGACATAAAATCACATATCCTTTCCAACCTAGAGACATAAAATCACATATCCTTACCAACCTAGAGACATAAAATCACATATCCTTACCAACCTAGAGACATAAAATCACATATCCTTACCAACCTAGAGACATAAAATCACATATCCTTACCAACCTAGAGACATAAAATCACTTACCACCTTAGAAACATTAAATCACTCATCTTGAACCAAATGCCCTTACCATCCTAAACTAAACACACTTACTATCCTTGAGTCAATGGACCACACAATAAGTAGATACTGATATCATCCTCCGTATAAATCTGTGTGTTTATAAACGCCATTCCAGATTCAATACAAAGACTACAGGCTCTGCATTTATCCGATTGGTTTAGAATTATCTCTATAAACAAAGCAGAGACTGAAAGACATCGAGAATATAATGGGTGAAATTACTCGTTGCTTGTGTAGAATGAGTATTGTCGTTCTTCTCTGGGTGCCTCACCCATACTGTCCAGGCTTACAAGCCTCCGTTGCCTCACAGACCTTGCATGGTTGTCCTTTTCTCGCATGTCATCTCTGATTTTGCGTAATCGCATTTGTCTGGAGGCAACGGCATCCTCCATCTTCTTAGTTTGGATTTCTTCTAAGGCTTTTCTTTCGGCAATGTAAGCCTGGACAGTCTCCGGAGATTCGGTTTTGATCATCTTCCGGACTTTCACGATTCTTTCGTCCTCCAATTGCTACAAAAATCAAAGTTCAACATTAAAAACATGAAATAATGTGCCAGTTTAAATTTTTAAGTTTTATTAAAGTAATAAATTATAGAAATTATACAATTCAACCTTTTTATATGATTGAAACTTAAGACGTATTGAACGTTGAGCAGCTTTGGATTAACAAGAAGTTTTAGATAATACTTTAATTAACGTTAGTATATAGCCTGGTTCAAGTATTATAGCTTATACGATAAGCTTGGCTCGATGTCTTCAAAACATGTACCCTTCACTTAACTTTCAGCGATATTTGCCATGGTGATAATGATGTTGATAAAAATGACGATGATTATGATGATTTAGATGATGATAATGATAATGGTGATGATGATTACTTACTTTGCGGCGTCTTTCAGCCTGTAACAGTCTCTCTCTAATATCATCTACTGATGCTTCTTCTTTCTCCTTGTTCTTCTTCTCGACGATCTCAAGGAGACGTGGAGGTGGGGCAACAATTGCTTTTCCCTCTTGAGAAAGTTCAAACGCCACACCTTTGGCGGCTACTCCGGTCAGTTTTAATACCAGACCTTCATCATTTCCACATTTCTCTTCTATAATAAACAAATCAATTTTTTAAATTAATACAAGTCTGTACAGTAAAATATTACTAGAAGGTTATTAGTGTATGAAAATCTTTTTCACAAAGTTTCACATTCTAGAACAAATGGAATTAGATTTAATAAGAAATAAACAACAAATAATTTCTATATTTTGTTGAAATAAGGTATCTGGTCAATTACAATTCACAGTTCTTACCAACAGCACTGGACTTGGGCATTACATTAGCCTCGCTGTTTGTTGTTCTCTCTTCTAGAGTCTTTACTTGGAATATGGTGAAGTCAGTTTTACACATCACCAGGTCGCTACCATTTCCAATCGGCTGAACTTTAATCGCGTTCCCTCTTCTCCTACGTGGTTTTCGTTCCGACCGAGTTGATAAAATGCACCCCATTTTATATTTTCATCCAAAAAATAGCGACAATATGTAATTATCCTAATAATTGATGAATACAATAGGCTGGTAACTATGCATGTTACTCTATTGTTACTATGTCACGTATTTGCATATTCACTTCGGAACTTTCCGGAGACACCAGATGCATTATGACGTCATGGTTTTTCCGAAGCTTTAAGCAATCTCGTATCAAATTGTATATATAACATAGACACAAATTATTTCTCTTTTCATGTGAATTCTATTTTACTTTTAAACATTTAAGTTTCCCTTCAGCACATAGTATATCCACAATAACCGATCAAAGCAAGAATATACTTCTATAAAGCAAATATAACCCATGGAATTAAGAATTTTGAAATGTTTTTTATGAGTATTTACAGGGTTTTTTTAATTGAATTATTTCGATTATTAGTTGATTATTGATCGGTAGTCTGCCATCGATATTCGATAAGCGATACCTAGCCCTATTGACAAATGCGAATCTTGCGGTTCTTTCTCGCTAACCTTTTATTCTGAGCTGGAACCCAACATATGTCGATGATGGGTGATGCAGGTCGGAGGACTAACGCCCTGGATCTTACTGGCCTAATACTTGTTCTTGTTTAAAACGCACGAGTGAGCTCATGGGGCAATAAATCAGTCTGCTACAGACATTGATCAACTTCATTATTCCAATCAGATGACTGACCCTATTTCATTCCATTTTTAATTTGCTAAATATGATAAAAACATTTTAAACTGTTTGAAAACCAGACATATTGGCAATCTTATACATCTACATGATTGTGGTCTTTTGGGGAGTAGCGTCAAAATCGTCGTTTGTGATTCTCTTCCCCTGGTTTGGTCTAGTTCAACCCTTCTGGTCGAATTAGCAATCACTGCAATCAGACTAGAATGGTATTATTGGTACTTGTCTGTGATGTTTGTTGTAATCTAAACAGTCCACGAAGACTCAAATATTCAAATTTTACTACAAACTCACAGTACCAGACATCAAATAACAGTACAGTTTGCCTTTGCACGTTGGTCTTCGAGGGAAGATACATGAACGATTCTCTGAAGTCGAGTTGCAGGAATGGTTGTCAGAAATTTCCGCAGTTCCGGAAGGTTAAAATTTAAATCAGGTTGTAGAAGCGATCAGCGCCGTGGCCAGGAGTAGACTGGGGCAATTAGTTGGAATGATATACATTGAATCATAATTGCAATTGAGTACCGAAATAATAAAAAAAACTGAAATGAAACTTTGTATTACTCTTTGTATGAGTAAAGTTCGTCCAACTGACCTGTGAAAGACTGGAATTGTGGGTGTATTGAAATGAACTAGAGTTTTACATCTTTATCTTTAGGCTAGTAAAATTCTAAGCTAGCTCTGCAATGGGGTTGTTTCAATGAAGAAATGCAATAGATTAGATCGTCACGATCTTCTTATTTGGAAATATATAATATATATTCTTGAGTTATAAAAAGAAAAAAATTCATTTTTATTGGCATTCAAATACAACATAACAATAATACAAAACAAATCAACAAAAAAAAATCTTTTCAAAATGTCATTGGTATATAAGATGTTTTCAATGCGTCCATTTATGTCGAGCCTAATTTAGAATACATTCACAAATTAGATCACAAGATTCGTTAAAAACGTCGTTCACAAACCTCAAGGATAACACACAAAAGCACAAATCCCGGAGAATCTTCCTTTATAAATTTAAGAAACAGATTCAAAGCATCGAGCAGTATCACAATTCAGGATTCTCCCTTCACAAGGCTGTCACCAGCTCATCATCGTCAATATAATAATCATCTTCGACAAACATATACTCGTGTTCTACCATATCCTCATATTCCTCATCTTCATCAACTTCGTCATACTCGACTTCTTCAGCTTCAAAATTATAATCCAGCATCATCAACCAGATACGCAGTTGGAAGAGGTTATCGGCCTTGAATTCAGTATAGGTGGCATACATCTTCAATGTCTTCTCGATGATGGTTTTACGTTGTTTGAAGGAATATTGGTAAGCTCTCTGACCACTAGACTTGGCTCGGTCGTATCTGATCTTCAGATCGAACAGTCGGTTCTGTAACAAGATGACTTGATCCCAGGCTCGCTTCAAACAGAACTCTGTAATTCGGTACTGGTCTAGTAAGGTGGCGATGGTGTTAGTTTTTGACGATTCCATTGTAGATGGTGTGACGCAGTAAGTGTCCGTAATAAAATCGTAGAAAATGTGCGACTATACAACTGTAAGACTGGAGCAATGCAGTAAATGTTCGTATTTAGAGAAACATGTAGACACTATTTAACTGTAAGTTCGTAGATCACTGGAACAAATCCGTTTGTAGATGTGCGATAATGTCAATTGTAGAACGTAGAAAACTGCTGGATCAATTCCGTAAGTGACAAAAACGTATAAGATGTGCGACCACAGAATGTAAGATTGATAATGAAACTATAGGACCGTTGTTTCATTTTATACAGCATTGTCCGGATATTTAATCAGTGATGTTGAAAATTAAATTGAAATTCAGAAGGTGTAATGTTTGAACGACGATTTCGAAAGTTACTCAAAAATCGGAAATTGATCGAAACTTTTAATTCATAAAAAAAAGTGTGTTCACAAAAATATGTTTAGAGTTAAATTCTATAGTGTGAACGGGCTTGAGTAATGGATCTATTGTGTTCGGTTTGATCTTACTTTAGCGAGTGTTCACACCAATATATTCTACTGCTCTTAAACCAGAAAGTAGGTAATTCGCTACGACTTGTGTTCACAGTCATCTCGAGTAGTCTTTAATACACCTATTATCTCCAGTGTGAACGAGCTTAATTATTAATAATAGAGGTATTGTGTTATGATTAAAGAGTTTATTAATTAATTGTAAACAATTAATTGATATTGTTAAATGTCCACGAGTCTGTCATTGGTCGTAAAATCATTTGGTACATATATACCCCATCGTCTTCTTAGTCATGTTTCTCGACATTTGGGTACTGCAAATGCATAGTTTTTAAGCATTTGTATCTGCCATGTAATGAACCAACGCTCTGTGCAAAAAAGTATATCTATTCATTTCTCTTCTTGGACATGAAGACAACAAATTCGAAATGTTGCCACTCTCCCTGACTAAGTCGAGAATCATAAACTGTAACATACATTGCATCCGGAGATTTCCCTCTCTGATATTACAGTAAGACATATTGACTGTATTAAATTTCGAGTAATAAAGTGAAATGGGAATTCATTTCTCAATAAAGGCACTGGCATAGGTCAACATCAGAATTTAGATTTCCATATTGCCTCTAATTGATGAGGACTGGTACACAGCCTTTCACTCGAGTGAAGAAAAGTTATATTTTCATTAAAAGATCTTATAAAATTACCCTAGTTGCGGATCGTATTTACCTATCGTAGCTGTGAATCTTGTATACATTGATGTATACGATGCCAAGAGAGGTATTATGTTTTTTGTTGTGGTACGGGTTAGTGATCTTATGTTTCTAGGGTGGTAAGGGTATGAGTTCTCATGACATATTAATCTTGGGCGGTAGACTCTAGTTGGTCATAAGAACACATACACTTATAACCCTAGGTCATAGGTCATATTCACTCACCAACCTAGGTCAAAAGTTCATATTCACTCACCACCTAGGTCAAAAGGCAACATTCCCTCACCACCCAGGTTCATAAGACCACGTACCCTTACCACTCTAGGGTCATAATATTACAACACTTACCACTCTAGGGTCATAAGACCACATACCCTTACCTCCCTAGGATCATCAGACCATGTGTCCTTACCAGCCTAGGGTTATGAGAATGCATACTCTTACCACCCAGGGTCATGATATCACAAACCTTTACCACCCTAGGATCATCAGACCACGTGGCCTTAGCCTCCTAGGCTCATAATATCACCAGCACTTACCACCCTAGAGTCATGAGAGCATATACTCTTAACACCCTAGGGTTATAAGACCTCATATTCTTATCACCCAGGCTCATAAGAAAGCACAGCCTTACCACCCTAGGGCTATCAGACCACAAACAAATAACACCCTAGGTCAAAAGGTCACTCACCATCGGGTTATAAGATCACAAACCTTTACTACCCTAAGGTCATAAGACCACATTTCTTTACCATCCTAGGGTCGTAAGAATACTTATCCCTACAACACTAGGGTCACAATATCACAAACCTTTACCACCCTAGGGTCGTCAGACCATGTGGCCGTACCAACCTGGGGTATAGGCATACACTCTTACCAACCCAGGGTCGAAAGACCACATAACCTTACCAGCCTAGGGTCATAATATCACCAACACCTACAACCCTAGGGTCATAAGACCACATTCCTTTACCACCCTAGGGTCGTAAGAATACTTATCCTTGCCACCCTAGGGTCATAATATCACAAACCCATCAGAATACGTGGCCTTACCACCATAGGGTCATAATATCACCATTACTTACCACATTTTGGTCATAAGAGCAGATACTCTTAGCCTACCACTAAGCAGGCTAAGACCTCATACCCTTACCAGACTACAAGGGTCATAAGATAACATATCCTTACCACCCTAGGGTCGTAAGATTACTTATCTTTAGCACCCTAGGATCATAAGAATGCATACCCTTAACACTCTAGAGTCATAAGACCACATACCCTTACCACCCTTGAGTCATAATATCACAAACCCTTACCACCCTAAGGTTTTAAATGTCTATTATTATTTGATTCAAGGTCAGTAAGGGTATACGTGGTCCATTGACTCGCATGTAGTTTAATGACTCGAATATGGTAAGGGTATGCGACTTTTTGACTTTGGATAGTAAGGGTATGTCTTGGACTTTAATCCCGCTCTTTGTATTCAGACAGACGGTGTACTGATCATGTTCCATTAGACCGAAACATCTGTCTCTTCCAGCCTCTGATAGCTATTTTTTTCCGATTGTTTACATTTTATCTTCGGCATTCGTTGTTCCACTTTCTCTTTTTATTACGTATCGAGTTTCAACAAACAATATAATACCGGCCCCTGTGAGGTGCATAATTTAGTTTTAGAGTATTCTCTTTTTTTTCGTTTCTTCATTGGGATAATTCGATGCAAGCAGTCTACTTTTTAGTGGACACAAGATGGCAGAAAATACGAATTTTTTGTTATCAGTTAAGCCTACAAATCACAATGGTTGACAGTGTTCTCATACCCGATCAAGTTGTTTTACAAATTGGCCTAATGTGAAGAGGCCAGAAATGTAAACGGTAGTTTTATATTTATATGTTATATTTCGTGTGCGTGATTTGCAAACCTAAAGGTCAATCATGCAAGCATTGCTTTACTATTACTATTACATATCCGACCACAAGCAATGTCTTGAATAAACAAGAGTTATGTCCCCGCATTATCAATTCTGCCTGCTTAAATTAGTAAAGCGTTCCACAATGAGTGTTGTTTTAAGGATTTCATTAGTATTTGTCAGCATGTTAAGCCCTGCGCCTATTACCGATTTTTGACATAACGCCGTCAAATTATCGGGACGTACAATCAGCGGATAGGATAATTGTTTCTCTCCTTCCTCAGGTAGGATCCTGTAGAAGGCCAAATGCTAAGTTACTGCAAAACACAATTATATATTTCCATGTCAAAATACCGAGGCCTCGTGTGCTTCAGGCTGTGAACGTTACAAATCCCTCGACAGTTGGAAATCTAAAAAGAGCAGTCTAATACTAATGCCACTGTCCTGGCAAAATTTCCCTCGTTGCACCCTGAATGGCTTTGACAGTCTTCATTATCCAACATAGTGCAGAAAGGTAGCACGTAAAACTCCGTTCATTTCATTTTCATTTTTCCCCTTTTTTAATAAGCTTTTATATTTAAAATAGCCACTTCAGTTAGGGTCTCCCTAACGAAATCCCTCTTGAACGTTCGTCAAATTAACCTTGTTGTTTGTCACTGGAAAATTATGTGGCACAGCAACAATAAAGGAATTTACTTTGTTTTATTTATTATATGTACTGTATAATATATTTAATACAGACAATACATTACATTACATTATTCATCAACTTTTAAGCATGATATAAAATTTAATTTTGTATTCAATTTTTAATGAAAAATAGAATTTGGATGGGTCGATCACACTTCTTCAAAAGTACATGTACACATTATTCAGTCTATGTAATGTTGGAATTTTGATTTTTGTAGCAATTGGAGGACGAAAGGACAGTTAAAGTCCGGAAGATGATGAAGACAGAATCCCCCAAAAATGTCCAGGCTTACATAGCAGAAAGAAAAGCATTGGGGGAAATCCAAACAAAGAAGATGGAGGATGCCGTTGCCTCCAGACAATTGCGATTGCGAAACATCCGAGATCGAATGAAAGAGAAGGACAATCATGCAAGGTCTGTGAGGCAACGGAGGCTTGTAAGCCTGGACTGAGTGGGACAATACAAGCCTACACTAAAGACAGAAAAGCCAAAGAGAAAATTCAAAAAAGAAGATGTATGATGCTGTTGCGCAAAGGCAGCAAAGTGTTCGTTATCAGATGGTCATCGGGAGCGAAGAAACTGCGAGACAGAAGAAATTGATAAAATTGAATGATATAGGGGAGGCATCTGATAAAAACAGAATTTCCCGAGACTTTCCAGGCTTACATAAAACAGCATTAGAAGATACCCAAACCAAGAGGATGGAGGATGCCGTTGCCTCCAGACAAATGCGAGTGCGAAACATCAGAGATAGAATGCGAGAAAAGCACAACCATGCAAGGTCTGTGAGGCAACGGAGACTTGTAAGCCTGGACAGTATGGGTGAGGCACCCAAAGAAGAAAGGGTCTACAATCTTTACTCCGACAACAACTACCCTTTCTTCCGTTTAATAATTCTCGATAACTGTCCAGGCTTACATAGCTGAAAGAAAAGCCTTGGAACAAGAACAAACTAAGAGGATAGAGTATGCCATTACTCCCAGACAAATGCGTGTGTGAAACAGAGATCGCATGCGAGAGGAAGACAACCATGCGAGGTCTGTGAGGCAACGGAAGCTAGTAAGCCTGAGGCACCCGAGAAAAAAAGGATTTACAACTTTTACACCCAACAACATATAATTCCGTTTAATAATTCTCAATATATTATATTTTCGATAACTGTCCAGGCTCACATAGCTGAAAGAAAAGTCTTGGAACTAGAACAAACTAAGAGGATAGAGTATGCCATTACTCCCAGACAAATGCTAATGCGAAACATCAGAGATCGCATGCGAGAGAAGCACAACCATGCAAGGTCTGTGGGGCAACGGAGGCTTGTAAGCCTGGACAGTATGGGCGTGGCACCCAGAAAAGAAAGGGTCCACAACTTTTACTCCTACAAAGACAACTAATTAGGTTTAATATTTCTCAATACCGGTACATTATATTTTCGATAACTCCCCAGGCTTACATAGCAGCACGCAAAGCCTTGGGACAAAAATAAACAAAGAGGCTGGAGGATGCAATTGCGCAACATCAGAGACCGCATGCGAGAGAAGCACAACCATGCAAGGTCTGTGAGGCAACGGAGGCTTGTAAGTCTGGACAGTATGGGTGCGGCACCCAGAGAAGAAAGGATCCACAACATTTACTCCTACGACAACTAATTAGGTTTAATATTTCTCGATATCGGAACATTATATTTTCGATAACTCTCCAGGCTTACATAGCAGAACGCAAAACCTTGGAACAAAAATAAACAAAGAGGATGGAGGATGCCGTCGCCTCCAGACACATTCGAGTGTGAAACATCAGAGATCGCATGCGAGAAAGGCACAACCATGCAAGGTCTGTGAGGCAACGGAGGCTTGTAAGCCTGGACAGTATGAGTGCAGCATCCAGAGAAGAAAGGATCTACAACTTTTATTCCAACTACAACGAATTTCAATATATCTATCAGGCTCTGTATTCTGTGATTTTAAATCACACCGATCAATACCGATGCTAGTCTTTGAATCGAATCTTAAGTGTTTTCATAAATACACAGATTCATGCATAGACTGATATCATCTGAATGTAACTGACTAAAATCATTATAATGTTATGACTAATGTCAAAAAAACTGTGTCCATGGAGCTAGCACATGGTGTTAAATTTCTGTTCTGTTTCTGTTAATGTAGATATTAAAGATTTATAGTTTTATTTTTTATTCACTTGATTCCAGATTGTCCAGATCCGTAACGTAGGAAGAATGTACTGGAAGTTTAGAATGAAATCAGCTGTTTGTTGGTTGTATCAATTCATGTCTCAATACACTGTTTAGACTCACAAACAATGTTACTGACAATCTTATCCTCATATTCCTAATGGAAACGCAGCTTGGAGTAGCTGACATAGTAAATGTCTAGTAGTTTGTATAGGATGATAAACCTAGTTTGAGAGCCATTTATGCCGATGTTGTCATGAGTGAATATGAGTATAAGCTTTCTAACCAAGTCCCAAGAAAGAACAGCTTCCACGCCATCATCAAGACAAATAACATTCTGATTCTGTAACGGCACAGCCATACCAATAAACCGTTGTCAGACCTAAATACCATTCTTTTTTTTAGAATCGCATATTAATTTAATCATTTCGTAGGAAATAGGCGGTGGCAAGCTGATATTCAGTTTGTTAATTGTAGTAACTGTAACCTTTAGTAGTTGAAGTAATACCAATAGTGTTCTGAAATATACAAAGAACAAAAATGTGCAAAAACTATTATTTATAGAAATTTACTCCAAACAGAGCCGACTCCAAAATGTAGTTACTTCCCCTGATAATAAGGCCACCCGCCAATATCTCATGGGACCTAACTCTTCTGCTAACACGGGGTCGGTGCTAAATGTAGTTACCTCCCTTCTTAGTGACCTTTGGGTGATTATATCACTATTCACATCCGATGGTCGACATAAAATTCAATAAAAGAGTGTAACCTTCAAAATATAACATGCAAATCTGGCAATTACATAAGGAATGGCATTCATGAAAACTTTATTGATAACGAGAACTCAGGCCTGAGACCTTGAAGACTGAACGTCTAAAAGTGCAGAGCCAAAGAGGCGGGAGCAAAATCGGTGGATTTGCACATTCTCATTACAAATGCGATAAACGTGTACAGGAAATATAAACGACAGTAATCAAGATAATGTTACGAGTACGTGTAAAGTTTTATCTCAAGTACCTAAATTATAGCTTAAAAATCATTTTAGACATGAAACATCTGGAATCTTCCATTTAAAATGGCGTGCTTGGAAAACAAGGGCGAATTACTCTAGCATGTGGTCATATCAAAAATGCTTCAGACCACAGCAGATCAAAGTAAATTTTATCATGCAGCTAGTATTCAAACGAAACACCATCACAAAACTCACTTCCATCACCCCGCCCGTCCTTTCACCAATCAGCGAAAATTGTGGATATTAACCACAATGTGAGCCCATTTGATCTCGAATTATGATCACGTGCTTCTTGAGTTTTCGACGGATTTTAATCAAGCTGTGTTTAATGCTATGATCAAAAATTGAAGGCTTGTCGTATCGGCCATATAATTCAGTGATATTAGCCCAAAGTCTTAATCATATCAGCCCATGGTTAAGTCATATCAGCCCAAGGGTTTAGTCATATCTGCTCAAGGGTTTAGACATATCAGCCAAAGGGTTTAGTCATATCTATTGCTAAAATAAAATTTGGTGATTTTTAAAAAAAAAAAATGCATTGACGTACCTCATTTTGGCTGTCAGGATTTGGTCCCAAGAGTCAATAATTTTGAAGTTATTTGCTTTTATAATTCTGTGCATCTTTCTACCATATTTTGTTGCTGTATTTAAAAAATACGGTATTCTGATGGAAAGACAAACCTAAATTTAAAATCGATTTTAGTGATTGACAAATCATCTTCAAGAATAAGGCACCAGGATTTGGTCGTAAGGGTCAATAATTATTTGAAATCAGTATTTTTATGTATAGGCTGTCCATTTTGGCACCGAAATTGCCTTTGGCTTCATCTGATATAGGCCCACATTGACCATAGTGAAGATGAACTAGTCAATTGTTTCCTTACATATATTCAGAGTTAAGAAAAGCTACACCTATATAGGCCTAATGGTTGTTACTGACGTAAATCTATACAATTCCTCGTCACACCAACAAAAACAACTTGTGAATGCATATTCACCGAAATGTAGGCCTACCAAAAAGAGATTTGCAATGGACCAAAAAATTGAATATTTATCACCAAAATCTTGATTTATGTATCAATTGATCTATTTATTTTTTCAATTTCAATTCTTTTCAATCCAAAATATTAGACCACGGGTCAGTTAGCAATTTGAATAATATTAAACGGCCCTTTCAGCTCTATTCAATCTTGTTTATATATATTCTGGACGCCCCTGATTAATCACACATTGAATATTCAGAGTGTGAGAGATAGGATAAGATATATATTTATTTATGTATTTCATGAAAATTAGACATCATGTAAGTAACTTTTGATATTGTCTTACAATCAATCGGTTAGCCAGTTTAGTTTTTGGTTATACTGAAAATGAATATGGTGTCGTGGGATAGTTTAGAATCAGTGGCGGAGCCAGTTTTACGTCCCTTGGAGGGGGGGGGGGGGGGGAGTAACCCCTTTGGCAACGCCACTGTTTAGAATGGTAAATAAGTGCAAGTTGATAGTTATACTGAAAGTGAAGAAGTCGTGTTGAGATTCAGCAAGAGCTATCAAGAAATCCACCTGCACGTTATCTGAGTATAGTTATATTTTCCAAAAGATGAATTTATAGGTAAAATAGAAAATTGCTGTGTTGGAAGAGTATACTGAATTTCGTTTAAACGTTTAAGTGGTGAAAATTGCGCTTAATGGGCTCCGTACAGTCATGATAATAATATGCGTCAAAAAATATTTTTCTCGAGTTAGTCAAGGCCGCAAAGAAACCCACTGAGGATTATTGGACGGAAGATGATTTAATATAGGTATATCAACGTAGATCGATATTTTTCTGGACATTTAGCAACGGACAATGATTATCATTTACACCTGTTTTGTTGTTAAGTGTAAGGGACACACAAAATGAAACAATCATACGAAAAGCTGTTAAATTCAATACATGCTATAAGGATACATACGAGTTATTTTCAATGTAAAGCCTTTCTGTTTTTATTTTTATAACAACCCTAACATGTCATTTAATACTTATATAGGTAAACGTACCATGCGTACCCAAACTCCACGTATTGCATGGTCAACCAAGCCTAAAGAATATAATAGTCAATTATCTTATATAAGCCTTACAATAAACATACATCTAAACCACCTTGATCGGCAATCATACATAACTACTCTTATCTTTCCACTATATAATATGATTCGTTTATTTTTCTATAATGCAGGCCATGCAACTGTAACTCATGTTACAATTAATATTTAAAAGTTAAAACTCTGTCCAAGCACCATGTTATAACAACAAGGTCTTTATTTTTATTGGAACAGTCAATAACAACTCATAATTTAATTGCGCACCACAAGCAATCAGCCACTTAACTGTTCCAGAAGCGATAGACTCTTACCATAGACAGAATAGAGTATAAAAAGATATAAGTATTTTGCACACCCTTTTTTACAAAAGCCAATCATTTGGGATCATTGGTTGCTCACTGCTATCGAGCTATGTGTCATAAAAGGATTTATTTTTGGAATATCGGAAAAAGGGTGTTTTTATACCCCTTCCCTCTAACCCAACACTGTCAATAATAAATATAATGGGTATCAGCGAGTCCAGGCATTGACCCATTAATTCCATACAAAATGAAGGAAGAGCATAATAACTAATAAATAATTCAATCTAATAACATCAGTTAATTACTTTATGTTTTGGATACATTTAGTGGAATTTAAAAAATAGCGAGGTTTATAAATGTATTAATAATGAAATTATATAATAAGAGGGAATTATTGCTTTATTGATCAGGTACCCAGCTGATTCAAGATACTATCATCACAGGTCGTATGATCGACGACCAGAATATGACTTATCAAATGGAGATTATCAGTCTAGTCAACACTACAGAGACTTTGATAACCCGTACAGGATGTCAGAATCGGTAGGTAGACATATCTATATGGGTACAGATAATCAATGATCAATGCCAGAGAGGTTTGGTCAAGGACCAGCTGGTAGAGAGGATTCTTAGTTGTTATCTTCTTATAATGGTTGTTTCTTTATTTCCCGCCAGTTGAAATTTACTGTTGTTGTTAGTTGCTCTCTATAGGAACTCTTGTGTGCCATGAACTTCTATATCTGTATCGTCTTATTTCAGGGATATCACTGGAAAGATGACATTGCCAACGGATTTAATAAACCTTCCAAACACAAACCTCTTGCTGAAGCTGAAGTCACCAAGGATGATGACAAAGTACAATGGTCCTATTCTAAAGTTGGTGCCCGTTTCGCTGAAAGAACCACCATGCACGGCATTCCTTATGTATTAGTGTCTAAGAAAAATTCGGCTAAAGTTGCGTGGATCATTATTTTTCTGGCTGGTGTAGCAGTCATGATCTTCCATCTATTTTTTCTATTTGAAACGTATTTAGCCTTCCCAAAACAAACCACCGTCAAATTGGGTTTCGACAATCTGGATTTTCCAGCTCTTACCATCTGTAATGTGAATCCAATCTTAAAATCACACCTGAAGTGGACATCAGAAGATCTTCGAGAATTAGCATGGGAATTGGATCCAGATTACATCCTAAATACGTATTATTCCCAGGTACAGCAAATATCAAGGTTTTACAAAATCTTAAAGCTTATTTTGTAAACCGGGACACTGTTTCTCAAGTTTACCTTAAAAATTCAATGCCGAATGCCTTAATGATATTGTGATTGATTTTCTTCATTCAGTACAAAAAATTGATAACATGAATTAGTGCATTAGAAGGCAGAAATCAGGAAGCAGTGTGTTTCCCCTTTCCTTTAAACATAAGTTCATTGTTTAAATAAAACACTTTAAGTTAATCTATAATCTCAAACAAGAATTTAAGCATCTAACTACAACAATGGCAGAGTAGTTTCAATCCTAAAATTCGTTGCATAAACATGATAGTTTTTTTCTACTTGCATTTTGCTGAACATCATTTATGATGGCATTGTAACTGTGTTTGCTCCAATGTAAATGGATTCTGATAACTTTTATTGCTTGGATTTGCTTATTATATATTCTGAAACAGTTTGTTTTCTATAAAAGGAAGAAAGCGAAGGAGAAGGTACGGAGAAGAGGAAAAGGTCTGTAAATAGTTTTGACGAACTTTTGTCCAGGCACCGGAGATACATGGACAAGGTGAAGGTCAATGTATCAAAAACTAGAGAGGAAGCAGAGCAGTCGTATGAAGAATCGTTTGATGGAGACGAATGGGAAAGTATCGGTGAGGTTGATGCTGTTGTGAAAGCTCGTCGTGAATTTTATCAGTTATATAATAAAGAAGATAGGTAGGTAAAACTCCCATTCTATCCATCTTCGGAAACGCAGTATCGCCGCTATACATACTGAAAACAAAAATTACTTACAACAATTTATAACTGTAGAGCTTAGAAGCTTTAAGTATCCCGGTCTCTTCATGCTTAAATGTTTGTGGACACTTGGACAATGAGACTAAAAATTACCCTTCTTACCTTAAAATAGTATATTCTGCGGATTTGATTCTTATGAATTCTTATAATGAGCTCTGTCCGAAATTGAAACGAAGTTTCAATGGACAAGTGTGACGTTTTCAGAAAGTTTCCAATGCTATTTACAGAGATACTCGTATCGAGATTGGTCATGATTTAGACATAATGCTCATTAAATGCTCGTTCGCTGGACGGAGTTGTTTCTCTGGGTATGTAAGGTTCCTTTTTGTTATTTATTTCTGTCTTAATGCTTTGAAAAATAGATAATTATCCCCGGAAAGTTATGATTTCACAGTTACCTCTTTTATCATGTTATATCTATTGTAAGGTTGATGTCGATTCACATCAGAACTGTTATCTATGAAGGATAAGTAGGCAAGAGGTTGAGACAAATTTAAGACAAGAACTATAGCCTACTGTTTTCAAAGTGACCTACAGATGAGTTGATGCGAAGAGCTATAATGTCTTGATTGTACCAATTGTACATAATTGTTTCTTTTTCATATTGTGGATTTTAGCAATTTTACGATGTCAACTAATCCTGTATATGGAAAATGTTGGACGCTGGATAACAGAATATTTAAAAGTCGAAAGAGTGGACCAGATCAGGGTTAGTAATTGTTTCCAAATACCTAGCTGTTTAACAAGCAGTGTGTTCTTGGAACGAAGCTGTCCAATAAGCTGTGACAGGGTGATAATGGCACGGATCTGTCCAATAGGCTAAATAGCTTTATTCGAAGCAGACATACAAGACAGCATTGTCTTCTTGCTGTCCATAAATCTCTGGCTATAACAGCTTGTTCGTGGCACGAATCTGTTCATTAAGCTATAGCACCGTGTTCTTGGTACGAAGCTGCCAAGTAAGCTATAGCAGTGTATTTTTGGTGTGAAACTGTCCAATGCAATTTAGCAATGTGTTCCAAATAAGCTATAGCAGCCTGTCTCGGTGCATTTTTTGGTGTGAAACTGTTCAATAAGCTATAGCAGTGTGTTCTAGGTAGGACGTTTTCTAATCACCTTAAGAAGCTTTTCGTGCTAGGAAGCTGCCCAACAGTGCGTTCTTACTACAAAGTGGGATCTTGCTCAGATTAGATAAATTCACTATCATTCTACTTTGATGTAGCTTATTCATACAAATTGTTGCATTTATACATGACAAAGTTTTATATCTGTTACAGGTTTAGAGTTGATATTATTTCTACAGAATCATGAATATTTAGAAGGACTAGGCAATGGATATGGTGCTAAGGTATTGGTACATGATAAAGATGTTATGCCCGATCCATATGACGAGGGCTATTCCGTATTACCAGAATCGGCAACTAGTATTGGAATTGTATTGGTAAGATCTGCGTAACTTCCAGGATTGAAACAATCTCACATGAAGGAATATGATGGTAGGGCGTCAAAGTAAAAGTGTCTCACCACAGAAGACTCGCTTCTAAAGGATTCGCTCCATTCATCGTTACGGAAACTGCAGGCTAAGTGTACCAAACGTCCGTATAATAAACTGTTAGGATAGAAAGTTAGTCTGCTATTAATTCAATCGCTTGATAAAGATATTTTTTTTCAGTCAAGAATTTCTAGATTGGGTAGTCCACATGGTAGTTGCCAAGAAATACAAGCATTTAAAAGGCTTTATGGTGTAAGATATACCAGAACGGTAGGCTAATTGTCTATTTCATTATCTTTCCTAAATAAAGACTAACCAGATGGTAGATCATCCAAATATCAAACAACTACATGTATATTATAAACGTAGTAAATTTTTAAACCATAAACAATATACCGATAAAACAATAAATATACCAAATAAATATATAACAATATTAGGTGGACGCTCTAAAAAATTGGAAAAACCAAAATGCATCAGATTTCCCGAGAGAGTGGACATGTCCTGCCTCTCGATTGATATTCGTCAGTGCATTTAGGTCTTATAAATCTGTGGCGTATAATGAACCCCTGTCCAGGTCTTGAGTATTGAATGGTGCTAGTTTTAAGAAGGCTGTGGTTATTTCAGACATGTCAGAGATTTTGTGAAGCTACGGCTGTGATGGATGTTTGTAAATGTTTGGATAGTTTTAAGGAAGAGGTGAATTTAAGGATTGCTAAAATTAGAAGTGATAAATTGGAGGTCTGCTCCAGTGATAAAGGTCAGTATGGTGTATTTACGCTGATCGACTCTATGGTTTAAGGCATCAGTTGACCATAATGTGCACAACAGCAAGAAAGACCGCGAGATGCCATTAATTGGAACAGTTGAGTGTTAAGGATTCTTATGCGACTATTTTTTAAAAGACATTGAGCTTTAATTAAGCCATTTTTGTTTCAGAATTGTCGTGTTACTTCGATTTATTAAGAGAATTTCAGAAAGGAAATAGACGCTGCCAGTGTGATGATCCATGCGAGTAAGTCTAGGATATATTAAGCAAAGACCTTTAATTGCGTTCAGCATTTCTACTCCTGATCTAGCTTATACCTGAAAGCCCAGACCACGGAGGTAACTCTCTGTCTGCCCCTGGACAGACCAAGCAAGGAGACTCCGTTGTGTCACAGTGCTCTGTCTGGCCTCAAACAGTATGTATATAAAGTAACGAGAATCCCGATGTAGGTTGTGTCTCAGTGCTCTGTCTGGCCTCAAACAGTCTGTATATAAAGTAACGAGAATCCCGATGTAGGTTGTGTGTCTCAGTGCTCTGTCTGGCCTCAAACAGTCTGTATATAAAGTAACGAGAATCCCGATGAAAATCCTTTAAACAATTAAATTTTAACATAATTTATATTTCAGGGAAAACAAGTATGAGAAGTCGATCTCCCAAAGGCAGTGGCCAACGACGTCATACTCGGTAGGTGCTGGGCTCGGGACAGTTAAGTCATGCTTTTTTCACCCAAGGACACAAAGAAACATTTGTCGGGAATCGAGGAAGGGCCCACACAATTAACACTTTAAATCAGTCTGTTTGTTTGCATCGATTTCATTCTTGTCAAGTACATCTTAGAGATAAATCTGAATTAAGTTAGATGTAAGTTGTGTTATATCCGAAGATATGTCTATATCTATATAGATTTTCAAATGGCATACGGAATATTAAAACTTTTTGCCCACTTCTTCTCCCAGATATATGTATAATATATACCGGTACAAGGCTTTTTAAACGTGGAAATGTCGGCAAAATTAGAAAGTTTGAGAATACAGTAACCTTATGTTTAAAATGTACATGTTATATTTTTTTAGAAATTATTACTAGCATATTTATGTGATATTCACGGAAAAGAAGCCTGTTCAAATTATTACACAAAAACTGAACGTCAGCTAGCGTAAGTAAAGAATCATTACTGTTAGGGCTTGGCCATATATAATAGAGTTTCACATCCAATAATTCAATTCTGATTTGGAAAAACTAGTGACCACTTCCGTTTCAATTTGAAATGATTGAATTAGTTTTTATTTTTCGGCATTTGCTTATTCTATTCTAATTTCCAGTCATTACAGGATCCGAGTCTAACATTGCTTGGTAATAGGAGTCCACAACTTTCCCGTGAAATAGACTTGCATTTTCAACTGTTCATTTCATTGTGCCCCTGAATATCTGGAATTACTGATTTTCAGGCAAAACTTTCTACAATTGAATGTATATTACGAAGATTTGAATTATCAGAATATAACAGAGGCTCCAGACTATGAGGTAAATAATGATATCGAATATTTTATATGGGTTCAGATTGTCTGGCAATTAGTGGTATTTTTTTTAAACAAAGTTAAATCTTTTTATTCATGGGTCTCAGAAATATAAATTAGATTGATTCAACTTTCTTCTAAAAACCCAATCATACCTATCAGTTATTAGAATGAAGTCTGTCATGAAAGTGGTATTAACATGCCGATGTCAACTAGTTAAGCCCAACGCAGACGAGGAACATTTCTGTCGACGAACAAAAACATCGAACAAATACATTTGTTTTCCGTTATCCGCAGACGACAAACATAATTCCGCAGACGACGAACATTTAGCTCGAACAATACGCCAGTGTCACGGAAAATCACATGACCTCAAAATGGCGACGTCCAGAAGAAAATGTAAAATTGCGTTAGCTATTTTATTAATTTTAAAAAGACGCCAACGTAGACGGCGAAATAGGAGCATTTGTGTCCGTAACTGGATTCAACGGCGTAAAGAGCAGGGTGTGTTCGGTAACGTTGTACAGGAGCTGTCGACTGACGACCTAGCAATGTATCGGCGATATTTCCGGGTTGACAAAGACGAGTTAAACACAATATTGAGGCAGATTGCGACCACATATCTACTAAAATCTGCTCCTTCTCCACAGTCCAATGACGATGAATGTTCGGCGCTAATGTTCGTCGTTAACGCAGACGACGAACAAAGAATTGTTCGGGAGGCGAACAATTTTAAAAAATCAAACATGTTGATCGAAACAAAATTTTTACGATTGTTCGCTTAAAATGTTCCTCGTCTGCGTTGGGCTTTACTGATGATAAAGTCAGATTACCTACAATATCTGCATAAGATACTTTTAAATGAAATTTTGTTTAACGTTCTACTTTTCTGCATCTGATTGGTAGATGAGCAATGACAGACAATAAGATCTGAGGGAAATTTGGCCAAAACAGCAGCACTGGCCATTTCATTCTGATTTCCATTTGTAGGGATCTTTAATCTACACAGCCTGTAACACACGGACCTCCCTCCGTTGATTTACTCATGTGTTCCTCAGTCCTTCCCATCTGCATCACTGACAAATAGTGACATCCTACCCTGACTAATCAGTACATCACTATATAACTACTAATACTCTATTTTATTTTCAGTTTGCTCAGTTTATATCTGATGTTGGTGGTACATTAGGTCTGTGGATTGGATTATCTGTACTGAGTATTATAGAAATAGGACAATTTCTTATAGAGTTATTCCACTACATGTGTTGTAGATCAAAGAAATAATTGTCTGGATCTACATTGAAGTAATATTTTAATACAATTTCATGTCTATGTCTGTGCTGTAATAAAGAGATAGTGTTGGTGTTGTTTATTTTAAAATTTGTCTTTATATTTGCCTTACTATCTGATTTGTACCTTTTCAGAATAAGACTTCTGGACCCTGACAACCTTTGAGAAAATCGTACAAAACAGGCTGTTATTGCAAGATGGCATCATAATAGCAATAGCATATGACTTGGAGAATGTCAATAATGCACAAGTGACCATAATCTAAACTTCCAAGGTACATTGGTGTAATAAATAGGGAACCAGTTAATTGTAATTACAAACCTAGCTAAAAAGGCATATTAAGTAAACCGTGTCCCATAGGTGCCACTTAAATCCATCAAGGCTTATGATTGAAGAGGATGTCTCAATATCCATATTGCTATTATTAAACAACGTTGAAATAATTATGATTTATTTATTCAACATGGTAGCAGAATAACAATGAATTGACCATGAACATTTCTGAACCTTTCGTTACATTTCCAGTTTAGAGTTTACTTTCACATAGCGTTCACTTCTATAAATTATCACTTAAAAATCCTAAACTAGTCTCCATTACTTTAATTTACTGAAGAGCTCTTTAGACGTCTGAAATATACCAAAATAGCTTATTGTAAGTTCAAGGGATATAAAACACAATGGTATATGATCACTAAAGGAAAGAAAGAAACAATTTTTCTTTAAAAGGATAACATAGGTAAAGGAAGGGGTAGTATATCCATAATAGTGTTTATTTTCTAATAAACCAGTAAATAGTCTAGATATTAACAGTCAGGCAATAATCTGACCATAAAATGCAAAATCAGAATTTCATTGCAAAATGCTTATGCTAAAGTTATGTCAGTTTGAAAAGAAAATATGGAGACAGCTTTATAAATTTAACAGTACAAAATTTACCTGGGTTGGAAACACAAAATATGCATAATAGACACATGCTTTCAACAAGTTTGTTGCTGGATCTAATTAATCAGTCTGTTGAGTACTTAAAAAAAATCTGTACAATTCTGTTTATCAAAATCTCGTCCAAAGTATGGCAAAATGGAGAGTAAAAATGGTCTTACTTACACAAACATCTATACAATGCATGAAATCTATCAATTCTTCATTACAAGTTTCCTCTGTTTTTTCTGTGTTGTTTATTCTTTCATTACAAGCCTCTAATTTCTCTTTTAAAGAAGAACATCCTGGTAATTGAGAACATTTATCTCTTAGTTCCTGTTGTGGATCCTAAAATGACAAATTTTTTGTATTGTTAAATTGAACATAAAACCTTTAAAAATAAGGAAGAGGAAATCTTTTTCAGTGCCATTTTAAATTACACTTTCAAAATAAAATAAAAATCTTCCATGTTTACATGTAATTGTGTGAAGACAGGCAACACTTTGCAGTCAATTCTGCCAATATTAACATACAACAGAGACTGTACATTAGGAAACAGATCCTCTGTTTACTCGGATGAATCTGAACTGTCATCCCCTCTGATTAGCATGACTGATAAGGGGATTCACGAAACTAGCCTGGACCTAAGATTATAGAAGAGCATCAAGTTTCTATACTTACTACTAATTCTTCTTCTTCCTCTTCTTCTGGTTCCTAATAAAATAAAACACAGCCTTTAGATTAATCATATGAAAAGGCCCCAAAAACAAATCTGATATAGGCCTATAAGCTTACTACTCTAGCCTACTAATTTACAACCAATCCAAAACTAGATTTTGAATCTGTGCCACAAACACGAACCAAACTGGTTTAGGAATAGGATTTCTTGTAAACTAATAAGGCCTTAATATTAAAGGGACAAGTTCGACATATTAGGGGGTGGTTTTGGGCCTCGAATATATGTACATAGTTTTCACATCAAATAATGCCTTAAAAAATATCTCAAACTAAGAATTTCACTTTCTAAATATGGCAGAGTCTCAAGAAAAAGGAGAGTTCTTTTTATTGTTCAAATGGGGTCAATTCTAGCCACAGATGAATTTGAAGACTCAAATTTTGACGGTAAGATGTGAACACTATTTCTGATTAGCTAAGCTAATGCACCTGAACCTTTTAGTACAGTCAACAGTAACTAGGCAAGGAAATGAAATGGAATAGTATTTTCAGTTTGAATTTTCTCCTCCAAATTTGGTTAATGAAAATGAGTTTTACACAATGTGAAATTAGAAACGTTTTGCTAGTACATCGGCAATAGCATAATATGTGACAGTGAAAATTTATTTTCAAACTACTAAGTAACTCAGTAAGAACATTCGAGTTTATTTATGAACAACCAAGGGCAAAAGGGTGACGTCCACATTATACAACATCTCATCTCGAATGAACGAGTACTAATATAGTATTTAGACACTTGCAAACTGCATTATCTGGAAATCTAAAGGAAAATAAACATTCATCAAAATCAATTACCCCGTTGGTAACGGCTTTAGTTTGTGTGTCGTCCTTCATTTTTCAACTTGCAAGATCTTTCTTCAAGATGCAGAAAACCGGAAATGGCAGCGATTAGATCGTACGGATTGGTTCGGATTTAGGCTAGAAATGTTGCAAATTCCGAAAAATTCGACATATTTGGTATCAAGGTAACCTATTTCCAAATTTTGTTGCAAAAGTTGAACTACTTAACTGTGATTTTTTTTCACCCAGCTGATAAAAATCCAAAGTTCAATTTTTATCTGTCAATATTCACTAACTAATCCGTAAAGTTCACACAATTAAGGTTAGGTTCGTTTCATTTTACAAACTGAACTATTTCTGAGAATAATTATAAAGAGTAAAGTCTGTGTGACACATTATAGAGTAAGTTCTATGTGACACATTATAAAAGAGTAAGTTCTGTGTGACACATTATAAAAGAGTAAGTTCTGTGTGACACATTATAAAAGAGTAAGTTCTGTGCGTCACATTATAAAAGAGTAAGTTCTGTGTGACACATTATAAAAGAGTAAGTTCTGTGTGACAACTTATAAAAAAGTAAGTTCTATGTGACACATTATAAAAGAGTAAGTTCTGTGTGACACATTATAAAAGAGTAAGTTCTGTGCGTCACATTATAAAAGAGTAAGTCCTGTGCGACACATTATAAAAGAGTAATTGTCGAAGGAGACTTTACCCAAATTAAGCATTCACATGTTATCAAAAGTAGCTGCTATCTTATTAATAAACATAATTGATTATTGAAAAATGATTAACATTTCTTTCCAGATTCTGATTTATAGATCTAGTTAAAATGGCTGAGAATGAATATTTAGATTTGAGTTTCAAGAGAACACAATCATCCAGTGGAGATTCTCAGAAATGTTGGATGGATTCCTCAATAATGATGGCTTTAAAGTGTGACATTGGAGAATGTATTGAAATAATACAAGCTAATAAATCATTTCTCTGCAGTGTTTGGCCATCAGACCTTACATGTGATAAGTCATTAGTTAAATTTGAGGACTCGGTTTGGTGTAAAAGTAGCTTGAAGGAGAATAATTGCAGACTTAAATGTTGCCAAAGTGTGAAAGCTTCCTCTGTGTCCATTGATGTAATTGTAAAAGATTTTGAAAAATTCAGTTGGTGGAAATCATCAGAACATATATTAAAGAATTTAAAACAGAAATGTATAAAATGTTTAAGGAATTTTCATGTCAGAGAAAACTTCAGTGTGAATTTGGAATCATCACGTTTGGCCAATTTGTATGGCATTCATTCTTTAAGGATCAGGGAAATTGAACGAGAAAATAACTCTGAGGTTGTGTCTGTACACAGTAAAACAAAACTCACCATTAATTCAGTCATAAGTACAGAGAAATATAGTGTCTTAGGGAGACAAGAAACTGTTGAACTCGGAGGTGTTGATCATATTTATAATGAAATGAAGGAACTTATTACATTGCCTCTACTACAGAACCCTGATTTCAAACAGTTGAATTTAGACTCACCTAAGGGTATTTTATTACGAGGTCCAGCAGGTTGTGGTAAATCATCAATGGTGAAGCTGCTATCATATGACTGTAAGGCTGCTTTAATAACTATCAATGGACCAGAGGTCTTGGGATCTCGACCAGGGGAAACTGAAGATAATATTAAAGTATTGTTTGATAAATGTAAGAAACTAAGTCAAGAGGGACCATGTATTCTGTTTATTGATGAACTAGACTCACTGTGTCCAAAGAGGAGTTCCGGAAGTTCCAATGAGTCCAGAGGAACCAGTACTGTGATAGCATGTTTAGATGAAGTACAATACATAGAGAATATTATTATTATTGGAGCCACCAACCGACCATCTGCTGTTGATTCTTCTTTACGAAGACCAGGAAGATTTGAAAGAGAGGTAATATATTTTTATAGACTTGCCAGAAGGTAATAATTTTAAATTGTACTGGTACTTCAAGTTTTGCATGTGAATGATTTACTACAGACATTAAATATAGCATGTTCATGATTTTCTATAAGACAAAGTATGTATGTAAATGATTCTCTGCAGATTTGAGATTCTGTTTATTAATGATTTCTACAAAATATGATATTTTGCTTGTAAATGATTTACAACAGAAATATTTTATTTATTTCATGTACCCGTTATAAGGTTATTATAAATTTACATCTTGTTTCAGATTTTAATGAGTGTACCTAATAAAGAGGAAAGAAGGGAGATAATAAAATTATTAATAAAGAAGCTACCTACTAGTGATATAGATATAGAATATATGGCCTCTATAACTAATGGTTATGTTGGGGCTGATTTAAAATCTCTATGTAATGAAGCTGTATACAATGCTATGAATAGAAATGATGATAGTCAGGTAATTGTTAACAAGACCTATTCAGAATTTTTTTAGACACAACTTACACATAGAAAAGCTCAGTTTTCAGGTCATCATAATGTTTCTAATATTAGAATGTTATCCTCATCACAAAACCACAAGGATTTTACTGATGTGGAAACTAAGGTTAGCTGTTCATATGGGGAACAATGTCGCCCCATTTGCTACTGGTGTTGTACGTCATTGCATAATGCATAATGTTGCCTGGTTTCAATTTCAGTCTGTATCTCTTATATTTAAGGAAAGAGAGATAACTATGTGTGATTTTAAAGAAGGTATAAAAAAAGTGATACCAAGTTTAGAGAAGGGTGTAGAAGGTATTGTAGAATATAAACCTGTATTATGGAGTGATATAGGTGGTTTACCAGACATTAAACAACAAATAAAACAGGTACCAATCTATCAATATGATGTATTTCAGGTCACAGTTCTAAAAAAAATATAACCTAAATAAATTTTTTTTCGTCATTATGGAAATTTACATTAGAAGTTTCTTGTGTCAAAAATATTTTGGAGAGAGTGGTTGAAAGGGTTCAATAGTTTGAACATAGATTAACTCTTAAAAAATATGGAGAATATTTCATAAGAGTGCTAGCGCCATATATCTATTGTAAAAGTTAACATATGGATGTTTCTGACGATGATGGAGTGATAAGTGTATCTTTATTTCCATTTCAGGCTGTAGAATGGCCAATGTTACATCCTGAAGCATTTGAAAGGTTTGGATTACCAGTATCTAAAGGTGTATTATTGTATGGACCACCTGGTTGTTGTAAGACTACTCTAGTCAGAGCTGCTGCTACTTCCACACATACTACCTTTATATCTCTTAACGGTGCTCAGTTATTCTCTCCCTTTGTTGGAGAATCAGAAAGAATTGTGGCTGAGGTTTGTTAATAATGATGTAGTTTAAAGTCAGCTTGTAACTGATATTTCATGTCTGAACTTTTTATTTTTTATGTTAGTGGTGGTTGACCAAATAGTGTGCTGGCTACAGCGAACAACTTTAACTGCAGAGCTACAACTATGCTAAGGATGTATTAACATTTCTGACCATTCAATATGTTCATATGTGTTTCTTGTCTTTTTAAAGCATAATAATCATTTGTGGGAGATGAGAATATTATTTGTCAAAATACTTTTTTAATTGAAAAAGGATAGACTAATGCCGTTGTCCTGGTAAAATTTTCCTCATTGCACATTTCAGGCATTGTCTGTCTTATCTCAAATAGGTACAGAAAAGAAGGATGTTAAACCTCATTCATATTTCATTTCAAAATATATTTCAGACCTTCCAGAAAGCGAGATCACTGGCTCCCTCTATAATTTTTCTAGATGAATTAGATTCTATAGTTGGTAAGAGATCAGGGTCTTCACGAGGTGTTCAAGAAAGATTGTTATCAACATTATTAAATGAAATGGATGGTATTGGAGTAAGACTGGATGACAGTGTATCCAGTACTGGAAGATCTAAAGCATTAGAGGGTGATTCAGCTGCGAACCAGGTCACTAACAAGAATTTGTTATATGTTTTTTTTTTTTTACCTATATAACCCTTCTTATAGAATTATGAGAATTATGCAATCAGGTGTATATCCCCCTAAGCTCTGTATATTTTTACACCTACAAAGTTAACCATATTGTTCAGAAAATGTAAAACAAAGTTGATGCATCAATTATTTAGTGATTAGGGGTTGAAAGCATACATTAAGCTGACTTTCAAAAGCACTAAGGATGTCATCAGAATTCAAACAGCACCTAATTTCCCTACCAAGCTATTCACCTGCCGTTATGCAGTGTTAGATGACGAAGTATGCCTTTATAATTTGATGATGATGTATTCCTATGTATATCTTACTGGTAAAATAATGTAACTATGTAATTCCAGACTGATGCTAGAGGTAAAATGAAAGTAGATAATAGTAGAGTATTAGTTGTAGCTGCTACCAACAGACCAGATTTAGTAGATTCTGCCTTATTAAGACCTGGAAGATTAGATAGAATTATATATGTACCTCCTCCAGATTATCAGGTAGGTTTTTCTTCTTACACTTTTACACTATTATAACTTACCATTTCATTTTATCTGAAATTTTTCATTTTCATTTTTTCTGATGACAGTTTAAACAGAAACAAAATTGTTATCTAATTTCAATTAGATTTTTCCGATTTTTGGATGTGTTTATTGAAATCTTATGCAAACTGTACCAATGCCCCTTTAGTAAATTCTCTAATCTGGCTAGGATATTTTTGAATGAGGCCTGAGGCTCATGAGAATTAATTGAAATTTTAATTATTTTATTTTAGGCTAGATTAGAAATATTAAAGATAAGTTGTAGAAACATACCAGTTGAAAATATAGATGTAACATCTTTAGCTGAACAAACTGAATTTTATACTGGGGCAGATTTAACCAGCCTGTGTCGAGAGGTATGGTTTGGCATGTTGTAATTTATTTATATGCAAATTCAGGCCAATTTAGGAACAATACTGATTAATAAGACTAGCTTGCTGGCTAGCCTAGTGATCCACAGTTCTATCCTGACATAAGTTGAGATGATTCCTTTTGTGATGAGAGAATGAAAACCTTTTACTTGTGGAGTAACATCTTCAAAATGTCAAGGTTTTAGACATAGTTCATAATAGTTTGATAAACTCATTAAGCTTGATGAAAACTGTTGAATGAACAAGAGTCTAGATAGACTTGTAATATTGTCATTGTTATTTCAGGCTGCTATGTGTGCTATGTCAGAGTCTATAGAAGCTACCAGTGTTACAGAATCACATTTCAATACAGCTAAAACTCTAGTCAAACCTTCATTGAACCCTAGTCTTATACACAAATATAAACAACTTCATTTCAAAACTTGATGTTTATAAAATCTCTCTATATTTCTTGAGAGGTTCTATGTCATAATAAGTGTCTGTAATAAGTAAAAGATAAAATAAAAATTGTGTATTGAAATACAATTTAATATTTCTATAGTACAATATATATACATATACATCTAAAAATAGGTTATTATTTATGATGAAATGGTTGCTTCAATGATCATTTTATACAGTAAAACCCCTTAAAATTCTTTGTTTTTCTCCGTCATTGTGTTAAAAAAACCAGGCTAAGTAGAGAAACTATTCTATTTATAACTATTTCTCTATGACAGAACCATTTGAAACAGCACTCTTTCTAATCTAGTATTGATCTATTAATCTCGATATTCTGATTCAACCGCTATCTTAACCCTTTAAGGATCCTTGATTGATTGTATTACCCCTCTTTCCCCTACAAATCCTTACTATTTAATGATATTCTTTTAGGTTTTCCCTGCAATCTTTTACATCTTTTACATGTCAGAATATAACCAGACTGAATAGAACAACTTAGTTATAATTGTCCACAAATTTTATGCCAAACTACAAAAAGCTTCATTAACCCCAAAAAATTTCAAAATCCCCCCCTAGAAAGAAAACCCCTGGAAGAGAGGCTTCTGTTCTGGGTTTCACTGCATTGACTTAGTTGATTCATACCCCATAACCAACAGTATCATGATTGTTATGATATGATTGAAATATTTTCTATATACAATGATTAATGATTTAAAAAATGATGATGTAAGCAAAAGTGTTTGTGCATAACCGAGTCCAATTCAAAACATGATCATGAAAACATGTTTATTCTGACTTTTACAGTTCAGTTACTAATTATTCTACCTAAAAATAATATCATATGTTTATATTTGGACCCCAATATGCAAAAATATCTTGGCTCATCTATAGTTCTATGCAATTATTTTTTGACTGTCAGAGGTCTCTTTCAATTGTAAGGTCTTTCCAAACCATTAACAATATTTTTGTTTGTTTATGTGCACCTTTACACCACCAGACTTTCACAAGAAATATGTATCAAAAAGCTTTATGATATAAATTTTCTGACATAATAGTGAAACTGGTGGATTTTACTCAGAGTATTTTTTAGGTTGATCTATTAAACTTCTAAATTCTAAAATTCCTACAACTATGATTCAGTTCAGAATATTTTGAATTCTTTTAAAAGCTTTTTCAACTTTACTTTCAAAAGTTCTGTCCTCTATTGAAGAAAGGCAAAAAAGGATGTATCTGAAATATTCTATCACTGAACTTTGCTCCTTCAAATTCCAACTTTCGTCAAACTTTGGCATCATGGCATGCATTTCCAAATTTTCCTCTCAGACTTATTTGTATGTGGATAACAATAACACATGCTCACTCTTTCCCTTGATTCACAATATATCTACCAAGTTATCACATGATCTATATTGCTTTGACTCTATTCAATTTCTCATCATATTGAAGTTTATTAAAACTGTGTGAACATTCAATCATTTGATCAAAAGATGAGCTGAGTCCAGATAAATGATAATAATATTGTTCTTTTTCTACTTGTATCATAACATTTATAATACCAGCTTCTTTTAATATGGACGTCACCTATAAAATAGAAGATAACATGAATAGGTTTTATTATTTCAAGAACTTGCTTTACATATAATTATTTTCTTAAGTGGAACAATTATCAGAATTATATTGTCTCAGGATGAGTTACTTAGAGATGTAATACGCCAAGACTTGTGACTCCTTTGGTAGGCAAAATGTGAAGTTATTTATGTACAAGCATGGCAGAATTCCATCCACTAAATCTTCTGACTTATCATGGAGTGTCAGTAAGTCTATCAGATCCAAAATATAACATTATAACACAAAATATAGCTTATCCATCAGCCCCAAAGTTTCAGCCAAGTCTCATTAACTAGAATGATGCAAGAAGAAGCCATAAATGACCCCTATCCTAATTAAAAAAAACTCTTTACAAACCCTTTCATGAATGTATTATTGATAATCATCAGCTCTTAAATTCATAGCCTTTCTATTGACCTTATCATAGATAATCAAATAACAAACCTGAGTTATTATTTTTTGTTCGGAAGATTCTGGTGATATCTGTACATGGATCAAACCTAATATTTTATCTGATGTATGATGCCAGAAATGAGGATCTCTATAACTTATTACCCCTTCTATATTTAATATCTAAAATAATAATCAATCAATTATCAATTATTTCATATAAATTACTTTATTGATAAAATAGTTATTTATAAATAGATAGTTATAAAATTCATCGGTAAATTTTGAATTGTATTTTATAAATATTTGCATGGTAAATGTATTAATGAACAAAGAGATTAGGGTATAAGAAATTCGTGTTCAGGTTTTGGACGTCTTAAACCTCAATAGCTACAATGTTGGTCTTTTTCTCTAACATGACCTGTGCGTTGCACTATATAAAGGTCTCAACTAATAGAAAAATCAAAATAAGGTCATACTAATAGTTCTATTCAAAGCTAAAACAAGGAAAGACAATATACTTACCGATTGTAAAGATTCAGATAATTCTGTCTCTAAATGTCCAGGTGTTCGTAATAACAAGATAGAGCCAGTTTCTTTTAATAATGGTATAACACTCAATAATATCATAGTAGCAATAAATAATGAACACAGTGGGTCAGCTATATTCCAACCAAAATTCTCTATTAATAATGTAGATATAATAACACCTACACTACCTAGTGTATCAGCTAGTACATGTAAAAATACTCCTGAAATTTAAATTAAAATGGTTAAAAATTGTGCTGGGTATAGCCAATAATGCTACGAAACAACATGTATCATGATACTAGGACTATAATACATATCGCTTTATGGGGTAAAAGACAAAAAATATTACTTCATCTTTAAAGTTTCAATGATTTTTTACGACTTTACATCACAATTATCATTGTCAATAGCTTATTGATTGCAATTTATGTTCATAAATGAAACCTGAATTTTCAATTTCATCTGCGTCCTTTTATGATCAGTTGGTATTCAAATAAGAGCACATATACCTTCCATGTTGGTATTATGATGTTTTGGTTCTTCAGCATGACCATGACCTCCTCCATGACTGTGACCTCCCCCGTGACTGTGGCCATGACCTTGACCCCCATGCGAATGACCATGACCTTGGCCTCCATGAGAATGGCCATGACCTTGACCCCCATGCGAATGACCATGATTTCCATGAGAGTGGCCATGAGAATTACATGGTTCTTTCACTGGTTTTGAACCATGGCTGTGTCCATGTCCCCCACCATGACTGTGTCCATGACTACCACTAAATGCAAATATACCAATTAAATTGACTAAAAGACCCAACACAGAAACTATCTGAAATGAAAACAATATTTAGGTTTACATGAGACTGAGTCAATTGTTGATCAAGGTGTCGCTCGATTGGTGAGGTTCCGTCTGTTCTCAATTCTCAATCAAACCGAAGAGGATATGTCATATTCAAGATAAATATACTGCTATATATGTTATGGATGTTCTGTCTACCTCTAAATTTCATACAAAGATTATACGTATCAGATCTCTAAATGAACTGAGAGTAAAAATTGTTTTAAGCTAACTAGTAATCTTTCTGTTGAGATTTCAGGTGGTTCAAACAGTCTTCCTACAGCTTCTGAGAATACAAATATAGCTATCACTACTAGAAATAATCCATTGATAAACCCAGATAATACTTCTACTCGATCAAACCTAAAAATAGAAATTTATTAACATTCTTTAATACTAGTACATTTATGTTATTTGAGATATTTTCACTTTCTTTATATGACTTGGAAATCCTAGCACAATGGGCGTTGTTTAAGTGAAGTTAGTCTGACTATTGTCAAAAATGTCTGTTAATGGATTCTGTCTGAAGATTCAGCTTTAATGGATAAAAGTCAGATTTTCCTTGTGATGTTAAAATTGTGCCGTGTAAAACATCAACATATATAACACAATATTTCAATACATTTCTTAAAGCAATATTCACTTGAAACATAACATTCAAAGACTATATATATTTACCCATAGGAGAATATTCTGGTTGGTTTCCACCGAGCCATAATGGAAGCATATAAACCCATAACTAATGCTGAACAGTCAAATAACATATGAAAACCATCAGATATCAAACCAAGACTGTTGGTCCATACTCCATAGATCAACTCCACAAACGTAAAACCCTGAATAAAATATAGAATACAGTGGTGTTATACTTCTTCTACTATTATAATATTATTGGATCTCCTTTAACACTTTGAATACTGAGTGTGTAAACCAAGTAAAAAGTGTATGATGTTAATGTTATCAAACTTCCCCATTGAAATGAGCATACACTGACTATTTTAAAGACAAATTCCATGAATATTATTGAAGAATTTACTTACTAAATTAATACACAGAAAATAAAATATCCTCCTCGAATCAGATTCTTCTAGTATTTGTTTTAAACCATTTTTCATGATAATAAGTAAAGATTGAGAAGTTCTGTGTAAAGCATCACCAGCAAAGGTATATAACGGTACTCCAGTTGGTGAATAACCAATAAAATTACCACGACTTGATTTAGGCTGTGATACCAATAGTTTAGTAGCTGAAAATGAAATAATATTGAAATATGTAACTTATAATCTTGAGAACAGAAGAACCCTGTAGACAAAGGAATTTGTTTTTTGAATCACAGTAAAATTCTAGGTTTGATTCTCATATATCACCTACCAAAGACTGCCTTCAAATATATGAAATACACAAGGTTTGTCAACTCTACATTCCTTCAAAAGGAAAGGGGTTGGGGGTGGGGGGCAATAGCTACAGGCCTTGTCCCCAGAGGAGCTTCAAATAACTATTCTTACCAAAGAGAAAAATGATAACACTGAATACAACACCACCAGATAACACATGATCTTCAGTAATTATTTCCCTTAGTTTACTCATCGTGGTAATCTGAGCTATATACGGATGGTTCCATGTCAGACTTAATAACACAGCACTAATAAACATAAATATAGAGCCATATAGAGCTGTTTTAGCTGGTTGTAGATGGTTTATACATACAGCTTCTATATAATAGTCCAATAGGAACACAAATAATATCACTAATACTAGAGGAAAGATGAGAAACACTGTTGATTGTATGTCAGTCTGAAATTAGAAAAATACTGATGTGATATCTAGAATCAATAAAGTAAAGCTAAGTCATATTGAAGATCTTTACTTTAGCTTTGATTTAGGTTAGCAAAATGTTATGTATCATTCTTTTAGTTTATCTTCTACTAAATGAAACCTTTAAATTTTTTATATCTAAGTTTTAAAAAGCATGGCAAAATGTTTTCATAAAGCAGATAACTGAACCTAGTATCGGGAAATTTCATCACTTACCTCTTTAGTTAAATATATAAATGCAGCCCATGGTAATAAGAGAATAGAAGATACTAATGTTGATAATGAGTGTAGACGTTTAGCTCCTCCCACTTCTACTGATAGTTTTTTTGATGCAGCATTAAAACCAACTTGTAGACAAAGAGTTATAGATAGTAATACAACACCTCCCTGCAAATAATGGAGTAAACTGGTGCTAAACTATTCTTTAATTTGCATTTACCCCCCCCCCTCAAAAAAAGGTTTGTATCCCTTCTTCATTTTTAACATTTTTACAAATATAATTTTTTTACCTGTTTGGCCAAAAATATGTGCCAGAATGCACCAAATTAACTATATTTTTCTTTTAATTTTGGTGAGAGAATGACTTACTTTATGGTCTGACCAGCCAACTAAATTAACTATATGGTAAAAGATATGTGATATGACTGTTTTGTGGATATCATCATGTTGTTCTTCTAGTTTCAGGTTAAGGAAATCATAAATCAAATGAAATTATTGGATATTTCGTTTTTTGCATTTTAAATTTTTAATGAACATAGGCAATGCCAGACAATGTCCAATGAGCATTAAAACTGGTGCCATAACTCTCTTAACAATATACCCTTCTTAATGTCCAAATTCTTTAGCACACAGGGCCTCAGTTTATTGTTCCATACAAATGAGTAGCTGAGTAGACACTTTTTCCTGTCTGAATCAATGACATGGTAAATGGGTTTATAAATCTGAAGATATCATCTCTAGGTTATTGAGCAAAACAACCAACTCACTTAGCTGTCAAGGCCCCTTGAAATTTTTATAAGGATACTTTCATGATCTGTCATTAAATCTAATTTCTCATCATGATCAAATAAGAGTAAGGCAATCACAGCCAACACAAAAAATACACCACCACGTAACTAAAACAGGTAGAAAAAAAAACATAAAGATAAATATAACTTACAACAGTTAAATATATATACTATAGCAATAAATGGGTTATTAATGAATATTATTAAATATGATAAAATGCAAGTTAAATAAAAAGGGTATTGTATTTACCTTGGCTGGTCCCCCACTATTACTGGTGAATAAAGCTGTTATAGCTGCTATAACTACAATATCACTGTGTTCATATAACAATATACTCCTATAATAGATTATAATACAGTAACATAACATTTTAAATGCTAAAATTTTCTCAACGTTGTTAGAATTTTGCTGCCAAATCAGAAAAATATCATATTGGTAAATTTTTAACTGAGTAAACTTTAGAATATCAAAATACTGAATAATGTTGGATTAAATTTCAAAATACCGAACACTAGAATTTTACCTCAATGGTCCACATAATGTTAACCCAAACAGCCACATCAGACCTAATATACTTCCAAAAAATGCATGTCTACTAATTCTAAACCACTGAAAATATAAAACATGTGTCGATTATTAACTAAGGCCTGGGACTCAACAAATAAGACAAAGGAAAAGAGTTTTGAAAATTACTATCTTTAAATCAAATTGACTTTATTCCATAAAAGATAAAAAGACAAATTCCACAATGCTTGATACAGTAACGTAAAATTATGATTGCACATAAAATAAATGAAGTACCTGAGAGGCATTCAGTCTACGGCCAGAGCCAAATGGCTTCTGTAAAAAGAGAAATGGTATTCCACTCCTGAAAGGAAAGAATATGAAGCGACATAGTACTTACTGCACCCAGTTGGGCTTGTGTGGATGCACAATGCCATGCAGTGTATAATGAGGGGCATTATAAGCAAAACAGCCAATTCAACAATTGGGATAGAAATCAAATCTTGCATCTGTTTTTGTTAACTAAAAATACCTACCCTAACTTGACAAAGAATAGAAACTGTACGACAGGTACCAGTTTAAGAAGATCATACGCTATATATAACCCAACAGCTCTCAGAAACCTGGAGATAACTAGCAGTCCAATATATAAACTTAGACTGAAAAAAATAATGAAAGTTAAAACAGAAATCATCAGCCTTTCAAAATTAAAAATATGCATTCATGTATTCTCTCTTCTTAGAGAAAAAGTTACATAGGATCATACATGTGTAATCTACCCATGATGGGATTATAGAAAACAAATAGACGAGGTAGAATTTGTGAATTCTAAGCTGCTCCAGACTGATGACATAGTCTGGATAGATACTATTATCTATTCTGACTTGGTTTAGAGAAATGAAAATGAAAACCCTTGATAAGATTGTAAAGAGTTGAGTAGCTTGTAAAAGTGCTAGTTGATGCATTATTTGAGTAAATAACACTTACAAGACGATATTCTGGCTTGCCACAACTCAAAAAGCGCTCTAGTATATTTTAAAATTTAAACCAATTTCCAAACAAGTCTAGCAAGTATGAGTTTTTTGAATATAAAACAGATGAATAAATGAAAATCAATTCAAAGGTTGATCATCCTTTCAATAACATAGCATGTCATAAAGTAAGGATAACTGGAATAATTGTAAGTGTACTTTTTTGAAAGTGCTAGTTAAGGCATTTTTCTTGCCAGATATTGGTATCTGAGCCAATAGCATTTGAATTCAACACAATTTTCAAACAAAGTGTACCGTACCTGTATTGATGAGGATTATATATATGAAACATGTATTGCCAGTATGAATGGGGTATTTTAATGTAAAGAGAAGTTTTAGTGTTAAAAGGAAGAATTGTTAGTGTACTTACTCTGACGATCTATAAATAGCTCTACCAGGTAGAATATTACCATTATAAGCATCTCCCATCATGAATGATCTAATTTACAAGCACCACACTGAAACATATCATGGTACATTAATATTATGTATTGGGCTATAACAAAATGTTCATAAGTAGTGTTATATGGTTTATATCAAAAATGTTCATAATTGGGCCAATTTACACTTAACAAACATCCAGCTAATGCTTGGTCTATCTAGTGATCTGCATGGAATCACATGTGTTTGCTATGGGGTTTTATATCTGATATATTGATTCAATATTTCTTGTGTGTGCTTGCTTGTGTTTTTTTTTTACATTATAGCTGATAGTTCAGATAACCCCGACGCTTCGACTTCATGTTCATAGTAATCATATTCAATTTCAAAGTCGTAGTGAATCTCAAGAACCAATGCCAATGGGCCGAAGTTCAAGGAAACTCAACGGGAAATGCTCTGAGTGCTGAGACTTACTAAATTAGCATATTGCTGTCTCTTTCAACACTCATAAAATTAATGTTGATTGAAAGCTCGAGAACAGTGGTGGTTCATCAATATTGTCAATATCATAACTTTCAGTTTATTTTGACACGACATGTACCGGAAATGGAAATGGAAGGACTATTTTTAACTTCACTTTTAAAGATTTTTTAAAGGGAGCTAACGCGTACAAACCTACAATACTTATACTACAATGAAAATACCTCTGGGATTCTCACGTGCATATAAAAGAAACCTGCGACCAATTACCACATATTATCTTTCCTCATCATCTAATACCTTGACTGCAAAAGTCACGTCCTTTTTGTATCATGACAGTTTGTAAATGGAGCGACGTGATTGGAGTGCATGCTAGAGAATACAGCAAATCAGCCCTCGACAGAAAGCCTGTGTATCATAATTTTATAGTTCTGAGGACGTGAACTCTGATTGGCTGTATTCTCTAGCGTAAAAACTAATCAAAACGTGTACAAGAAAGGTGTAGATTGAGTTTGGCGCAGCTCAGACATTAGCTGGAATTGACCATAGTTAAATAGCATTGTACTTTTATTCTAATGGACCAACACGTACGTCCTTCTTTAGGCTACTACACCATTCAGCGCCTGGATGTTTTAGTAAACATGTACGCCCTCTATGTCTGTAAGTAGGCTATGAACTTCGGGGCTTACATACACATCACATACTCCTTCTGGGATCTAAAACAAAAACCTCCCCTATTCAACAGCATCTAAACCTAAACACCGCACTCTATTGGAACTCCAGATATATTTCTTGCCCTCCGAACAATAAAGTCTGGCCACAGACCCTGACTTTTGTCAATACTGGATTAAAAACAGCTTATCTTTGTTATACTTTTACTAACAATTATTCTTTTATTCATGACACCTTTCAATCACTCATTACCATTACTTTCAATCACTCATTACCATTACTTTCAATCACTCATTACCATTACTTTCAATCACTCATTACCATTACTTTCAATCATCATTACCATTACTTTCAATCATCATTCTAAATTTATATAACAACCATAACCTAAACTATACACAACACCCTTCATTCACCCATTACCATACTTTCAATCATCATTCTAAATTTATATAACAACCATAACCTAAACTATACACAACACCCTTCATTCACCCATTACCATACTTTCAATCATCATTCTAAATTTATATAACAACCATAACCTAAACTATACACAATATATTCTCACAACAATGCTAAATTTATAGCCATTTTTGTACAAAATGTAAAAGGAAGATCGTTTGATAGACATTCTATAATCACATAACAGCTTGTGTATCAAGGTTCCAAGTTCAATACAAAGATTAAGTCTTCCAACTGATCTTTATGACATTAATCGCTGTTACAGGCTCTGTTAGTGATCTGTGTGATTTAACATCATCTTCAGAATCAATGCAGAGCCTGATAGACATTGAAAAATATAAAGAGTGTAATAAATAGACTTAAATATACAGGTACTAGATGATCCAACCTCTGTATGAACTTGGCCTATTCCAGATTTGATATACAGTTTATAGCCATTGATCTGATTGATTTAAAATTATCACTAGAAACAATGCAGAGCCCGAAAGACATCGAGAATATGATGGGTGAAATTACTCGTTGCTTGTGTAGAATGAGTATTGCCGTTCTTCTCTGGGTGCCTCACCCATACTGTCCAGGCTTACAAGCCTCCGTTGCCTCACAGACCTTGCATGGTTGTCCTTTTCTCTCATTCTATCTCGTATGCTGCGCAATCGCAATTGTCTGGAGGCAACGGCATCTTCCATCTTTTTAGTTTGGATATCTTCCAGTGCTTTCCTTTCGGCTATGTAAGCCTGGACAGTTTCAGGAGATTCTGTCTTCATCATTTTTCTGACCTTAACAATTCTTTCGTCCTCCAATTGCTACAAAAGACCAATTTTAGCTGTTTAGAATAATATATTGAAGCTTTTGGCCGCGAATTGTGAAAATTAACCGGCTGCAGAATAACAAAAGTTCTTGTTTAAACGTTATATATATCGTATAAAGTTGAATAATAGTTGATGTTGATGATGATGATGATAAAAATGATGATGACTTACTTTGCGGCGTCTCTCAGCCTGTAACAGCCTCTCTCTAATATCCTCTACTGATGAATCTTCTCTTTCGGTGTTCTTCTTTTTCATCTCAAGTAGACGAGTGGGAGGGGCAACAACAACTGCTCTATTTTGAGAAATCTCAAAGGCGACCCCTTTAGCGGCTACCCCTGTCAGTTTTAATACCAGACCTTCTTCATTGTCACATTTCTCTTCTATAATAAACAAAAAATATAAACGTTTTAAAATAATATAGGTCTGTAAAAAGAAAATGTTACTTTAATGGGAGGTGCATGGGAGGTTTTATTATATGACACTCTCTTGCCACAAACGTTCACGAATTTCAACATTTTTGTAAGCAGTAAGCAGTAAGAAGCAAGTGGTATCTCTTGTTGAAATAAATCAAATACAATTCTTACCAAGAGCTTTAGGTGTTTCATCTTCGGCATTGGACTTGGGCTCTTCCTTTTCCACCTGTGTGCTGGTTGATTCCTGACTTTTAACCTGGAAAATGGTAAAGTCGGTTCTACTTATGACCATCTTAGTACCATCTCCAATAGGTTGAACTCGAATTATATTTCCTCTTTTGGGTTTTTTCGGCTCCGACCGAGTCGACAGAATACAACCCATTGTACTTTTTCATACAAAAACTGATGAAAATACTCAATTTTCCTGTATGTTTAACAACTTAATAATAATAAGTAGTCGACAGCTTCAATAGACTGGTAACTATGCGTATTACTCTATTGTTACTATGTCACGTATTTGCATATTCATTTCGGAATTTTCCGGAGACTCCGTGTTCATTGTGACGTCATGATATTAGCTATCTTAAATCTCATTTTTAAAAATACAAATTATACCCATTTTGCATGTGAATTTTATTTTATTTTCAAATGTATAATTAATACGTGGTTGAGTGAATATTTCTTTTGAGTTATACTGAATGGTTGATGAGGATGGGCAATTTAAAATTAACGAAATTTAGATTTTAACGCCATACTTTTCTTTTCCTATCTCGGCTTATGAAATGGAAATGAAGTATTCTTAGCAAGAATAGTGACAAGCTGCGCCATTTTTGGGGTTGATTTTAGTCTTGAATATATGTATAAAAATTATAGTCTTCAAGAGTACTAGAAATGTTAGAAAATATTCCTTTAAAGAAACTTCAAACTAGGAAGTACTGCACCAAGTTGGGCTAATGAAACAAGCAATTCCATTCAGTTGTCAGACGACTTGGTTCTTTGATGCTTAACATAGAAGAATGTGATTCGAACCCATTTGTTCTCATGGCGTGTCCACAAGGTTTGACAAACAAATGACAGAACAGTTTGACGCAATCTATAATATTATCATCTAAAATGACCAATACAAAGCTTTATTCATCCAAAATACTTTATTCACAGTCTCACTTCAATAATTCTTAACACGATTTTTGTCTTGAAAACATCTTCTATGAAATACGGCGAATAATTCTCGAAGAAAATGAGCGATTTCAAAAAAACTAATGAAAGATAAACCGATCCATAATCCCATTGTTCCACCAATATCCGAGAAAAGTTGAACATCCTGAAATAGTCAATGGATAATAATCCAAATGAAATGCATTTACTGCTCTCCCTTTCTGTCTAAAAATGGGCTAATTAATTATGCAATACGAGATTTTGTACTTAATCAACAAAGGTTGAATTAACTAAGATAATAGCAGACCAATATATATCAAAATGAAATCAACGTAGGCTACGGTTTCACTACCAAACAACAGACGGAATGGAATACGAGCTCCTCTTTAGCATATTTTGTTGATGAAAAAAGGTAATAGGTTATTGGAACAACCAGACGATTTTCCTTTACCAGAAGTAAACTATTTGAACAACAATGATTCTATTGTGGAAATAGAAAGAAGTGAAAGTTTAATAGAATATCAAGCTATTATCAATTTGAATTTGAATGCAGCCGACAGAGAGAGCACCCTTTCCCAACTTGCCTCATAATCTTGTTGTTCCGTAATATTCCGATAGTTTAAATCTTCAAAATATATATTCACTTTGGCAAAATTTTGTCTGGAAAAGAACATAAATCATTATGAGTACGGCAAAGATGGCAACGGTCCTTTTTTTCTCAAAGTGAGAGGAAAATAACGACTAATGAGTAATCAAGTATTTTTAAAAGCCGACGACAAGAGAAAAAGAAATATTTTGTTAACTATATTCGAAGTTTCACATGTTGTATAGATCATTGTAAATATGTCATACATAGAAGTTCTGGAATTTTCAGGTCTTTAAGTTATAACTTACGCTAATGATTGAGTGTTGTTGGCATTCTCCTCAAGATTCTGGCATACAGCATCACCTTTGGATCCACATACAACTTCGACTAGTAAGGCCTGCATATCGAATAAAGAGATATGGACAATATAATCTGTCTAGGTAATTTGTTCCTTGTTACTTTCGGACTCTTCGTATCCCCTTGCAAACGGCCATAAGCACGGGAAACGAATCCAACTGAATATTATGATTATTTGCTCGGCATTTAAACATTGTCTATGCAGATTCTGATGTGCTCACAGGTACCCTCAGAGGTTTATAATTCTTACCAGGAGTTTATTCACCAAGTGAGACAGCTTAAAGCTACTTTTCTTACTCTCAAGACACAGCTTACACGATTTGATTGAATTGTACGCTGGCGAATACAGCCAATCATAGCCCCCGATTCCATGCGCAGCCAATCTGTTTTCGCTAGCGTACAATCCAATGAAATGGTTGCATTTTCAAACTTCGCGATACACGAAAGGTAACTATTACAATCAAGGTAAAAGACAAAGTTCGTAAAAGCTTGTCATTGTAAAGATGCTCAAAACTGGGTTCCTGATATCGCGGAATAATTAACTCAAATTATAGTTTGTTATTCGCAGATGAAGACGAAGCATACAGATAGCTGAAATAATCTCGATCATAATCCTTTATCGATTCGATGGTAGAAGATAAAAGAAAATAAAACTGATAAATCTTACCGCATAGTTTTCTGATGGCCATTGTCGAAATGAAACAGATTCTTCAAACATTGTTTCGCTGAAAAACAAAATTGACAGAAAGGGTCGGGAAAATAGGACCAATTATATCAGAATATGCCACAATTACCCGTGTTAATTCAAACCTGAGTTACTAGTATGAATGAAGCAGTTTAAATGAAGATAAAGATCTGAAGAATTTCTTACCTACAAGCATCATAACAATAACATTCATGTTCACCGGTTTCAATATTTCGTTCTACTTGGCCCACACATCTCAATTCTGAAAAAGAAAATTCACATATCATCAACTAATACTGCTTATTGTAATAACAGGTGCGTTTTAAAAATATACATATAAAAAAATCATTTATAAAAAGCTCAATGAACATGGAAATTTGATGTAGCTTGATAATAGTCGGAAGATATAGCTATAGAAAAGTGTTAATACAGGACAACCTAGGTCGTAGCATAATGGAGGCAACGAGGCAGTATACCATCTTTTGAAACGACACGCCCTTAGAGCTTCCTTTAATTTTCAATACATCTATGTATTTTGTACCCGATACCCTCTCATTTTAACTTTGGTTTACTACGGCCTTGCAAACCCTTGCTTTAAAGTAACATTGTGTATAGGATCAGGGGCGCAGATCGCTTTTTCAATGCGAGGGAGGGGGGGGGGGGGGGGGGTTGGGACAGTGAGACGCCCCTTCGTAACGACGCTTCCGTGAGTGGAGATGGGTCTGCGCCCATGTATAGGAAGAAACGACTCGTAAATTAAGACTTAGTCTAAGCAAGAACTCAAACCTTTCTGTTGATGAACAATGTCAATAGACGAATATAAAAATGAAACAATTACCAGCTACTGATTGGCATTTGTCCGGGACACTTCTCGATCTTTTAAGTCTTAGATTGATCTCTTCTTTAAACAGATCGGAGCAGTTACACACATCTATGATTCTATTGGCTTCACACACATCTTGACAAATCTAAGTGGAGACAAAAACCAATGAACATTTATATCAGTATTTTTTTATTCTGAACACATCGGAGTATAATATAGCGCTCATGATAATCTTGCAAGCGTTCCTGGTCGTTTTCCCTGCTATAGTAGCACATATTATGAACGACAGATTCTGTATCAGTAGTGTAAACTGAATCTTTTAAAGGCCACATATTACAGCCAATGTCCTAATCTTGGCTCTGATACTAGCATTACAGAATCTGTGCTTCACATACACTACTAGCAGAATAGGATCAGGTGGGAAATCAGGGTGTAATCTTGTAGTGGTTTAATCATCGGTTTTATAACCTCAGGTATTTCAAGAAAAATACCTAATTCAAACTTACCGTTCGGGAATATTTCAGGCCATATGACTGAAAACTCGTTGAATCGTTACATAATCCAAAAGGCTTACCCATTCTTGATATGCGCACCTTGAATATAGAACGTTAACATAATTCCTTATTAATCGTACAATTATTATGTTAGGTGCTTCCAGGAATATTTATCAATTAAATAATATATATTCTTTCAGCATCTTCCGATTATATTTCTTCTAATATGTTGTTTTGATCCCATTGGTTTGTTGGACTATTAAACGCTTCATATCATCCAGATAGATCTACTTAAAGCACCAGGAAGAATCAGTGGCGTTACTCCATTACCCCTCCACTGAATTGAGGCGGTCCCGGCTCTGTATTTGTTTCATGGGGAAAGAATGGCCTTTGAGCCTACTCCCCCTTATTCATATGAGTCATAGTAACACCAATGGAAAGAACTCAATTATTACCTACCATTCGTAAGCCTATATGGCTTTCCATGGCGGTAGGTAGTGCTATACCTTTGTCGTAAGGATCCGGATACTCGTCCTGATCATGTATCAGAATCTGCGCCCCAGTACCGGAGGTAACACCATCTATATAGTCGTAATTTTCCAAAAATAACATCAGTTCTAACCCTAAATACATAGAATAGATTAATGAGAACTATTAAAACAGAACCTGAACGATGTTGTTACTCAGTGAACAGTGTGAAACTCTGAGTAACAACATGTTTCAGGTTCCGTTTAATATCTATATCACTCTACAATAGATATATTGAGCACTATTATAACAGCTGTATTTATTGGGCAGTATTTAAAGCAACATTCCGGTTTTGTTTGTAGGTCGAAATTTTATTTACTCAAATTTGTGAAAACTATACACCAAAATCTAGAGAAATGCCATCACCATCACCCCCTGGCCTCCTCAGTCAAAATTCAGTTACGTATATATTCCTGAATGTTTATGAAAACATCGTATCAGACACGTGGTCAGACTTGATCGTTCGGATGTACAAGAAAGATATCCGGGGTTGCAATGATTTATGATGTATAGTTGCAGTAATGGAATTAGTCAGAATTTATTCAGGGGGCATTGCGAAGCATTGTTATACTTTTATATAGTCACATCCTCTCACCTTTGTTCGGGCCACTTCTTCTGCTTTTGAAAAAACGTGACTGTAAGGTATAGCAGTTCCCAAAATAGGCACTGGTTATTTGTGTAAAATTACTGAAATAATCAAAATAACGTTAGTTATATCATCTCTCAAAGACATGCAATAATATGATTTTACACACCCTTGTTCTGTGTCGATAGCGCCAATGGAGACAGCAAGATTCGATACTAGCAAGACACAAAGTGGCATCAAAGCTGTCTTATTGATCGGATTAAAGACCAATTACAAGGATAATTCCACTGACAAAATTTAGTGAATGTTTAAATTACATCGTACAAAAAGGTTAAACTTACTCTGCATGACAACTTCTACCAGCAAATGAACATTTAACCAACATATTATTCAATTGATGCCCAATTGCTAATCGATTCTTTCTGAAATTGGCAAAAATCACATTTCATGATGGCTTTCTGGAACGTTGTGGTGCCCTTATCGTGATCATAGCTACAGAGTTGCTTTTAGTTTAGTCACAATGTTTACTACTTTGATTTGAATGCGGGTCGGTGTGTATTACACCAGCGACTGTGTCATCAGTGGCAGAAGAACGGGCATCTGCACAATGTCAAGATGTTACGAACTTCGTCTTATACAGTCAATATGAGGCCTCTACAAAAAGCGTACAATCCAATAAATTCGCTGCATTCTGTGATAAAAGAAAGGTGGATATTGCATTCAAGGTATAAGACGAAGTCTGTAACAGTTGAAGATGAAAAAAGGAAGCTCAAGCGACCCTCCTGCGTCGAAATTACAGATAAGATTAAACTCAATCATACCTCGTTTCATAATTAAACAGTTTCAAAAATTTCTGATAGAGTTGATCAGCTTTATCACGAGCACCAATACTTTCCCAGTCATCTTCATCAAAATAGTCTTCTTCTATCATTGGATCATTATTGGTGACGTTCAAAAAATCTAAAAACCTTTTATGTCGAATGAGAGGTGAATTCTCGTCCGTATTCTGATCTACAGAACGTTTCTTACGCTTTGATGTGACATTCAAGTCCTGTAAAAGAAAGACAAAAATTAAACTTTGGCGTAATGATTCTAATTTCTGTATGCAATCTGAGTAATCTCAATCTAATTAAATTACAATTTCGTTTCTTTTTCGTTTTCTGATATTTTTCGTCTCCATTGTTAACTAACAAGCTTCTACCACAATCACCTTCTAATGACGTGTTATTTTTAACCAATGAAAGTATGTAATGTAGACCCCGTTTCTTGGGATCATATCAAATTCTGGGATAGCGAAATAAAAAAATCTGATCGAAAATGTCAAAATGCTCATACCGGGTTTCGCTATACTACCATTCATTATGTTATCAAGAGGTTCAACAAATAACCAATCCGGTCTGTAAACCAACACATAGTGGGATTAATGGACGAGTTGTCAAATTGAAAAGTGTATCTGCAATTAGTAAATCAACCAGTACTATCAACTGGTAAAAATGTTAGCCTGATTTAGCTAATTAAGACAAACAACGCCACGCAATGTACATTGGGAGAAATTTCGCCAATATCCAACAGTCGGATGAATTATAAAGACATTTTGTAGGGCCTTGTTGTATTGTCTCATCCGAAAGACTAGATCGATAGAACAAACATAATGTAATATTTAAAACAAAGAATAGATTGTCTCTGATGCATTAATCGATACATTACACTAATTGGTTTCGAATTTAAAAGAGATGTTCATTGAAGATTCTTTCAGAATATATAGATATAAGAATTAAAATTTAATAATGTGTTTATACACAACATTACAAATGTAAAGCTGCATGATTGTCGATATTGAAACGCTGAATATAGCTCAATAAACCTAAACGCTTAAACTTTACTGTTTTGATAATTATGAATTAGTAATAAAAGAAATTGCAACATTTCAAACAGAAAAGTGAATATTAGAAGACATTGTTTGTAATATATGTTATCTGAGTTGGAATAACATCATCTTGAAATTCAAGGTGAAATAGACATTAACATTTCAAGTCAATTCAGTTTAGATTATAAATTTCAATACCATATCAAAAAGGGGTTATTAGCATTTACAATTGAGCATTCCAACGTAAAATAATTAATTCTGCAATGCAGCCAACTAGCCAAATAGACATAGAATGCTGGAGTCATAAAGATATAGTACATTGTATCATACTAGCTTAGTTAACACGTACATAAACATTTACATTGTATCATACTAGCTAAATAAACATTCACATAAACAGTTACATTTTATCATACTAGCTAAATAAACATTCACATAAACAGTAACATTTCATCATACTAGCTAAATAAACATTTACATAAACAGTTACATTTTATCATTCTAGCGACATTTACATTTACATTATATTATACCAGCGACATTTATAGAAAAAATTTTGTTATGACACTACAGCGATGATCAGAGGAAAGTTTCTATAATTCAACCAATTTAGAAAATATTCTTAAGGAATTTTAGAATACACGTTAATTCACACAAACTTGAACATTGGGGCCAAATTTAACGATGTTTTTCATTGGTTGGTTGGTAAATAATTCTAAATTTCGACTGAACTCGATTAAAACAAGAATGTATCCAGATCATGAAGGAACGAAAATATAGAATTTCATGAACACAGTAAAGTACTCACCTCATAGAAGTCTCTAACTCGAGTAGGGTTAACTTGATTTAACAAATCCTGTAATTCTGAACTTACTAGATGCACCATTGACTTTCTTAAAGGATTCACATTACATACGGTTACAGCAGGAAACTGTAAGGTATCAAATCCTAATACCACTGATGTCTTCTTCGGGTAGCGGAAGAACACACTACATAGGTAATATAAATGAAATATCAGTCCTCCTATGGCGACCAAATAAAGCACAGACCATATTACTTTTCCGACCAAAGTTTTCGAACTATTAATGTAGGGTATCCCTTGCATGGAAGTTTGCTCCGCGAAGCGTTCACACACTTTTTTGACCGAGCCATCATCAGTTGCCATGTCTTTAACAGCTGGTTGAAAATCCTGAAATAGATTTATGTACCGTAAAGGGAACATTTTTGTACACTGATGTACAACCCAATCAAATCACTGTTTTTCGTAATACAAGAATAGCGGCCAATGTAGTCAAGGTATAAGACTAGATTGGTAATAGCTTGAAATTGTGAAGATGACTGTTAGATTATAAAATGCTTACTAAATTAATTATCTAATGAATGATTTTTTTTCAATATCAAACAGTAATATAGGTCTACAATGTACTTACAAAACATTTGATATTCAATTGAGATGTCATTTCTAGTCACACAGATAGCGTGCGTTGGCTTTTTACTTGCAGTTCATTAACTACTATTGTTTTGTAAGGAGCATTATAAGTAATAGCGGTATTATGGAAAACCTGTTATAGAATGCAGATTACGTTGAAGGTATAACGTCGTCTATTGTATGTATGTATGTATTAGATTAACTAATTGAGAGAGATTAAAGGGAAATATTCTTAATTTTTGCTTCTCCAGGGTCAATTTTATTGGACTTTAGCTTCGCCGCCTGAAATGTACTAAAAACTTAATGAAAGTCATTGACAGTCCAATTTTCTGTCCAGCATGAACTAGAAGCATGGGATCTTCTCGAAGTTGATTCGGATTGATAGAATTGGACAGTGATAATGGTGGCGGAAATGAACTTCAATATTTTGGCTATGCGACATCTATATATATGTACATGTTATGTATACATGTATTCATAATTATCTTCACAATGTCAAGCTATTACGAACTGCATCTAATATCTTGACCGTAATAGGCACGTTTTGTGTTTCACGGGAGCTTTTAAATGTAATAATGTGATTGGGTTGTACGCTAGCGAATACAGAAACTACTATGTACTTTATTCGCTATTGTACAATCGCAGCAATACAAACATCCGTGATAAAAGAAATGCGGTTATTGCAGTCAAGGTATTAGATACAATTCGTAATAGCTTGACATTTTGAAGATTATTCAAAGTAAACCAAAAATTGTTAGAGAAATTTGCTTGAAACACTGAATTCAATTCTTAAATCTCCACGAAACCTGGATTTCATGATTGACTGATCAGTTATTATAGAAGAAGTAAAGGGACAGTGCGCCATTTTTTGGTAGTTGATTTCAGTCTTTGTAGCTATACTCAGAGGTGCTAGAATGTACGAAAATCGCATAATTCCCTCAAATATATCTCAAACTAGCAAATTTACTCACTATTTCTATTTATGTCTTTTCTATATTTCATAGAGTATCTTATAATGACAGTCCTCATTTTAATATTCAAACTCGGGTAATTCTAGACAATAATGGATTGTGTGCTGTGAACACTAATACTGATTGGCTTAGATAAATAAAAAATCTGAGACTAAAGTATGATTAGTCAAAAAGAATGGCACATCTGTCCCTTTAATAATCAATAATCCTATGATTTATTGAATAATTATTGGCAAAGAAATAGAAGTTAAGAAGGTTGAGTCATGTAATACTTGTATAACAAATTAAGATGGTTATTGTTTAAATTCAATATACATGTATTATGTACTGCAGGCCACATCAAACAAATTGCTCGTCAAACTTTTACTTAAAGTGATAGTTGCCCTAATTTCACTGGCGGCATAGAAAAATGATTTGTACCTCTCTTCATTTCTATCAAATTCAAAAATATGAATTTAATACGTTGTTTGGCCCGAAATATGTGTTAGTGAGCACCATATCAATTCTATTTTTCAAATTGTCTTGGACGATAACCCTCTAAAGAGCTGTCGTATTTTAAAATCAACATTAATCCGCTCTTTAAATCAATTTTCATAAGAAAACAACAAGATTTCAACCAAGTTATATCCCTTTCGATGAGAGATAAAACATATAAAAAAAAAGATAGTCTTTACTTCCAATTACATACAAATATATATATATATATATAAACCATTTAATCATATGCACATTGTGATAAGTATATAAAAATAAAGTAAATAGAGAGACGAACAGAATATCGAATCGAGCATTGCTTTTTAAAACCATCCAGCAGTTTTAAACAACACTAATAAAAACATCATTGAAAAAATTTCACTTGCGCGGACCTGAGAGGAAGCAGTACGTGTTTATTAAACAGTAATGACATACAATATAAAAAAATATGAAACAATTCCCGATTGATAAGAATATAATTTACACACTACCGAGTAGACCTCTTCGATATTCAATCGCTTATGGTCGTTTCTTCAAGGTCCGTGATGTAATTAATATGCATTGCACTTTGTTTAGTGTTGTTTTTATACCTAAGTTCTCACTAACCCTGGTTAAAAGTTGGTGAGGCATAAATAATGCTTCAGTGCCAATTTGCTTAAAGTTAAAAGTTAAGTTATTGACACTCTTTTGGAACAGAAACGTTGTTTGACACAAATTTCTTTATATTTTGAGTAATTACACGGGAAACAACTGCTATTTTACTTCTGGTAAGATTTTTGTGGCTGCATATTGGATCTCCTTTTAGGTAAAACACAACACATGTGGTGAAATAGTTCTACTACAAACTGAATAACTTCCATAACAGTTAATACCGATATTCCAATCCATAGACCCAATGTACCACCAACATCTGATATAAACTGGGCAAACTGAAATGTAAAAAAGAAAGATACAAAATGTCAGATAAATCAAGACAAAAATCGTCTCATAACATACGCCTGTATAGCGCGATTTAGATTTTTTCTAAATCAGAGGCCTCGACTGAAACACAAATCAATAATGCTTATAAATTTTCTGTCGGGATTCTGATCGGCTGTATTCGCTAGTGTACAACCCAATTAAATGGCTGCATTCCGTGATGCAAGCTTTGTGGCTATTGCGAAGATGAGGTAAGATTTTGTTAAAGCGGGCGTCACAGCGAGCACCACATTTTCGGACGATACAATATATATCTTCTTATACCAACCTCATAATCTTGTGTCTCTGTAATATTCTGATAATTCAAATCTTCGAAATATATATTCACTTTCACAAAATTTTGACTGAAATATAAAATAGTGAATTTAGAATATAACGAGGTTTGGTCAAGGACCAGCTGGTAGAAAGGGTCTTGATTGTAAAGTTAGGTTGTTATCCCCCCTCCCCCATCCCCTGCAAAATGAAACTTGCATGGAACTTTTTGACATTAATTTTTCAAACTGTTTTAATTAGTCAGGCTATATTTTCTGACATGAAAACGATTGCAGGGAAAACCTAAGAGAAAATCATTAAATAGTAAGGCTTTATAGGCTGAAGGGTGATAGTAAGGACTTATAGGGGAAAGGGGTAATTCATTTGATCAAAGATACTAGGATACTTTCGATTTGTTTTACAGTCTTCAGACGGTAAAGTGGTTCGATTTTTTTACTTCCTGTCATTTACATACTTACGATAAAGTTCTTTTATCGGTTTGTTCAAATTCTTTACAAACTTCTTCCCCTTCATTATGACACAAAACTTGAAATAACATGTCCTGGAACGAACAATTATGAACAAAATCTTAGTTTTATCTCCTGTCCGCAACGCGAACACATCTTTTTCGAATATTAAGTGACGATCCAGACTGTAACGATTTGGCAGTGGCAGAAGGAGGGAGTCTAAACTAAGTGTGGAAACCCCCCATTGAAAATACCCCAATGCAGTATACAATAAGGGGGGATTTTATGGGTCAGTGGTATTAACTATAGTATTTCCATGAAAAAAATTACAATATTTACTTACAGCGTAGTCATCAGAGGGCCACTGTCTGGATGAAATTGACTTCGCATATTTCACTTCTCTAAATTAAAATAGAAGATTTCACATCACTTATTGTAGTGATAGTTTGAACTTATTACAGTCATTTTTTAAAATATGCTTCCTCTACAGAAACACGTTGAACATCATTAAACCTATCGTTATTTAACTTTAAAATTTATCAATTAAAAAAGTATGATCGCTGTTGGCCATATTTACTACTAGCAGTCAGCATTCAGACAGTTTTTATCTAGACCTTCGACTGTCTGGTGGACACATTGCCTTAATTTCTTTTTGATAATAAGTTTTACTTTTTTATGAAAGCGCGATAGTTATGAGCAAGTTAAGAAATTCTAAAGGTGTTGATAAGATATAACTTACTGACAAGGGTCTTGACAATCACACTTTAATCTGTTCGATTCGAATTTTTTAGTCACTCTAAATTGACATAATACTTCTATAAAAAAAAATCAGAAATGAAATGAAATAGAGTTAACAGCAACTGTTTGGGCTAATGAAGACGGCCGACGCGGCGCAGTGTACAAGATATTACCAGGACAGCGACATAAGCTGTATATTCCAGTGGTATTCTGACCTATGTATGCGCATCATATAAGCTTAAATCTTGTTTCTTTTTGGGACCACAGACGTCGGTTGGTAGATCGGAAGAGTGTAAATGGAAGCTAAGTTGCAAGTTAAAACTCGTGCGGCACAATCTGAATACAATGCAGGAATCTACATAGAAATACTGATAGCTGAAATTTGTCTAAGATAATAAACCTACCATCGTCAGTAGTACATATATTGGGTATTGACCGATATTTTCCCATTTTTAAATAAGTCTCCTCTCTTTTGGTATCGGCACATTGACACTCGTTTATGGTAGCTTCAGCTTCACAGATTGCTTGACATGCCTGAAAGATTGACTTGACAACTCGACAACTTGACAAGGCCCACAAACAGAAGACTCTAATATACATTAAGTTATGCATGAAAATATATAACTTATAGATATAGACCTACTACCTCTTAGGATGACCAAACAATTGAATGATTAACATACATCTCGGCTTGTTTCCGAAACCCTATATATATTCTGTAAAATAACATATGTATAATCAATGAATAAAATGTTGCTTAAACTAACAAATTGAAATTTTTAAATTTTTACCAAAAATGTCAATGAATATAGAATACCTCTATAATACAATAAATCCAAAAAACGAAATAATTTTGAAACATGTTGTTTTTCAATAATTATTTAGTTTAATGGATATATCGTGTTAAATATACATTCTATTACTTTGTCATGGTACCTGGTAAGCCCAAATGATGAATATATACTCTTATTATCGAAGTTTGAGACTTTCTAAGAGTAGAATTACTTTAAAATGATAGAAAAAAACTTACAGAACGAGAATATTTGATTCCATAGCGATTTTTAAACTGTTGAGTATCATTACATATTCCAAATGGACTACTCATACGACTGATGCGTACCTGAAAGAGTAGTAGCTAGATGAGGTCTGGTTTAAACAAAATGACATGTTTGACTTTGGGTATTAAAGGCATAGCTTTGGTCACCGGAAACTTCGGAAAATAAAAGAGCAAAACTCGGCAACCATCTCGGAGAGTCCTAAATACACTGTAATGCTAAATAATGCTTATTTGGTATATTCATTGAATATGGCCAGTATTTTTAACTAAATACTACCTACTAGTTTAACCCCAATATATGTTTCATCACCACCCGAAACAGCAAATCCATCTTCATAAGGCTGCGGTAGAACTCCGACATCATGGACCATGACTTGGGCACCATTACTGTTAGTTATACCGCGAATGTACTCGTGATTTTCTAAAAAGAGTATCAACTCTAAACCTGAAAAGGAAAAATCAGCTAACAAACCAACTTCTCAGTATATGTCACTACTTAGGCAAAAAACGGTGGAAAATTCCAGTTCCGAAACGAAAAGGAAAATCTGTATGTAGTAATTACCAGATCCAGGACCACTACGGCGACTTTTAAACAATCTTGATTCCAATGTAAAACAATTTCCATAATGGGGGTCAGAGACTCGCGTAAAATTCCTGAAAAGTAAAAGAAAACAAATAAGGACTGGCAGATGTGTCGACGAATTAATTAGGGCTTTCTAGCCTTTGTTGGTATTTGCATCGTTCCGATTTTAAATTCGACGTCAATGTTTTCAGTTATTCTAGAAAAATTGAACTATTGTAATACCACTAACTATTGCGAGATGTACAAGAGGAACTGCTTGGACTGACTTATAGTCACACCAACCCCTTCATATGACTGTTTTGGGATTACTTCAAGCATTTCAGATCAAATCACCTTCCAAAGACAAGTCGTGTTCACATATTCAACCAATGAATTATCTGTTCAGGTAGAGCTTGTCATGTTGTCATTAATGCGGTCACCAGCGGAAGTTAAATTAGTATAGTCGAACATGAAGAGTGTATCACGAATGTTGTCAGATCTAGATTGGGTGAAGTAACCCACAGAAAACAAACAAAAAGAATAATATTTGAGGTGTATTCTAAGAGACTTGGAAACTAGTTTGACACTTACTCTGCATAGCAACTTCGACCAGAAAACGAGCACTTGATCAGCATATTTGTCATTTTATGGCCCATTTCAAATCGTTCTTGTCTACCAAAAAAAAAAAAAAGATTACATGTATTGCAAAGAAATGTTTCAAGATTCGTTTTCCTCTAAGGTATTCAAATTACAAATATTACCATATAGTCTTGTCAAGAAATCAAGCATGCTTGCTTGCTAACCTGTAGGTCCATGGTTCAATCTCGAGATCGAGATAATACCTTAGGAATTTTCAACCCCCGTTTCTCGCGGTCAGTGATGTAGGTCAGAAAGGTTGATCTGTCTGATAATAATCCGAGGCCCAGTGTGCTACAGTTAATGATCCCTCGACTGTTGGAAATCGAAAATTTCTCTCACTGCGCACTGCAATAGCTCAATAAGTCGCAGAGAAGTAGGACATAAAACTCCATTAATTTTATTTAGCTCCTATCGCAATTTTATTTATGGTATACATACGCAAGCAAGATTCTTCGTTTACCTTGAAAAGTTATTGTACAGCGAGATAAATTCCAGATAGGTAGCATCTGCATCATCATAATCGCCAACTCTTTCCCAATCATCATCATCAAAATATTCCTGCTCGGTTTCAACACGCTTCGGTGGGGGTAGGCGTTTAGGAATTTTGTCTAAAAATCTCTTTTGGCGTATATTAGGTCTAGGTGGTGGATTACCTTGATTTGGCCTAGGCGGCTAGAATATAATAAAAACCTGTATACATGAGTCCAAACATCACAAACTATAAGAACTGCAATATCAAAAGAGGAAACGATCAGCAAAAGTAAAAAAAGTTAAAAAAAAAAAAAAATTGGGTGGGGGGATTTCTTTGGTCTAAAAGGGTGGATTCTAGTAATGATCGCCAACAGCATGGTGCCTCGATATTCTTAAAGAACAGTACTGATGTGAGATAAGAAAAATAAAACAACCCTGCGTTCAGCTGTACAATTTCACAAAACTGTTTGTGTACCCTCAGTAATCAATTGATATAACGAATCTAAATGTTAAGCTAACTGAACACAGAGCAATTTTGTCTAAAACAAATGTCGAACAATCCACAGTGAAAGTTCCACTGAACGTTGCTGAACATGAACAAATACACTTATCAAGGGAAGGAAAACATACTTTTCATTACTTGTTAAAAAGAGATAGAGGAAACTTCTTTTTTAATAAAATTACACAAAATCACTATAAGGCATGTAGCGAGTAAATATCATCTGTCAATGGGTTACTGTCATCTATCAATATGCAATTAAAGGTCCGTATTCCGCCTTATGCAAATTGATAAAAACACCCCTTACCTTATAAAGGTCTGTAACCTTCTCTGGGTCCACCTCATCAACAATGTCCCGTAGTTCTTGACTGGCTAAATGTAGTCGGCGTTTCATTATAGGGTTCACATTACATACAGTCACAGCCGGAAACGCTAACGTGTCAAATCCTAAAGCCACCTGAGTCTTGACATCAAACTCCAGATAAATAGAAAACAAATAGTAAAGATGGTAAATCATGCCTCCAGTGGCACCGAGAAAAATCAGAGTCCATGCTGCTTTAGCATACCAAGTTTTGGAAATGTTTATATAAGGTATTCCCTGGAGGGATGTTCTTTCAGCAAAGCGTACAGCAACTCGTTTGTAAGTTCTGGAAGGTTTACCATCGGATCCCGTTTCACTGGTAGTTCCAGTGTGACTTGGACGACTTTCGGATGATTTCCCTGATTCCAGATATCGTTCTCCATAGCTCTGAAACAACAATTGTGAATGAATGTTTCGAACTCTTTATTTCATTTGAGGTTGGGAATGTGCAGATATCACGTTAGTTTGTTTGAGATTTTGTCGATAGTTTTTATTTTTTTTGGGAAACCGCTGAGATAACTTTGATAAAAGAGGATCAGGGTAGTCGAGATTTAGAGACATTATAAAGCTTATATATGCTGAATTGACTGTGCAAACTGGGCTACAAAAGGAAATGGAACTAGAGCCGCGTTTAGACAGCAATAAAAACTGGCCCACTTGAAGTGAACCGGACCTGGCCCGGATAAATTGTGGCTGTCTAAACGCGGCTTAGGAGTGTAGTTATAGCATCTCCAACATCAACTTTGAACCATGTTGAACTCAAAAATATTATGGAAGATGAATCTGCGTCAATCTACATTTATCTCGGTATGTGAAAATGGCCTACATTTATTCTTATACCAGGTCAAACCATTATGACTATAGCCGCGGGCAATGTTAAAAAACAGACAATTTGACGTAAGAGTTAAGTGGATGAGTCAAGACTTAACCCATCCTTACACGAGTTTGAGCAGCAGGAAATACAGTGAATGATGTCATGCTTTATTTTGATAATATTTTTTAATGATCAGACAATAATATAGACTAAAATCCGCTGCAAGTAGTCTAGCGTGAACTTATTTTGCATTTTATAAGAACAATGGTGATAACACTCCAATTTACGTCGTGATGGTTCATTTCAAATAGCACATTTTCAGTGTAGGTTACGATTATTATGTTGAAAAGTCATTGGGGAAAACTTTATTTTGGTCGCATATTGAAGGTGGTTCACTGTAGTATATCAAAATTATTTTTAAATTGCGGAATTAAGCATTCTGCTTTGGTAGCTAAATAAGGCATGAAAGTCATTTCGAAGGAGTTAGTACAGAAACTTAAACTAGATTCCGATGGTTTTCTCCTATTTTCTAATTTTGTTTTCGACTATCCCAACCCGATACAAAATACATATCTACTTACGTTTCTGTTCGTATATGATTCTTCCTTCATCTTGGGTCGGGAGTCATGGGAATAGATTTCTCTGGGGTCGGAATATTGCTTGTTGCTGCTAAACGAGTTAACTGAGCTGATATTATCCAATCCACCGTTGTAATAGTGGTCAGGTTCCCGTCCCGTATAGATGTTAAGTGGCGATCTGGCGTACATGATTGATAGTTGTTCTTTACCACCTCAGGCTGTTATTTCACCCTACAATACATATATCAGATACAAGTTTTTACTAGTGAAAGAGTGCACTGATTTGCTAGATACAGATTTAAAGTTCAAACAAACTATTTTATAAAACAATGATTTTGATCTAAATAGAAAAAAAACGAGATAGATTTTAGAATAATAACAGAAATTGATCGTGTGAGGCTATTGTTCTAAATACTGTTCACTGCTCTAACCTTGCTGTATACGAAGTATTATGTAATTAATGTATGTGAGAAGGTGATAGTTGGGGTTGACCTCTGAATTCTGAATAGCACTTCATTAGGATGAACTGACCAGTGGCTTATCTAATTGTTTGACAGGTGAATAAAAAATAGTGCTGGTTTAGAGAACAAAAGGCTACGATAGATAAACCACGCCTTCCTTTAGTGTTTGAATTTACAACGTTTCAAATCACACAGTTCAGGATCCTTCAAACACAAAACAATAATGTTGTTACCCAGTGGCGTATAAGGCACTAATTTTTGGGTCATGCCTTCACCATCCTTCAATTTCCAAGTCCGAAAGTCCATGCTTAATATCAGGTAACTTGCTATTTTTCATTCTTATATAATTAATAACAACTGTAATGTCGAATTTCATAAAAAAAAGTTTTTTTGGGTAAGGATTTATTAATTCCTATATGGCGAATCTGGACACAGCTCGGACAAGCCTTTAACAGTTATCTGACGATTATCACCACGGTACAAATATCAATCAGAGATCAGTCTAGTTGGCAATCTCAGGAAAACATATTTTTAAAATGGGGAATTAAAAACACTTTAATCCTATCATTGGAACATATAAACGCAAGATTCGGCTTTAAAGAAGATCAATATTAAACCAAAAACAACGACCTACCTCACTGTGCCTTGTGGTTCTCTAAAAAAATATTCGCGTGCTTTAATGTTACACTAGTATTTATACTATAGTAGGTTTTTAAAACAAAGATTTGTTAAGCTGTGACAATGATGAACACTATATTATCTCACTATATCTCAGTAAGTAGTAACCAAGCAATGACTTCCATTAACTACAATCAAGGGGGCGGGGCGACTTGGTAGATTAATTGTTATTGATTAGGACCCTTTCAAATCTAATTAAAAATTTATCAAAGTCGTTTAAAAATATTTGAAGTGTATTTTTTAGATTTACTTGAATAATTACTGAGTTATATAGGTACATCTGATGATAGAGGGATTCTGTTGTATATCTATGTACACTGATGAATAAATAGGTTACTCTTATTTGGCTAAGTTTGAGAATTTAAATTTCATACTCATTCTGAAGGGTAGAATTCCCTTTTGAGATTTCTGAAAACTTTATGCCGGATAACATTTCAGTTCGAATCGAGTCTGATTTAATATTTTAGTTACACTAAGCCACAAAATTCAAATAGTTTAAACTTTTCTATTATTTTTGCAATGTATCAATTGAATAAAATGATTAAAATCAATCAAACATTGGCTTGTGTCCGAATATTTTGACAAGAATCCTTTTATAAATTCTGTGTAGGCCTACAACACTCGGGCTTAGCCTTAAAACTAAAAGGGATTGTAAAAAGGTTTTCTAACAACAAATATTATGTATATCGGCGACGCTGATTTACAATTTACGCCATTCCAATTTTCATTCAGATGTCTGTGGTTCCTGTAATTCTTCTACTAAAACTAAGTGTTTGTTGACGCGACTAATCGCGAAGGGCTTGTGATAAAACATAATTAGTGACATCATAAAACGCTTAATTTTTGTGAAATGGTAGGAACCACAGACGTCTGACTGAAAATTGGAATGGTGCAAATTGGTGCCAGCAGTGTCTCCGATACACATAATTTTGTTTAGAAAACCTCTTTAAAATCTCTTAAAGCCTGGATCAGAATAAAGAACAATACCTACATCTATTATCGAGCCTAGACTGCAAATGTTTCTTTTGATGCGGATAAAAAGTAAAAAAAAAGATATATAAGGTCAATGAACAAAATTGGTCAGTTCGAACAAAATGAGAATCTATACTCTGAATAAACATGTTTACCCTTTGTCCGACATCCTTCAAATATGTCCGTAATGTATTGGATCAGCAATCAAGCATGGCGAATTATTACTAATTCATTCACTTTTGTTCGGTTCAGCAGATAATCGAATATTAATGTGATCTTTATTTGTATTTTGGTGTAAATACGTATCATTACACAGCTGGTGATATCAAAATAATATACAAAATGTCCGTGCACTACTTGCTCTTTTTGGTGAGGGGTGTAGCACATTTCGCTGGGGTGTCTATCCAGAATTCTATGGCGTCATTTGTTTAAAGGCCATGTTTCGCCATTTTCGGGGGTTGATTTCGGGTCTTGAACGTAAATTTATAAGTCTTCACTTTCTTTTTCTATGTACACGTATTTCTTTTTTATAGTGGAGTATCAAGAAAAGATGAGTCGTCATTTTCCGACGGTGAGCTGTGAACACTGTAACTGATAAGCTTAGCTTAGAAAATCCCGTTTCTGACACTATTAAGTACGATTGGTCGGACGTGTCCCTTTAATTAGGCCTAGTTTTGTGAATGGTGATGAAAGCGAGTTTTAATATTTAAATCACCATTTTCATAATTCCATTCCATCAAGTTCTAAAAGACTAAAACAGCAAAAGATGTCAAGAGTATTATGAAAATATCTTGGCCCTTGGTTCGGACAGTCTAGTTACGTGTTGCATTTTCACTCAAAAAGGCAATGTTCATCGGATCCAACTTTTCGGACTATCAATAGTTTTGAACATGCGCAGTTGAACTTTCTACCACATGCTTCCGGTTAACTGTTTTTGTTTACTTCTGTGTGTTGTAAATTAACATTATTGTACAGAGATTTCCTTTTCAAAATGAAGTTACTAACTCATAACATGTTGACATCGAACATAATAAAAGGTGTTAAGAATGGATATCCCCTAAAAATCGCTGCGACGAAGGTGGAAGAGCGAGAAGTTGACTATAATCCTGAATTTATTACAAGACTTCTTCCAAAATTGGACTGGTCGGCTGTTCACAAAGGTGCTGTTGATCTCAACAAGGCCGAAGGAGTGCCAGAAAGCATGATGGATGATTATGAATCCAATGAAGATTTTTTAAAAACTGCCCACAATATTCTCTTACAAGTGGAAATAATTGAAGGCAATTTGGAGTGTCCAGAAACTGGGAGAAAGTTCCCCATCACGAATGGAATTCCAAACATGTTGTTAAACGAGGACGAAGTGAGTGAGAAATAAAAAGGCGTTCAGACTTTTGATAAACCCTTTTTTTGTCATGTGTGGTACATTTTGAAGTTAAAAAATATATCAATGTAATATAACATTTGTGAATTATTCAGTTTGATGAAAGAATGAATTGTTGACTGTACATTTAAAGAGAGACAACTAATCTTAAAATGATTAGTGTTGTGGAATTTCAAGAAAGATAGCATTCGTTTTAATTCCACACTACTAAGTGCCAAAGTGTGATAATGGTTCTTGTTTGTTTGCCATGAAGAAAGAACTTGTGACAATATTAGATTATAAACAAATTGCAGACTTCAATGATCAAATAAGTTTAATATTTAGAAGGCGAAAGAGGGCAATTATACCTTCAAAAAATAAGTATTTGTATTTTGAAATAGAGAAAAAAGAGTGTCAACTCACACTTGTTTTTGGTCATTGATATTAAAAGATGTGGGAAAGTTGGTGATATAGTAAAAAATTTGATTTACTTGCAAGTCGCAACACCTTTAAGAATTGTGAAATGTTTTTTTTTGTTAATTTGAGCCACATTTTCAATTCTTAAAGAATAGATGTGCATAGAAAATGTCTGTTTTAATAAAATGTGTAATTTGGGTAAAAAGAACTCAAAACTATTGTAATTTTAGGTTTATTGACAATACAATTCATGATTTTGTTTTAAATCAAAAAGCTACATCTAGACACTCTATGGAAATGTATAGAGAATAGATTGTGTATTGAAAATGTTTCACAAACATTGTGTAACAATATTGGTTAAAGGAATTTAAAACCATTGTAATTTTCTGTTCATTTGTTTCAATAAAGTTTATTGAGAAACGTTCATGATTTTGTTTTTAAACAAAAAGCTACATATAGACAATTTGGTCTTTTGCCTTAATACCGGTATGTAATTCTTGATGTAGGCCATGTTCTTGTTAATTCTTATCTTGAATAATTTGTTTTAAAGTCATTAGAGTAGGACGTAAAACTCCATTCATTTCATTTCATTTTTACAGTCATTAACCAAGACATCATGGTTTTAAATATAAAATAAAAGAATGAAGAGTACAAGAACTAAAAGGCTATGATATGACTTGACAATATCTGAAACATTTCACTCTGTACCAGGAAGATCATTTGACTCTCTCAGTAAAACTTAACAATGTTCAACAACACAACATCACACTTGTGAATGATACTTTATTTAAATTAAAATCTATTTAGCTGAAATCAGCAATGTTCAGAGCATGATTTAACTGTGGTCTTCAACTGGTATATCCCATAATAATGGATGTAATTCTCCACAAAGCTGCTATAACAATCACTGATATACTGAACCAAAACACTGGATTTGACACACACTCTGATATGGAGGTCTACAATGAAACAAAAACACATTGATCATTTAATTCTACTTAACATGATTACTTAAATTCAATTTTTAAGTGTAATACTTAAGGGATATCTCAATTTAAAAAAAAAAGGCCGAACTACTAATATCCGTATATCATGCTAAGGAAAAGGTAGGGCCAGACTAATACCTTATTTGAATCTGAATATTCCTACACTGAGAAATAATTAAATTTTAAATTCGAAGAAGGCTACTTTTCTCAAAAAATCACTTAAATGAGATGTAACAGCAGGTCAAGTAACTTACTTGACAAATGCACCCCTTTAGTGATGTCTTTGAGGAGAGCTCATATTTCAAGCTGCAGACATAATGGTTACAACTTAAAACCCTCACTGCTTAATAATTGCGACTTGAGATGTGAACAAAATATCAAGTACGCTGTCTCATTGATCAGGTATTAAGAGCACAAGTTATCAAAATAAAACTCTTACCTCACTGTAAGACACCACCGGTTTACCAGAAACTTCCCCCTTTTTCATTGGAGGAGGTACATTCAGTGGTCTCTTTCCTCTTGTGAGTAATCTCCCTTTCATAAAATGTTTTCCAGTTTCAATTATTTCAACTTCCAACATTTTACCCATAAGATCTTCTTCTTTAGGAACTAAAACCTACATACATAAATATTTAACAGCATTGAACACAATGTGACCTTTACAAACATAAACAGAACATTCCTACTAGTAAAATGCGGGGTTCAATAACACAGTCCGTTTGAGCATTGGTTCTTTACAGGACATCATTTGTTTAATATGTCGAGCAAATGGCGGCTGTGGGTTCTGACCTAAAATGGCATGTGACGGTATAATGACCTTGAATAAGTCATATTCATTCATACTTTCAGTTGATCTAGCTGTAAATCGGTACAGATAATCTGGGAAAGGTCAATGCCGAGAGGTTTGGCCAAGGACCACCTGGTAGAATGGATTCAGAGTCTTTCTAGTTGTTTCTTTCTTTTTCTTTCATTCATCAATTACTATTTATTCTTCTAAAAAGGCTGATTATGCTTTAAGGCATACCCATATTTGCATAAATACATGACAAAAATAAAAACTACACTTAGATATATCAAAATGTTAAGCAAGTATTTACTGTACCTGATCATATGATTTGTTGTGTGCTACATAATATTGTCCATCATGAGATATTTCAGTTACTAAGACTGACTGTACTTGACCTAACTACAGAATAAAATCAACAAATAACATATGTATCATATACTATATTTCATTAAATTCACTCTCCGCTCTGTATAAACACATTCTAACTCTTAAAGAAAAATAATGATTCTTTTGTTAAAGGGATTGAAAAGAATTTGAATGGTGCAAATTAATGCTATAAGTGTCCCCGAAACACACAAATAAAATAGAAAACTTCTTTTCAATCTCTTTAATCCTTAAGGAACCAATGCCATGCAATGTGCAATGAAAGACAGTGACATCTGTCCATGAGTTTTAATGTGCACATTAAGTCTTGGTTTGCTGTCCCAGCTGCACATCGTAATTTCGAGTAAGTCCTTATGTAAGAATTACTAAGCAGTGAAACTATGCATAGGAGACATCTCCAACAGATGATAAACACAAAAATCAAACCAACTTACTTTATGATTATAAGGTTGATAAGACTGAAATAATTCAGATACTCTTTTTGTTCTCTGTTTTATCTGTAACACAAATTATTTATTTTGTACCTTAGTTACATTTGGAAGATTCAATTTCTAAGGCTCTCTCTCCTTCTGGCCTTTAGGTGGCTAAAAGTTCAACTAAGAAAATTATTTGAATTTTAAATATTTTCTAGTTAGTATGACTCTCTCAGTCCCATGATAACCATACATATGTGCCTATCTGGATTTCAAAAGTGCTAATAAAAGCTATTTTTTTTTATAAATTATGAACTCCAGGTAACCTAGATTGTTATATTTTACTTCTCTTGTGGAAGTGCACATTTTGTCTAAACCAGCTGCATGAGATTCTACTATGTGTTGATAGAAATGAATATACCCCAAAATATATTATAGCTGGGCATTCTCCAAAAGGGATCTGGAGCCAACAAATCCAGACCCAGAGTGGCATCAAGTGTTCCAGAAGGGTGAGAACGCCAAGTATCAAATACTCACAGAATATTTTAAAAACTACTTACTATTTGTCTGTCTATTTGAGGCATTTTAGCAGCAGGTGTTCCTGGTCGAGGGAAAAATTGATTAATAAATAAACTTGGAAATCTGTATTCATCTACCAACTGCATCGTTTCTTCAAAATCCTTAAACAAAGTAGATTTTATTTCTATGATTTCATTCAGTTATATTTCCAAATTAGTAAAAAATCTTTATCAATTTTTCAAATAGGCTTTTAATTTTTTTTTCTATTGGGAGAATGACTCAAAAGGCCTTATTACATACAGCATTAGGTTTACAACAGAAATCTACTTATATAGATGATATAGTTAAAAGTGGTGCAGAGACTAGAAACAAGTACTATGAGTTATCAATGTCTATAATTACATCACCTGGCCAATGTACCTTGAAGTCAAGTTTTTCTTACCTCTTCTGTTTCTGTTGGAAAACCACAAATTAAATCTGTTGCTATAGTTACATCCAGTACTCTACAAAATAATGATTATTAAGGTAGGTAGGTAGATGACAAATTAACGTTTGTTTCCAGCGGATGCTGAAATTACAAACTGATAACCAAATTCATTTGTTTTATTTATTCTCTTGAATGTAGCTTTAAATTACTCAAAATCAAGGTCATACAACACATATCAATTAGAATTAGCATTTAGCATCAAAAAACACTAAAAAGTCTCTTGGACAATCCTTGACATCAAAACAATGGCCACAATACAAGCATGCAAGAACAATTGAATTGTGCTTAATCAAATATATACCTTGTTTTAAGAAAATTGACGACATGTTTAAAATCTTCCACACAATATTCTCTCTTCATGTCCATTAAAACACTATCAGAAGCTGTCTGTACTGGTACATGTAGAAAGGAATAAACTCTCGGATGTTTTAATATTTTAGCCATTTCCTAAAAATCATTATCCATTTCATGAGTCAAAAAATATGGCAATTACTATAAGTAATACTTGTAAGACATATAAGAAGGTTATATATATATACTAAGTTTCGAACAACATTCATGTAAAAAATATTTCTAAAATCATACCTCCAAATGTTCTAAAATATATGGTGGATTGGTCATTCCCAATCTCATTCTGGCACCTTCAGGTATAACTTCTACCAGTTGCCATAGTAACTGAGGTAGAGTGACCCCTATATCATGACCATATGCTCCCAAATCTTCTGATGTTAGCCATACCTCAACTACTCCTTCTGTACACATGAAAGAATTGAGGGATTTTCAATTTGCAAATTGATATCTTTGGAATATTCACAGACAGATAAAAAAGCAGATTTAAAACTTATACAGATCTTTTCCTTCATAATAGTACATATAAAGGATGAACAAAACACAAAATTATATTCAGAAGACATTTTGGGACTCTGATCAATTATACTTGCAGCCAAGATATTCACCATTGTAAAATGAAATGGAAATTTACATTCTACTTTTCTGCTCTAGATTTGGCAGATGACGACAGTGTGCAATCAGAAAAAGGTCATCTATGCCAGGACACAACCAAGGACCCCCAACTTGGCCACACAGCTCCCACATAATTGTGAATCTGAGTAAAAAATGGTTTCAAACCTTTAAAAGACTGTCTAGCTCTCTCTACAATGGCTTCAGGTCTGTAACTGCCCAGTTCACCACGAGCATGTTTTGTTTTACAATATGTACATTGATTTAAACAACCAGTATTGATGGCAATGATTTCTATTAGGGGATTTTTTCTGATTTTGGGTAAATCAAGAGTTGCTCCTCCTGTCTTTTTACCAGATTCTTTTTTCTGACTAAAAAATCTCACTGTGTTGCCTGTAAGAAGAAAGTTGAATTCAATGATCAATTACGTGTCTTTAGTTAGCCATGATCAGGAATTCCAGTTACAAATATAGAGGAAATTGGGCGGAGGGGTGGAGTCATCTTCATCATCTAATCATCTTTTCACTCTCAAAAACCTAATATGTCATCAGTTTTATACAGTAACAGAAAAATTACCACCATGGCAAAAAAATATATGATTCCTGCATAATGCATCAGTTTTGATGTAAACTAACAGACAGAAATGTTGTCACCTTTGCTTGTATTTGCAGACAAACAAAATATCACCTTTACATTCTGGCAAGTGATAAAGATAGCTGATGCTGAGCTGAATCAGATGAGAAAGTAAAATATTAAAATATATCTGTCAATTATAGGTCAATTTATCTGAAAGAAACCAAAACTAGCAAATCAAAAAAATAAATTATGTACCTTTTAATGTTTCCTCTACTACTTCTACAACTCTGTCAATTTGTTGGACACCTATAGCACTTAATCCCTGAATAAAGAAAGCAAAATAGTTTATCTAACTATCAAATTCCAACTCAAACCAAAAAATTGAGACTATTTGCAATACATTTCCTTGTTTTTCTATGAAAACAGGAATGTAAACATTATCTTTTAAAAACTGACCTATGATAATCAGCTGATCAGCAGTAGAAATGCCTTGAATTGAACTAACCGTACAGTTCATCATTAAATTACCTGCATATATTCAGACTTCTGATGTCCTTGTGGTACACAGCCTGCCAAAACTACATGTTTATCAAGTTTATTAGCTAGGGTTATGTCGTTACGAAAATGATCTTCTGCAGGATTTTTGACTGTACAACTATTTAATAACCACAGATCTGCATCTTCTTTAGATTCTAAAATAATATAGTAGTCAAAGTTCAATACATTTAATTCTGGCTTAAATATAACACAGATTTAACTGCAACTCGGGACAGCCTTTTAAATTAATACTCGATCCTGGGTTATTTCTATATCAAACTAACATTAATGAAATAGTTAAAGTTTTAAGCCTTTTTTCTGAATCTGATTAGGCTTATGAAGAGGGCAAAAACTTGCAGAGTATAATGAGGGAAAATTTGCGAAGAAAGTGTCTACCATACTATTTAATCAAATCCATGATGGACAAAAAAAAAACTTGAAAACACTGCCAGGATCTCTACAATGTTTAAAATTTAGCCTCTAATCATAATCAAATCATACCTGTGATTTTAAAGCCATAAGTGGCTAGCTGGCCAGCCATGTATTCACTATCTGAATTATTATGTGAACATCCCCAGGTTTTAACAAATATTGATTGGTTACCTTAAATAAAGAATATTTGTTGTTTAAAATATGGTTTGAATATAATATTTTCAATACAGAGCAGCTACTAGAGCTTTCTTAAAATTGTAAGAAGTTTAGTATTTCCTTATATCTGTTTAAAAAAAAATAAATTCTAATTTTTTTGTTTTACTTATACAATGTAAAGAATAAGAAGACTGGAAAGTAGGCATAATAAGTACATTTTAGGCAATATAAGCACAAACTGTTTAAATACAACATATCATATTTCAACAAGAACCAAAACCATTTAACTTCTGAAAGAGAAATTATACCTGGAATATAACTGTCTCCTACAACTTTTAAATTAGTTGATTTATTTTTGTCTTTCAAGTGTTTCTTCGCTCGAGGCATCACATGTTTCTTGGCTTTTATCCTATCTTCAACAGTTACATCATTGGCAGATATTATGTCTTCTATATCATCGATGGTTTTTTCACAGTCTGTAGGCATGTTGACAGTTTGTCTGCAAAAAAGTTGATTAGTAGAATAAACCTGTGACATATTGGGAATCAAATTTATGCAAGGGTTTGATTTCATTTTATACAGTATTTTACAATCAATTAAGTCTAATTTTGAACATTTGTGATAACTAAACCCTTTAACAGAAAACTGACCATTTTCCGAAAACTGCCATGAATTGCTATTATTCTAATGTTGCTACAACCCAGGAAAGTTCATCATCAATTGATCACATTAGATTTATACCTAGGCTAGGCCTACAATTCTACAATACCATAACTGATATTTATTCCTACATGATGTCAAAATAACAAACTGTTTCGATTATGCTCATGTCCGACCATGTGTTTGAAAGATGTCAAGAAATCAATAAATAGGACTATTTGACCCTATTGCCTACAGCTGGGCCATTCAAATCTATCAAATCTAAATGGTGGTTCGCGGTGTATACTGTTGCTACAAATCCAACCTACCACTAAATGATTTGAGAAAATTTATGAAAAATTAAACATAAAATATTGTTTCAACAGAAAATAAATTCTAACATCATGTTTTGATGTGTAGACTCTTTTTGACTTTTATATCTAAAGAGTTAATTCAAGGGAGCTAACATATGAAAAATATATTGGCAGTCCGAATCATTCCGACTTGATTTATTTCACTTACAATGTAGGACTAGTATAAAAAAGATGATAAACAATCGGCCTTAATATCCCATCTTAATACAAAAAGATAGGAAATATCCTAGAATTTGATTTTGCAAAATTCTTCTAAAATAGGATGGATGCATTTTTTACTGTCTGGAATTTTTGCAGTTGCGTCCCCTTAGATATCTTCTGCTTTGAAGTCTATTTTAGTCGTACACGTGGATAATGTTTGTAAACAAACTTTTTACTTCAATGCAATTCAGATAATTGGATAATTGATGTCATTAAATAAGAACAGTAACTGGCTTCTGACATCAAAGTCAAGTAAGCTGGCCTTGGAAATGTGAAATGTGATGTTTGTGGGAAATCTTTTCCTTTATAGGGATTGTAAAGAAGTTTTCTAATTTTTTATGTGTAGCCTATCGGGGACACTGTTTGCATCAATTTGCACCACTCCAATTTTCAATCAGATGTCTGTGGCTTCGGACAATTCCACTAAAAAACTAAGTTAGATGACGTAATTAATCACTAATTTGCAAACACTTGGTTTTAGTGGAATTGCATTGCAAGTTAAATTCCAGAAAGAAGTACAAGAAGAAATCCTGCTATGTGATTAACTAGTATGATATTTGCTGTAATTAATTGGCAAACCATACCCATGATTAGATTGAAAAGTTTCACTAAATGATGTAACGCTTGGAGACACTCAATTGTGTAACATTCTACTCTGTCTTTGTTTTTTTTTATTGAGTTTTAAAATGTTTATGAGAAATATTGTCAAGAAATGTTCCTCGTCAAAATTGATGAGCTACTCACGAAAACAATCAACACACAGTTTGATAAACCGAGGAACTATCTACTCCTTATCTTCTGGTCATGGTAAATGTGGTGTTGCTGTCATAAGAGTTTCAGGGCCACAGGCATCTGATGCTGTTAAAAAGGTGATAAATAGAGACAGTTTACCAGCACCAAGAAAATCTCATCTGATGAAGTTTTATCATCCTGTGTCCTTTGAAGCTATTGATAAAGGATTATTGCTATGGTTTCCATGTAGGTTCTGACGGTTTTAAAACTGTTTTTGTAAGCTAGGACTTCACTACATAATTAAATACTTGTGTCTTTTATATCAAGCCTAAATACCTAAGAAGAATATCTATTGAAACAGTAGTATTTTATTTCCAGATTAATCTCATCAAAATACAAATCAAGATGTTATCAAGTGTGATAATCTTCAGGAATAAGTTTTATTCCACAAAAAAGAAATGTCCAGATCTGAATCAGATTATCTCCATATACAATTGTAAAATACTCTTAATTTCAGGTCCCAAGAGTTTCACTGGTGAGGATTGTGCAGAGTTTCAGGTCCATGGTGGTTCTGCTGTTACTACAGCTATGTATGATGCTCTAGGCAGTATACCAGGTTTACGGACAGCAGAGGCTGGAGAGTTTACTAAAAGGTGAACACATTTGAGTCAAGGAAACTTAACTTCAACCATGGACTGTTCAAATGATGTACATAATGCTTCAGAAATTTAAAGTCTAGGCTCCTATGCTGAGAGCAATAATAAAACAGTTATTCTTACCAGGTTATATATACAGTATGAAAAAGATGAGTGGAAAAGACAAGGCAAAAGGTTGTCCAATGTATTTCCTATATGCTCAATATAATGCAGACAAAATTTTTTCTGATTTATATCCAAGGAGACTCTAAAAAGAAGCAAAATCTAATTGAAAAAATTGATTCTGTTCTATTTTCAGGGCATTTATGAACAATAAGTTAGATCTGACTGAAGTGGAGGGTTTGGCTGATTTAATTCATGCTGAAACAGAAATCCAACGTAAACAAGCTTTAAGACAAATGGATGGTGATTTGAGTCAACTTTATATGAGCTGGAGACAAATTCTTGTTAAGGTGATAAATTTCTTTTCAGTCAAACCCCCCTAATTCATGCAAGTTCTGTTTATGATTTAGAAACAGGGGATTGTAGTCTTTAACAGAGAACAAAGGTTCTGTGGAAAAAGAACACTTTTTGATAATACTTTCATGTTAAGTTAAAGATTATATTGTTACCTTACATATGGCATTATTGTATTTGGGTAATATGGTATCACTCAATATCATATATTAGTACATAGTCAGTTAAAGCCTGTATGGTTTTTATCTTCAGTGTGCAGCTAATATAGAAGCCTACATAGATTTTGGTGAAGATGAAAATATAGAAGATGATGTTATTCAAACAGGTGACTATTTGTATCTTAAATCAAGTGTATATAAATCTCCACTCATCAAGTCCACAAACAGACAATATTAATGAGATAGAAATGAAATTGATGTAGATATATTTTGGAATTATTTCATAGTGAATGAAGAAATTAAGAAGTTATATGTGAAGATTGAAAATCATCTAAAAGACAATAGAAAAGGTGAAAGACTGAGATCTGGAGTACATGTGGTCATTATTGGTCAGCCTAATGTTGGTAAAAGTAGTTTATTAAATCTGTTATGTAAGTAATTTTAAGATAATATGTTTTGAAATGTTGAAAACTAGTGAATCATACCCAGATATGCCCATCTGATAAATTTAATGTTTCTTGAAAATGGTTTGAAAGTGAAAGAAATATTTTTTTTATGAAAATCTATATATTCATTAGTCAGTGACAAGGGCAATAACTCTTGTTCCTGATCATCATAGAGCACCCCAATGTCTATGCCTATGATTTTATTACTATAAATTGTAAAGGGAGTTTAACCTCTTGAGAAATGAGGATTCAAAGGTTCTTGTGATATGAATTAAAGTTAAAGACCATCATCTGTTAATATCAGTGGTTATCTTATATTGATATTATTGTAGGTAGAAGTCCAGCTGCCATAGTCTCAAATATAGCTGGTACTACTAGAGATATAGAATCAGCTGTTAATATGGATGGTTATCTTATATTGATATTATTGTAGGTAGAAGACCAGCTGCCATAGTCTCACCTATAGCTGGTACTACTAGAGATATTATAGAATCAGCTGTTAATATTGGTGGTTATCTTATATTGATATTATTGTAGGTAGAAGACCAGCTGCCATAGTTTCACCTATAGCTGGTACTACCAGAGATATTATAGAATCATCTGTTAATATTGGTGGTTATCTTATATTGATATTATTGTAGGTAGAAGTCCAGCTGCCATAGTCTCACCTATAGCTGGTACTACTAGAGATATTATAGAATCAGCTGTTAATATTGGTGGTTATCTTATATTGATATTATTGTAGGTAGAAGACCAGCTGCCATAGTCTCACCTATAGCTGGTACTACTAGAGATATTATAGAATCAGCTGTTAATATTGGTGGTTATCTTATATTGATATTATTGTAGGTAGAAGACCAGCTGCCATAGTCTCACCTATAGCTGGTACTACTAGAGATATTATAGAATCAGCTGTTAATATTGGTGGTTATCTTATATTGATATTATTGTAGGTAGAAGACCAGCTGCCATAGTCTCACCTATAGCTGGTACTACTAGAGATGTTATAGAATCAGCTGTTAATATTGGTGGTTATCTTATATTGATATTATTGTAGGTAGAAGTCCAGCTGCCATAGTCTCACCTATAGCTGGTACTACTAGAGATATTATAGAATCAGCTGTTAATATTGGTGGTTATCTTATATTGATATTATTGTAGGTAGAAGACCAGCTGCCATAGTCTCACCTATAGCTGGTACTACCAGAGATATTATAGAATCATCTGTTAATATTGGTGGTTATCTTATATTGATATTATTGTAGGTAGAAGTCCAGCTGCCATAGTCTCACCTATAGCTGGTACTACTAGAGATATTATAGAATCAGCTGTTAATATTGGTGGTTATCTTATATTGATATTATTGTAGGTAGAAGACCAGCTGCCATAGTCTCACCTATAGCTGGTACTACTAGAGATATTATAGAATCAGCTGTTAATATTGGTGGTTATCTTATATTGATATTATTGTAGGTAGAAGACCAGCTACCATAGTCTCACCTATAGCTGGTACTACTAGAGATATTATAGAATCAGCTGTTAATATTGGTGGTTATCTTATATTGATATTATTGTAGGTAGAAGACCAGCTGCCATAGTCTCACCTATAGCTGGTACTACTAGAGATGTTATAGAATCAGCTGTTAATATTGGTGGTTATCTTATATTGATATTATTGTAGGTAGAAGACCAGCTGCCATAGTCTCACCTATAGCTGGTACTACCAGAGATATTATAGAATCAGCTGTAAATATCGGTGGTTATCCAGTATTACTATCAGATACAGCAGGGCTACATCAAGCAGATGATGATATTATTGAAGTTGAGGGAATCAGAAGAGCCATTAAAAGGTATCATTTTCAAATACTCTTTGTCTTGTTTTAAAGGCTGCATGGAATTTATACTATTCAAATTTTCAAATTTGGAGATCTGATTACATCCATTAAATCATCAGCCTCATGGACTCAATGTCGAAAAGGAATAATAAGTGAGCTTTTTTGTATTCTTAACCTTCTCAGTTGATATCTACATATGATTCTGGTATTTAGCTCATGCGCGAAGTTTTGGATGTTAATATCTTCAGTTAACATATTTTACTTTACTTTTGTATTATTTATAAACAAATATCAATATGATAATTTTAAATTATTTTCAGAGCACAAGAAGCAGACATTAAAGTAATTGTCGTAGATTCTACTAAACTTTTATCAAAAATGTCAAATACTCAGGATTTTATAAGCAAACATTTGAAGGAGCTCGGAATTACGACTGAAGTAGACTCTAATTTAAATTCAGAATCAGTGAATCTGAACAATCAATGTAATTCACAGAATGATATGAACATGACCAGTAAAGACAAAGACTCAGATCTGTGCTTGGACAGTGTTGGGGAGTCTTCAAATGATGAAATAGATCTGTCAGAAGTGATATTAGTTCTGAATAAGATAGATTTGCTCAAGAACAATATTGATATTAAATCAAGAGATCTTAAAACTATTGCTAAATTATCCTGTGTTACACAAGATGGTATAGATGATTTTTTAGCCTTGCTAACAGAAAAAATAAAAAATTTGTAAGTATTTCAATATTATTTTGCAACTTTAAGCTACCTGAATGAAATAATTGCAAGTATGACATTACTATACTTAATGTGTATACAAGTTGGCACTTATAGGTTGACCTCAATATTCTTATGTTAAAGTGCAGCTAACAGTTGTCTCTGTCTACTTCCTATTATGTCAATGAATATTTCATTTTCAAGCCTAGCCTTTGATTCTTGTTTTTACTTGGTGTTCTCTTTTTTGCACCATCTGACATTGAAGTTTTGATTAACAATTAGTCTGTATGGTTTAATTCTATTATTACTGGTACTTAGACAGTTTGAATGTTGATTAAATTATGATAAACAGTTAGCCCGCATTAATTCATTAATTCAAATGTTAATTTCAGATGTGGTAATCCTTTGGCTGGAAACCCTAGTTTAACACAGACTCGTCATCGAACTCATTTACATAACTGTATATATCATCTCAATCAGTATAAACAATATATAGAACTAGAAGATGTCGTCCTGGCAGCTCATCAACTACATCTTGCTTTACGAGAAATCGGCAAAATAACTGGTAAAATATCATCAGAGGAAATTCTAGATGTTGTCTTTAGAGATTTCTGTATTGGAAAATAATATTGGGCATTTTGAACACCATTAGCACGGAAAAGCAACTGTGTATGTGCACTATATTCGTCTGTGTTAAAACTTTTTCTGCGTGTGACAAGTGAGTGCCACAAGGGAAGTAATTTGTCTTCGAAAATGATTTGTGTATGTGGAATTTATTTAAGTCTGTGTCTGTGTTATGGAATTTATGAAATAAAAAACGAAGTCTGTTATTATTAAAACAATTTCATTTCCCACAAAATTAGTTAAACAACACATAAAATCAATTGCATATTTTACAAATTTCCCCAAATAAATATCAGGTGGGAATAACTAGACATTTTAAAATTTTCAACATGAGCTGTTTAACAGTTCTCAGTTTCAGAATAGGTGGCTGGCAAACCAATGTGGTCTAGTTAAAAAAATTAAGCATAATTTGATCACCATGGATTTGATGTCTCAAAATGCTCTGTTACGGTAAATTGAGCTGTTTGTAATCAAACCAATTGAATTTCTACCCTCTCCAGTGCTGGCATTTTGTGACACAGTGTTTATCAGGTTAGGTCAAAAGGTTAATTTGACGAATGTTCAACCTTAACTGAAGTGGCAATAATAAAAATAAAAGCTAATAAAAAATAAACCAGAACAAAAGTTTGGTTTAATTTTAAATAGACTGATATTCTATAAATTTGTCTAGTTATTTCCCACCTATTAAAACTATTATATGCTACTATAAATGTTAACAAGAACTCCATAAATAAGCTCAACAAGGTATATGCCACTCAGTGATTGGAAAAAACAAATTGAACAAATGATTTCATGTATATATATTAAAATGTAAGCAGTTAAGAGGTGAGCTATGTTAAAAAGCAATTACATCATCAATTCAGCATTTTAAAGTGAATATTCAAGAGAAACTGAGAAACTTCACAAACATATAATATAAAGCAAGATTTTATAAATTAATACAAAAATAATGTATCTTATTTTTTTTTTTATTACTTAAATAGATTTACATTATTTTATCTGCAAAAATATTTTTGGATGTCCAAAATATTCTATGATTTATGAGAAAAACTTAAAAACACAATACTGATGAGTTTAGTTAGTATTAAACCAAATACATCTGTTTATTTATTCCAAATTATTCTCCAGTTGCCAATTTATGCATCAATTGTTTGTGGTAAAATCTGGTCTGGAATGTTTTAATATGTACTAATACACAATTTAATTTTGTTTTGCCCTGACAAACATTAGTTTCTGACATGGCCTAGAATTCATATGGAATGTTGATGCTTTAATTCTTATATACATACATACTATATACTGAAACATCAGTGAATCTAAACAATCAATGTAATTCACAGAAGGATATATCTAAACATATCTCATATATTGTTTAAAAAGGGAGACCAAAAGCTCGCAAACAGAATACTAAAAATAATAACAAAAACTATATATATTTTCCCAACATAACAAATACAATAAAATTACCAACTAAATTACTTTTACTGAAAAAGAAATTAAAATAGGGATTAAAGGATAATTTTTAAACTTGGCCAAAATGAGTCTTTGTTCATCAGTGAACTTACCTGGTGTCAAAATTTCATCCTCCATAATCCAATAAATTCATAAAATTAAGTAATATTCCATTAAACTAAGTAATTTTGAAACAGGCCTAATATAATTTCTTAGTTTAATGGATATATTGTGTCATATAGAGATTCTATTCTTTAGTAATGGAAACTGGCAAGTCCAACTGATGAATATATATACTTGTTATCAAGTTTGAAACTTTTTGAAGAAAAATTTGAACTCCTGCACACTATTACAAAGTCAAAATGTTGGCCAAATATAAATAAAAACAGACACTGTCCAAGGGCATCTTTTACCATAACAAGTCAAACTTTATCAAATACAATGTATATACAATTTGTGCATTTTTCATTATTTTTTAATGGGATATAACAAAAACTATACAACATTATATTTTCGTTGTGAAAGATATGCATCATTTCAACACATATTACATGCCATAGGGAATATTGAAACAAGGCCTCCATCATGATTTCAAGTAAAATGTGTAATATTACAATTGAATAATATGAAGCATCTATATTATTTAAAGGTGCTAAGAACATTTCCCCCTGAAAAATTGAGGATCTCTTATAAAATAAGTCCCTTTAAAATATTATTTTTTTTGACCAAGTTATTTCATATATTACTATCTCTAGTTGTCTGCATACCCAGACTTGAATATGTGTATCCCTTCGCTGATCCAAAGTAAGTACAGTCAAAAGAAACAAAACAATGTAAAAGATTAAAACCAAATTAACGCACAATTAGAAGCAATACATGAGTAAGTTTCTGTTACAAAAAGGAATGAGACTAAGTAGAGAGTAACACCATATCTATCTTTACCCTCAAAATTCACACAGTGCTGAAGCAAACTTCACAAAAATATTTTTACTAGAAAGTGGCCATTAGTTGAAAAGTAACTTGTTACATTAAATTACACAAATCTTTACTAAAAATCCCAAATCTAGTAAATGCATTAATCTGATTGGTAGACACTAATCAATTATATTTATTTACCACTTGCATAATTAAAATATTAAAACTGATAGATATTCATGAAATTGTCCCCAGAAATGATTTTAAAACACATGATGACAGATTCCACAAGATGATTCCAGTAGAAAAATAAATATTGTGGTATGAGATATCACATTGTTCTTTAATGTTCTTGTTCTTCCAGTTGTTTCTTCAATTTATCAATACTGCTTTCTTCTATTACTACATTCTAATGAAATAATTATTATAATAACTAAGAGAGGTAAGGATTGGGTTCCTATTTTTCTCAAAAGAATAAAATCTTTACAAGTTATAATAAACATGAAGCACTGAGGATGGTATAGGTGGAAGCCAGCCACGCTCACATCACAAGAATCTTTGGTTGTTCCTGTGTTACTGTAACAAACTTGATACAATGTTACAGACAGACAGGCCTAGAACGGACAGAACCAGGGGGGGGGGTCACACCACGTGATGAGCTGTATTTTCGTTTCTTTTGGCCTTCAGTTTATTAAAGTTTAGGAGACTGAGACATTCAGTCAATGATGGACAACTGAATTTTGGTGATACTAAGATGTTGAACAGTGTTGTTGAACAGTAATAAGTTAGCAAAGTAACCTCCAGATGATGGACATATTGTATCAATGTCTTTAAATACTTACAGGCTTATCTTTCTGTTCTTTACTTTTTTGCCCTGGTTCATCATCCTAAAACACATGAATAATTGGACATTTTATTCCCAGGTTATATTGCAATTAATCCTATAAAATACCAAATAATACCACCATTCCAAATGCAGGGTCTAATTTTACAAAACCTAATAAAGAAATCTAATATCAAACTAAAATTCGAGTAAAAATTATAAAGTTATAAAAAGGGAAAGAGGTTTTCTAAAAAAAAATTGTGTTTTCATAATCCAATGCCTATGACATGCAAGGGATATAACTTAAAGGATTGTGCAGAGATTTTCAGAAATCTTTATGCATATCGGGGACACTGACACCGATTCAAGTTTCAGTCAGAAGTCCTGTTCTTGCAATTCCACAAAAAGTAAACGTTTTAAGATGTCTCTGTCGCAAAAGCTATCATTGATAAAAAGGACCTTTGTGATGGTGAAGTCATAGTAACCACATAGTTTTAGTGGAATTGTAAGAGCTACAGATATCTGAATGAAAATTGAAATGGTGCCAATTTATGATACTAGTGTCCCCGAGATACATACAATTTTAAGAAAACCTCTTTAGAATACCATTAACTATTCTACTAATTGGATTTGCATTCTGATAAAAAAAGCAAACTAATTAAATTGGCTACCTGCATATCATAATCATAATCTTTTACAGCTTCCTGTCTAGGATTAAGGATCTGATGAGCTGGTTGAAAACCTATTCTATGTTCACTGATGAAATTAAGGTGAGATTTGTCTACAGTTTCAAGTGGAAATTGATCCTAAGATAAATAATAATAAAAGCAGGGTTTGAGAGTAGAAATATAACTAAATGTAGGATTTAAAGCACCACCATATACTTAATATATAATACAGACTAAAGACGCAATCTACATGTACTTATAATTAGAAAACAAATTTGTTTCTTTTTGTAATATTGTTGTCTCCATTGTAATTTATTTGTTTATTTGTTTGTTTGTTTTAAATAAACAAAACAATCAATTTCCTACACTGTCTCATTCTTATTAAGCTATTTTAAAAAAATTAAATTGTGTTAGAACCAGTTTCTTGATAATGACAAATTGTGGGATAGCTAAACCACAAGTATAGCAACAAGACAGTCTCTTTGAGTTTCGTTATCCCATAATTCATCATTTTTAGCAAAAAAAGGGTCCTACATGACATGCTTTGATTGGTTTAAAGTAAAATCATTAGAACAGGACTGCAGAAGAAAACTTGACAGATTACGAAAAAGTATAAGAAGAACAAAAAATTTGAATTGGAATTTAATTCTTATTAGATTGTTTAAGACTTGACCACCTTATGATGTCACGCATGACCCTTGTACTTGTAGATTAACGTCATAAGAATGTTTTATAACGGAAATTGTAGGAGCTGCAGACAGGAAAGTTAGAATAGGACAAATAAAAGCTTTATAATTCTATGATATACAAACAAAATCCAGAAAATTCTTTTTGAAAACCATAAATAATATTAAAGATACAGTCAATTTAATGCAGGGGTTTTCAACCATTTTCTTTTGTGGGATCCTTGATCCCATTTCGTTCCACCTTTCCCCCAAATAATACTATTTCGTGATTTTCTTTTATGTTATCCCTGTTGTTGAAGCCTGGCTGAATAGAATGACTGAAATCATAATTCTCTGAAAGTTTTATGCTACACTACAAAGTGCAACGCATAAAAATTTTGAAATTACCCCTGATTGGAAGAAAGGATCGTTGTTATTAAGTTGTTATCCTTGTGAAAGATAGCTCGATATATACATGCATAAGTCTCATCAACATCGGAAAAAGACTATATCCTGTCTAGAAGCCAAATTTGATGTTTTTATTAAGTCAAGAGCAATAAGTCACATCTGATTATTATTGACTGAGACCTCATCAATATATACATGCATACCAAGTTTTATCAAGATTAGATGAAAACTGTAGACTCTATCTTGCCTACAAGCCAAATTTGAAGAGTTTTTACTAAGTCAAGGATAATAACTCCAAAAATGTTCCTCAGACTATTACCAAATACTTAGATCTTATCAATATATTCACTAATACCAAGTTTCATCAAGATTGGATAAAAACTGTAGCCTCTATTGTGGATATAAGTCAAATTTGACCTATTTCTAAATAAGTCAAGGGCAATAACTCCAAAACCGATCATCTTCATGTTGATGTATTTCCTTCTTTTTTTTCCAACAGCTTCAGTGAAAATTTAGAATCTGAATCCAAATCTAGCAGATCTTGTAAAGTAGTGTACCTGTATTATGTATTAAATACAATTAAAATGCGTCTCACCATTAAAACGTGTCCTGATAAAAAAACATGTCCCTACATTAAAATGTAAAGAAAATAATTAAAGTAACATGCTTACCTTTTTATCCGTTTTAGCTAAAATAAAAGGAAAAAACCATCTTATTAATGCTTAATTACTTAGTTTAATCAAACAATAGAAAGATACCTTGCCAGGCAAGGTAACATACGCCCACTGGCAGCTGTCAGAAATGATTAAACAGTCTTTAGTGACTACAGGGTTGCACAATATAGCTAATAGAGTGAAACGTCAAGTCAGACACCATATTTCGGTGAAATATTATCCGATCATCGCGAAAATCGATAGGGATCATCTTCATAATGACATTGACATACAAAATAAAAATCAAAAGAATCTGTAAAGAATTGTAGCCTGTAGAGTGAGCACGAGTTGCACAATATAGCTAATAGAGTAAAACGTCAGGTCAGACACGATATTTCGGTGAAAAATTATCCGATCATCATGAACATCGATAGATCATCATGAAAATCAATAGGGATCATCTTCATAACGACATAGACATACAAAATAAAAATCAAAAGAATCTGTAAAGAATTGTAGTCTGTAGAGTGAGCACGAGTTGCACAATATAGCTAATACAGAAAAACGTCAAGTCAGACACGATATTTCGGTGAAATATTATCCGATCATCACGAAAATCAATAGGGATCATCTTCATAATGACATTGACACACAAAATAAAAATCAAAAGAATCTGTAAAAAATTGTAGCCTGTAGCGTGAGCACGAGTGGCACAATATAGCTAATAGAGAAAAACGTCAAGTCAGACACGATATTTCGGTGAAAAATTATCCGATCATCACGAAAATCAATAGGGATCATCTTCATAATGACATTGACACACAAAATAAAAATCAAAAGAATCCATAAAGAACTGTAGCCTGTAGAGTGAGCACGAGCCAAATGTGAACGGATGGACGGACGGACGGACTGATTACAATATACGCCCATCTTACGTGTGGGCGTATAAAAAGTCAATAGGCAAGGACACTAATAGATAGATTCTATTTACTATATAAAAGAATCAAAGAGACAATTTCATCTCAATTATTCCTTCCTATCATTCTTTAAGGTCAAATTGTCACAAAGGTGACAACTACTTGACTGTATGATGTATGTTTCTCAAGTTTGTCAGAAGCAATTTACATTCTTTGATTTTAGGATCATTGAAATGAAAACACAGAAAGAAAAAAGAATAAGTTCAAAAATCAGTACCTTTTGACTCAGCATCAGGTTTATTAAGCTGGTTTTTCAAGTCAAAACTTTGCTCTGGATTACCTGTAGTCTTAACTTGTTCATTTCTCAATTCTGGAGAATTTGTTTTACTTTTTACAGGAGACTCTTCATTTTTGCTTTTAACATCATCAGAGGGTTTTAGATGATCAGGAAGCCCTGGGAGACTCTGTCCTAATTTAAGACTACCAATTTGCTGGTCTGGCTTTAAGCTTCCCTGTCCAGTCTTTTGTCCTTGTGGGCCCTCTGTTCCTGGCTTTTGCCCTAGTTTTTGTTGTAAATCCTGTAAAACTTCCTGCTGTCCCTGCTCTTGTCCTGGCTGTTGGCCCTGCCCAGCTTGCTGTTGTCCTTGCTCTTGTCCTGGCTGTTGTTCTTGTCCAGCTTGCTGTTGTCCTGGCTTTTGCCCTAGTTGTTGATGTAGATTCTGTAAAACTTGCTGTTGTCCCTGCTCTTGTCCTGGCTGTTGGCCCTGCCCAGCTTGCTGTTGTCCTTGCTCTTGCCCTGGCTGTTGGCCCTGCCCAGCTTGCTGTTGTCCTTGCTCTTGCCCTGGCTGTTGTCCCTGCCTAGCTTGCTGTTGTCCTTGCTCTTGCCCTGCATGTTGTCCTTGCTCTTGCCCTGCTTGTTGTCCCCATCCAGCTTGCTGCTGTCCTTGCTCTTGCCCTGGCTGTTGGCCTTGCCCAGCTTGCTGTTGTCCTCGCTCTTGCCCAGCTTGCTGTTGTCCTTGCTCTTGCCCTGCGTGTTGTCCCTGTCCAGCTTGCTGTTGTCCTTGCTGTTGTCCTATTTGTTGTCCCTGACCAGCTTGCTGTTGCCCTGGTTGTTGTCCCTCTCCAGCTTGCGGCTCTTGCCTTGCTTGTTGTCCTTGCTCTTGTCCTGGCTGTTGTCCTGGTTGCTGTCCCTGATTAGCCAGCTGTTCTTGTCCAACTTGCTGCTGTTGCTGGTTTGGCATAAAATTAAACTTAGTTTGGTTTGAATCTTCTTGTGGACTATATTGTTTGTTACCCAGCATACTGTGACTTCCCCTGTAAATACAAAGCAAACTCAAACAGAAATCTTTAAAAACATCAATTCTCTTAATTATATAGCTAATAATGTCACAGGCAACCAATTATACTCTTGAACCACAAGATAGAAGAGTTCTTTATTTATCTATTTTCCCACTGAAAGGCTAATTACTATTGGAAGGTATGCTTATTCTTTGATCCATGATTGTTATTGTTTACATATGTATAAGTATATGCAATTCCATTAAAAGTAAGCGTTTTATGACTTCACTATTGAAAGCTGCTATTGATATATAAGTATAAGGACCTTTGCGATAGTGATGTAATAAAACACAGTGTTGCTGGAATTGCAAGAACCACAGACATCTGATTGAAAATGGGAATGGTGCAAATTGATGGTATCCCTTTAAATCTGCCAAATTTATGTTTTGGTTTCAGCAATGCATATTATTATAAAAATAGAATAGAGCATGCCCATTGTGTCAGTATACCTTCTTAGCAATTGTTTAAGCATATCACTAAGCAGCTTCTATGAAAAAATTGGAGTGTTTATACTTAGATAAATCAATATGATGGTCACTTACACTAAGTCCTTGAATAAAGAGGTAACGTCTATTCCATTTTGGATCAAAGGGTTTCTAACTGCATCTTTACCAATAGAATTAGTTAAAATATTAATAATGTTGCCAATTGGTTGTTTGCACGCCCTGAAATAATCCCAAAAACATTTCATTAGCAACATCTCTATAACATGTCTTATAACTCTAATACAGAGGAGCCCAAATCTAATAACAAGAATCTAGGAACAAGAATTTAGTATTTTTTATGTAAATTACCAATCCATTTTCAGTACAACTGTGGTTGGCAAAAAATTATCTATCAGGAGTTGCATACATGAAAGCAGGCGTTTTGAATTAGAAGAGACATAACTCTAATTATGACCAATAGCATAATACAACCAGTAATTTGCACACTGAACAGAAATTTGCCGGTAAATGTGGCTCCGCTGTATATTAAATGACCATTTCCTTGAAGTGTCATGTGGCGCCAGGGAGGGTATGTTTACTCTTCTAGCCACTTTTCTGGGTTTCGTTTTGCACTTTGGCTCTTCAGTAATTGTTTTTTTTAATTTCCTTTTGTTGCAAAAAAAGACTCAACATGAGAGCCATATATATGACTTTGATAGCCTATTGAGCATCAATGATAGTAAACCAGGAAAATATGGTTCTTGCAAGGTCGTTTTAGTTTGAAGGTGTTTTTGCACATCAACAGCAGTTGTTAATGCAACTCCAATGCGACTGAATTGTTAGTTGTATTTGGAACAGATGACCAATTTCATTATTTCCAACCATATGCAAAGGGCACCTTTAGGTGTAAAATAAAAAAGATAACTTGCTTAAGATCACATTTTTTTTCTGATTGAGTATTCTTCATTATTTCCTCTTGTAAACCTGATTCAACTTGTTGCAATCTTTCATTTAGTCCACTTCTATCAGCTTCACATGCTTTCTGGAGAGGAAAAATATATATTTTCAAGAATTTTCAAAGTCATTGTTTCGTGATTTAACATCCACATAAACACAGTTACTTATTTTGATAAAAATTGTTCAAATGAGAACAAATTTGAGATGATTATTTAGAAGATATAGTCCGACATGAATAGCCCTAATTTCCATTCTAATTAACTGCAGCTAATTACAGTGAAGCATTTAGCAATCAAATAAAAAAAACGGGGCAATCTGATTAATATGCAAATCTGAATAATTTTTTTCGTGTTTCTTCAATGGGTGACTATACATGATCTAGCAAAATTGTTATGCATCTTCTGTTTTGGGTATTTTGATATTTAACCTATCAACTGCTCTGTACCATAAGAGACAACAACTTTTGATGTTATTGGGTCAGAATTAGGGCTTGGTAAAATGATTGAAATAATCGATTTATACTTTTGATTATCGATAACCAAATTTCATAATCGATCATCATCCACTGCACCCTTTAACAAGTAGTCATCTCTTCCACATAGCTTTCCTTCAGCACATAACTTGCTCACAATAACCTATAATAACTGATCAAAGCAAGAATATACCTCTATGAAGCAAAAGTAGCCCATGAAATTAAGAATTTTTGGCATGTTTTTAATATAGTATTTGTAGTGTTGTTCAATTAAACTATTTTTCATTATTAATTCATTATTGATTGGTAGTCTGTCATCAATAATTGATCACAATTAGGTAATCTATACCCAGCCCTAGCACCAATTTTTCAGAACACGACTCAAACATAATTCTTGTCAGATCATGAATGACAAAATTTAGGCCTAGTAACCTGCAGAAAATAAACCCTACACTGCATTTCAATAAAATTTTGTGGTAATCTCTAAAATAAATGGAATCTACTCACACTACTTTCAACACAATCATCAGCATTTTCCTGAATTGAACGTCTATCCGTCATACATTTATTCTTTTCATCAAGATACTTGCTAGCTCTCGACCCAACTTCTTCCAAACGCTTTTCTGCAGTGATTTTCATTGTGGCTTGATTTGTCACCTCCCTTTTCAATATAGTAATTTGAGTTAAAAGTTCTGAGTTCCGTGAAGACACACTCCAATAATTAAACCCAATAATACACAAGGCTACACTTAGTCCTATTAATAAGAATGGTGGTGAACGACCACTTGGTCGCAAGGCGCCTCTTCCGTTTGAAGATGTCATTGTGTTCTCTGATCCTTCTATCTTTATGGAAGGCATCAAAATTATGTTCCTTGACCAAACTTGCTGTTATTTAATATCAATGTTATATTCAATAGGCTTCCCTAAAATATAGAAGAAATGTACATGAAAACATACACCTGAAGGACTTTGAGTTGTTATAACTTACTGTTATTCTATTCAATAGGCTTCCTACAAAAAAGAGAGAAATAAACATATACAAAACATAAATGAAACTGATACTTGATATGTCTTTAACACTGGCCTGAGGGTCTGAGATAAACTAAAATTTATCAGAAAAAGGAATCTTTGCAAGTAGATCTTTGAATTGTTGATACAAAACACACTCTTCATCTATTTTTAAAATAATAGGAGATCAACTGATACATTTAATGTGGTTTATACCTAAAACTGACACTTATACTGAATATCTTAATTTTCTTGTCATACAGTTTTGAGAGTTACTGATAAGAATACTTTTTTTGAGATATTGAGACATTTTCCTTACCCAACATACTTTCCATGGGTTCAGGGATTATAAAAATAAGTTATTCCAATCTTGTGTATAAATTAGGATTTATTAATTATTATATGAAATGGAATATTGGTTTCAAACTAAAAGTCTTAGAATAAATTTTGATAAAAATAACCATGGAGTATGGACACACTTTATCAATTAGCTTATCTTTCAATACAAAGCAAATTTCCAAGCAATATAAAAATATTTTGGTTTAACTTTTTCACATTAAATTTAACTTACAAAATTGTTTTTAAATTCATATCAAAATTCATTAAATGAAACTTGTGAAGAGATATGATATGCATGATAAGATAAGATAAATTATTATATCAAATACACACATTAAACACATCATACAATGAATGGTAATTTGAAAAGTCTAAATATAGACACAGCTAGCTTTGTAACAACAATCACTGGTTAAATGCAACATTTGTTTTGACATGTTTTCCCTTCGTCCTCGGACGTAAAACTTTTAGGCCTATCTGTGAATTTTGTTCCATAAAACTAAATGCAACTTAAAGGCCTGATCAGTTTTCTAGACTAGCATGAGGTAAAATAGTCACAGGTACCTTATCATCAATATTAATATTAGCTTAGCTACATACTTTCCAAACATTTCAACTTCTCCGCACCACCCCCACCCCCCTTTAAGACAATGGAACGGTCATGGTTTTACTCAATTACAGCATATCAAAAATGTACAATTTACACTTCGTTGCAACGAAGGCCAAATCTATGCAAATTACACACACCGTAAATTATAGGTGAACACAAAAACTTGAATAGAAGGCTCAATCGAGGTTACACACTTAAAATACACAAGCTAGTCTATATATAGTTCCAGCTATTAACTTCACAAATGATAATACAAATCAAAACTACGATTTCTAACCTGTTTCAATACATTAAAATATATAAATGTTCTGGGGTCTTAAACATTTCCTCCTTTGCCACAGTAAGAAAGGGTACCTGTTGACGTGTTGCCCAAGTAAAGTAAACTAGACCTGATTATCCAGCTCAATAATCAATTTAATAATAATGACACTGTTAGTGCACGTCACGTGACTTAATTGTATCTAAAGCTGCAGAGAAAGGGCCACTTGAAGATATTGCCGGTTGGGTAATAACAACCATCAACAGCAACTACACTTGGTGTCTGTGTTTTGCAGACAAACCCTTGAAAACATCTAATATAACTTGAAACACCACATAGAATATGAAAAAGAGACACGAGAGCGACGAAATATGTAGGCCTATATTGAAATATTTGCTGTGTGGACTCTCCGTAACTTAGGCTTTTTTTGTAATTGCTCGCTAGGCTTCCCGAAGGCAAGGGTGATGAATGAGTTCCAATATGAAATGTGATAAAATCAGAAATTAAAACCACGTAGGTGGATATCATATAATGAGATTATAGAAAAAAAAATGATGTGGAAATATAGGCCCTAATAATTGAATGGAAACCCTTTATCATGATAAGTTACAGCGTACATGTATCCTCGGCTTATATTTAGTCCCTTGCTCCGATATTTTGTAAAAGGTAACAGAACATAGCAGCCACAATCAACTGGTAATCGTTTTTTTTTTCAGCTAGTCATATACTGAGGTTCTAGGTGTGGTATTAGACCGATGTCCAACACCAATTTACAATCATCCTAAAGATAATTCAATATTATGTTAGAGAAAACGATACTTATCAGTGGCGTTTCTATGTGAGGTGTACGCTAGTGGCATAGGAATTTTAAGAACCCCAACGCTTGTACCTCACCCCCCCCCCCCCCCCTCCCCGTGAAAATGATAGCGACCTACCTGGCTATAAGGCCTATACAATTTCAATTTAGTAAGCTAGATAATTACGACTTAAAACTAATTTAATGGTTGATATTCTTACTCTGAAATCGTTCTCGAACATCTGTGACATTGATCGTAAAGGCATGTCGTATTTTCCTTATTTAAGAGGCAAAAATCAATCATGTAAAGATGTATATAGGCCTACCATTGAGCTATTTCGCCGATGAGATGTGTCGGCTGAAAATATTCCATATCATATATGTCGAAAATATCAGAGACTAGTATAAGAATCAGTAGTTTCGGACCATACTAAAATTAAGAGCCTATGAAAAATGAAAAGGTTACGAGTAGTTCGTTGGTCAAGTATATGACTGAAGTAAGATTAACCAATCAAATATGTCTCGAATTTAATCCGAGTTTGATTATATTAACTGTATTATTGTATATACGTTACTTTAGCAGGCCTAAAATAGTCGCATGGTTGTCTAACACTCATGCCTCTAATTCTAAAAGTAGATATTTATTCATTAATCGATTTCTATGCTAGGTCTGTATATCAGGATAATTTAAGACTGGTGCATATTGATGCTATCAGTGTCTCTTATACACATACAATTTCTAGAAAACCTCTTTACAATCCTTATCAATACAAATACATTACATTATATAAAACCCTATCATAATTCAGAAACAATTAAACGCTCTAGGGCAGATATAGACTAATAACAGACTAATAAGCTTATCTGATAAGCTAATAATCACGAAGCTCGGGGCATAAAGCCTGGAGAGATAATTTTGAACATGGGAACAAAGAAAAAATAAAAAACTACAACATTTTTCTAAATTAGAAACTTGTGCCATTGCAAATATATGGATTGTTAAAAACCCAGTTTCTGAGACTAGGGTATGATTGATGAAATTGATGGTGAATCTGTCCCTTTAAGCCGATTGCTGAGTGATAGAATATTCTAAACGGATTGAAGCGATACATTCACCATCCTTTCGATCAAGCGCATCTTGGTCTCAGAAATTAATTAGAATTTGCCAGGAGCTTGAATGTTTTATTCCAAGAAGTAGTTGGATACTAAAATGGACACAGCTGTCATTCATAGTTTGGGAATTATATTTTCTTATTTTGTCACGGGATCAGACACAGAGAATCACAGTATGACATAGCCTCGACTTGAAGAAACCCCAATTCAATCACCGAGTAACAACTAGATTTTTACACCTTTTCATTTTTAAGTATTATTTATTATCAGAATGTATTTACTTAATAGTTATTATATGATATAAAATTTCATATACAACAAGTTTTACATCAATACAAGTTTTATTAAATTCAACCAAATTATTTTCACTTTATGATACAGCTTGTTCTATCTCTTAATCTATCGCACAATCTATTCTACAGGAATTAAAAGAGACACAGAGGAGTTGGCTAATCATTTTGAAAGTGAATTCCATTAATTGTTGTTTAAAAGGGAAACTCTTGTTCCACAAAATTTATAATTTTCTGACATAACTCTACAATTGCATGATTTAAATGAAATTTTAATTAAAAGCTGTAGACTGATACACAAAAATACAATCGGTGAAAAAGGACATAGAGTTGGCTGCAGTTCTGACCACACACTATAATGTAGACATTTTGCACAATTCCCTATAGGATGTAAACCATAGACGTTGCTTGCTCTAATCAGATGTGTAACCATGATGTCTCCTGATCTTACAATATATAATAGGGTGTAATGGTGCAGTGGCGGAGCCAAAGGGGGTGGGGACAGAGGGTACAGTCGCCCTCCTCGCAGCCCATAAAGAGTTTTTCGGGCAAAAATCTCATAATTAGGTTAGAAATTCTTTTTTACTAAATCAAGGGCAATGACTCCAAAACCGTTCATCTAATTATAACCAAATTCAAACTTGACCGATATCTCATGAATATATACATGAATATTAAGTTTCATCAATATCGGAAAAAAAATTGTAGTCTATAAAGAGCCTACAAGCTTGTTTTACTAAGTCAAGGGCAATAACCCTGAAATCGTGCATCCAATTATTAACAACTTCGAACCTGACCGAAATCTCATAAATATATACATGCATACTAAGTTTCATCAAGATGGGATCAAAATTGTAGCGTTCATTGGGTATACAAGGCAATTTTAACGCATTTATACTAAGTCAAGGGCAATAACTCAGAAACCGTTCATTCAAATATTACCAATTTCGCACTTGGCCGAGATCTCATCAGTACATACATGCATACCAAGTTTCATCAAGATTAGATAAAAACTGTAGCCTCTATCGTGCATACCACAAATGTGGACGGACAGAGGACCGACCAACCGACGTATGGACAGGGGCGACGGCTATATACGTCCACATTTCCATGTGAGCGTATAAAAATATATTTTGAAAAAGCAAATCATGTGATTATTTGCAAGAGTTCGATATTTCATTTCATGTGTCGGACAAAATTCTTTTGTCAAAATTTCGTGAAAATGACTAATTATTGATTCCGTGTAGCAAGGCAGCAATCCCTTCATTCCTATTATGATTATATCCATCATACATGTATTTCCAAAGTTTGTTCTGATAAAGAGATTCCACGTGTCCTATACGTCTGTAAAGCACGCGAACAACATACCAATGTGCTCAGTTAAAGTTTAACAATCATCAAATCAACTTAATATTTTACTATCGCTGACTGTAGCACGATCCGGCTTTCGTATTCAACCGTTAAAAGTGTTGTTAAAAGCTGTAACTATTGGGATGTCTAACTATAGGCAAGACACAGTTCATCCAGTGAGATATTTTATTTGATTATAACTTGTTTTAATTATACATATAATATGTTATGCATATTAATGAGATTATATGTTGATAAGTTAAGTTAATATATGTATGAGATTAATGCCCACCTTCGTCTCTAATTAGTACAGTTTCTAATGTTGATAGCTTTATAGAATCCCCTACAGGCTCCATCTAATATAGTTCAATGTGACCCCAAGGACGAATGTCCGGGGTAAATGACGTAAATCATTTTTCCTCCAATTTCCATCCATGGGCTCAGCGATTCCTCCCCATTTCCCCCTTTGGTAGTAATTCCTCCCCGGGTTGAGAAGATCTGGTAAATAAGGTACAAGTCTTACCCAGGTTCTTTATTGTGAGGTACAAGTCTTGTACTTGAGGGACAAATTTCACTTTTGGGGATGGGTTTAAAAGGACAGATGCGCTATTTTGGGGGGTTGATTTGAGTCATGGATATATTATATGTATATTGGTTACAAATAATCTTTGAAATATCAATGCCGAGAAGTTTGGCCAAGATCCAGCTGGTAGAATTTAAGTTGTTATTCATTTGCAAAATTGTTGTCAGGCAGAGTGTTAGAAGAGGAAGGGGGCGGGGAGTCGGAAGTATCCGGAGGGGCAATTTTATTTTTAGTTATATTTCGGTCATTCTGTCTGAAACTCTAGTGTAATAAGATTGTATAAAATACGAGATAATATATCAATACTCAATAAAATTTTATTTTATATAATAATAATATGATTCAAGACTCGCCGAGTCATATAACAATATCTTTTATGATTAGTTTTGAATCAAGTTTCCAAAATGTTGAATGTATTCATCAACGCTGAGCTGGGAATCTTGATTTTTGTCTGCTGCAGCAACCATTCTCGATGCAGGATTACAAATATCCTTTATTAACAGATGAACTGATAACATCACAAGGGACGACTTTTTCAGTCAAGTATGTGTCAATTTAAATCTAGTTAAAATGAGATTACAATTCCGTATATTTTTTTGTTTTCTGATATTATAAGTCTACATTATAATCTAAGAGGTTTTCTATCAAAAGCCAGGCCCAATATTAGTACTTTCAATCAATCAAAACGTGTCTTGATAAAATAGGGAAGAGGGTGATATCGAAACCTAAAATAGAGCAATATACAACCTCTATGGGTCTCGCTATCCCACAATTCTTTATTTTACATGAAACGCTTTGACTGGTTAAAAGTACTACCTTTAAGACAGGTTTTTGGTAGAAAATTTCTTAGATTAAAATGTAAACTTAAAACATCAGGAAGCAAAAAAGATTGTAATCTAATTTTATTCGATTGGTGTCCAGTGTCAACTAATATTTATCTACATGATCGCTTGAAGAACCATGCCATTTCGAAGCTCGAAAAGCGACCATTTGTGAAATTTTTCGGATTTAATACTAGAGTAATTCCCCTTGAAATTCTTGAATAACTATTGTTATATACCCCTCAAAATTTGAAATCGCCAATGACCGAATGGGTTTTGCACCTTTTTCTTGACATGAGACGCCTCTTGATCTCTGCTCTTCAATTGCTGATTCGATAATATAATTCGACAATAAGTATATTAAATAATTAAAAAGAGAACTGCTATATATATTTAAACCTATTAACAAATAAATTGTTTAACTAAATGTTCATTATTATCTAGTGCAGTGATGTGTTTTAATTAATTTTGATATTTTTATAATTATAAAGATAATATGTTATGCATATTAATGATGGTACAAATTGATTGACAAGTTAATAGAAAATATGCACGAGAGTAGTTTCGGCTTTTGGTTTCGCTACCCCACAATTCCATATTTTATCTAAAAGCGAGTTTTATATGACACACTTTGGTTGGTTAAAAACATTATCTTTGGGAAAGGTTATTGTTCAGGTCATCTACGTTTCAAGATTACCGAGATACGCTGCAAAGGGACGGAGAGTCGGGTAGAACCAAATGCTATACTTTTATGAGTCACAGATAGTAGTCTTTTTTATAGCCTGCCGTTAGGTTCTTCATTGTATGGATCATGATTTGGACACTTCAAGGGATTGTAAAAAGATTTACAAAACTTTTTATTTGTATCGGGGTAAATAACATCATCCATATGCACCATTCCAATTTACAATCAAACTTCTGTAGTTCCTACCATTGCACTAAAACTAAGCGTTTTAAGACGACACTGTCGAAAAGGGCTTTACTAAGTACATTTGAAATAATGACATCATTAAAAGGCTTACATTTAGTGCAATTGTGGGAACCATTGAAAATCGGAATGGTGCAAATTGATGCTACCAGTGTCCCTGATACACAAAAAAAAAGTTTATAAAAAACACTGTCTAATCCCTTTAAACTGCGGAAAAGATGACATTCCGTAAATTACTCTATGAGTATAAGGTTACGAGAAGCAGAATAAATAGATGTTTTAGAAAATGGTTTTTCTCATTAATGTAGAGAGAAGAATTTCTTTTATAGGAATTCTAGCTTTAAGAATACACTCTCCTACAGCTACAATTTGTGATCATTGGTTAAATAAACAGGCATGCATTGCATTGATCCAAGCACCTAATCGAATCCATATACGGTAATCGAGCAAATTGATTCTGAAGCTACGTTACTCTGATAACTTCCGCTTAACTGGCGTCTTAAATGATTACTCCGTTTCTGGGATAGACAAAAATAGGTTGACACCCTTATATTGTAATATTTTCACATACCATCTATATACAATATGACAGTTTCTCATTTCGACACATTTCAGTCGGGATGTCTATCCATAAAAAGGCAATAAAGGCATAAAATACTAATACTCATTTATTCTTTTTAAGGTGGGGTTGGGTGGGGCAGCTGCTTATCGCCATCATGACAAAATTTTCAGTTTTATCTATCCTGCAGACAAAATCTGTTTCGGTTTCTTAATCGAATCAGATTTGACAGCGTAATATTGCTGAACAGACTCCAATTTACCGAATGATACAGGGATTCTGTCTGATTATTATGACACTAGGTAATTCAACTGATGTATCTATTCAATTATTGGTCAAGTTTGAGCAAAAGTAAGAATTTATGTTGATTTTTAGAGGTAGTATCTTTTTAAGTAATTTTTTTTAAAATAATTGATAAAATAATGAAATGAGTTTTATTCATAAAAAAATTACTAAGAGAAATGAGTTCACGAAACTTAATTAATCAGGCTTATTTTTGATGGCAGCTCAGAAGGCTATTATTGGTTGTTGTATAGGGATATAAGGTATAAAGGTTCGAGTTGTAGACAAGTTGATTTCACTTGGAAGCGGACGTTAACTTGTCATCTACCACTACCACCACAAGTTGAGTTACTACTAAACGAGCTGTTATACTGACAACATGGTAAACCGGGTAACTGTTATATTTTTTGGTAAGATAATAATATATATGAATTACTTTATGATACCCAACATTAATTTACAGTCATCGTAAGGTAATTTAATATTATGTTAGAAAAAGTGCATCTTCGAAGGTGTGTAAAATCTTCACAAAACAGAGCTGGAAATGACTATATATACTATTATAGTGATGTGATATTAGTATTGTAAAGGAAGCCTGTTAATCTGCTGTCCACAGTGATGGGTTAAGAGTGCTAGTATAGAATGTTTGTTCAGACGAAAACAATTAAAGCGATTCATACCACAATATAAATCTTGTATTTTTCAGTTTATCTCTGTGCTGTACACCAGGTGTATTCAGGTAAAATATATTCTGTATTGTTTTTATGTATATCTCTTTTCTCAGTCAATAGCCCGACAAAGCTGGTCCTAAACGTGACGATATATCAGTGACGATATGTCAGTTTTGTCAAAATGTCAAAATAACCGGACTTGTTATTGTCAAACACCAGGATAGGCCTAGTGAACCTCCATTGAAGCAACCAATTTCAATGCTGATCACGTTACAAGATGGTGTGCACTTCGGCAAGCTGATGGTATAAATCTTTCTAAACAAGCTAGAACTATGTGAATTAATGGTGGAAGGATATGTTCTATTTTGTATTTTGCTATTGTAAGGTGGCAAAAAAATTTTTTTTTTCAGCTATCCTGACGAATATCAGAAGCGAGGCGGGAGTCTCGAGCCTGCTTAAAATACGTAAAGAATATTATATGGTTGATTTTGATGACGACAATGTTTTAACGCACCACAATTGTCATAGATACATTCGAATAGATGATATAAATGGTGATGGTGACATTACATATGAAGAGGTAGAGGCCAACCCAGATACACCCAGATTTCCTATGGAAGTCTTCCTAGCATGGGACGCAAACAATGACGGTGTTCTTAATGATATAGATGTCAATGCAGTGTTTGAGATGGTCCCCGGTACCGGAAATATAGTGGATTTACAAGAATTCTTGACGATCTATTCTTCTAGAATGAATGAAACAACTGGACCAGTAATGAAGATACAGTCTTTTGTCCAGGCTGAGAGAGATTTCTTGATTATAGATGAAAATGATGATAATATCTTGACTAGAGAAGAATTTAAATTGGAATTTAGATTGGCCGACAAAAACAAGAATGGAAATTTGGAAGAAACAGAAGTACGCCACATGTTCCCAATGAGAAGTACTCCCCCAGAAAACATTTGTCCAAACATCTCTGTAAGCTGTTCTGTTGATGACGTGATTCTTCTTTTTGATGCAGCAGACAAAAATCAAGATTCCCAGCTCAGCGTTGATGAATACATTCAACATTTTGGAAACTTGATTCAAAACTAATCATAAAAGATATTGTAATACAACTCGACGAGTCTTGAGTCATATTATTATTATATGAAATAAACTTTTATTGAACATTAATATCTTATCACGTATTTGAAGTAGCGTCGAGATGTTAAACCTTCTTTACTATTACCCTATTCAGGATCCTGGATCGATTGCATTACCATCGCCCCCTATACATCCTTACTATTTCGTTATTGTCTCTCTCCGCTCCCTGCATTTTTTTCATTTCGAACGTCTAACGAGTACGAGAAAGAGAGGGGCGGGTAGTAGCGTTTCTGTTGGAGAAATTTGGCTGTACCGGCGTTTTACCCAGCGGGAGGAAATGGGCCACATTGAACTTCATTGTAGATGTGGCTCCAAATTGGCTGGAAGGGCCGAAATTGTACAATCTGATATAAATAAAACGCAAAAGTCGTAAAAGATGTTCTAACTAATACTGCTTGATTATCGCTCAGCGTTTGAATAAGTGCTTTTGACAGTTAAAACCGAAAAGGCGTCCTTACTGAGCTGCTACGACCACTAAAAATTAGCGCCATACTAAGCGTGGTATAATCGTGAAGCGTCAGATACCATACGGTTGGCGCCATCATCGCAAATATGCGCCGTTGAGATCGCCACGAAATCAAGAATAACTTTAGACAAACATCATATAATCTCCATAAATGCAATCAAATGATTATACCGGAAATGCGCCTCGGGAACGCATTATGTTCTGGTACGTCACAGATTGACTTTTTCTAGCGTTTTCTTCACGTTTACCGGCGACCAAGCAGTGTAATGGGGTTATTCTCGAGGATAGGAATTTCAGCGGGTCCTTTCAAGCAGTTACAATACAGTCTAAGTATATAGTTTCAAATTCTTGATATTCGTAATAATTATATCCCATAGCTTCATCTTAGAAAATGCTGGAAAGAGGCATTTGTAAGTCTTCCAAGTTAACCCATTTCCTTTGAAGATTATCCTTTAAAATTTCTATTTTCCGCAAATTGTGCGGTCCCTGCAACGTTGCATCAACTATCTGCCATGAATTTTTGAATGACTTTTTCATAAATGCCATCTTTCTTGTGAATGCTCTTAATTCTTTAGCAGACATGTTGAGTTTCTGGGCTTACTTGACAAACTTCACTTTGTTCACAAAAAACTTCACTTCGAAAAATCTTGTCTTTTAAAGTTTAAAATTAACTTCTAAACATAAAATAGACTTGAATTCACTTATCCGTCTCGTCGGACCAAATGTTCTTTTGCAAATTATTCGTGTATGTTCAACAGAAAACCAATTTTTAAAGTATAGACTTCTCAAACTTTTCGTAACAAAAAACTAAAAACTAACTTATTTAATAAAGGGACATAACTCGTCAACTTCAGAACACAGTAATTGAATCAAGTCTGTAACCAGAGCCGTATATACGGCTCTGTCTGTAACAGTTTATGCAGTGAGATATTTTAATTGATTATAATTTGTTTTAATTATACATATAATATGCTTATTTGTATGCATATTAATGAGATTACACGTTGATAAGTTAAGTTAATAATGCACGAGATTAATGTCCATCTTCGTCTCTGTTTGGTACATTTTCTAATGTTGATAGCTTTATAGAATCCCCTGGCTACATCTATAATATATCTATATAGTTCAAGGTGACCCCGAATGTTTGTTCACAATTTACAATATATCCGGGGTGAATGACGTCAAATAAATCATTTTACACGTGCCCCCAATTTCCTCCTCTAAAGCTCAACGTTTCCTCCCCATTTCCATCTCTGGTAAAAATTACTCCCCAGGTTGAGAAGATCTGGTACAAGAAGGTACAAGTCTTACCGAGATTCGTTACTCTGAGGTACAAGTCTTGCATTTAAGGGACAAGTTTTAATTTTGGGGGTGGATTTAAAGGAACAAGTGTGCCATTTTGGGAGGTTGATTGGAATCTTGGATGTATGTAAATAGTCATCTCAGTCAGCGTGACGAATTTGGATGGTATAGAATGAGTCTTCATTATTCCCGATCGCCCAACTATAAATGGTTACAGATAATCCTTGAAATATCAATATCAAACTTGTTTGTCATCAGGCTTATAGCCAGAATTGATTGTTCGAAGGGGCAAGTAATATATCCTTTTGGGCAATTTGGTCTTTAGTAATAGGTCATCCCCCCCCCCCCCTCTCCTTACCTGTCGGTCATCCTGTCTGAAACTCTAATGCAATACGATTGCATCAAAAACGAGATATTAATGTTCAATAAAATTTTATTTCATATAGTAATAATATGATTCAAGACTCGCCGAGTTGTCATATCATATCTTTTATGATTAGTTTTGAATCAAGTTTCCAAAATGTTGAATGTATTCATCAACGCTGAGCTGGGAATCTTGATTTTTGTCTGCTGCATCAAATAGAGCCATCACGTCATCAACAGAACAGCTAACGGAGATGTTTGGACAAATGGTTTCTGGGGGAGTACTTCTCATTGGGAACATGTGGCGTACTTCTGATTCTTCCAAATTTCCATTCTTATTTTTGTCGGCTAATCTAAATTCCACCTTAAATTCTTCTCTACTCAAAATATTATCATCATTTTCATCTATTATCAAGAAATCTCTCTCAGCCTGGACAAAAGACTGTATCTTCATTACTGGTCCAGTTGTTTCATTCATTCTAGAAGAGTACATTGTCAAGAATTCTTGTAGATCTACCTTATTTCCGGTACCGGGAAGCGACTCAAACAACGGTCTGATATCCTTATCATTAAGAACGTCGTCATTGTTTGAGTCCCATGATTGGAAAACTTCAATAGGAAATCTGGGTGTATCTGGGTTGGACTTTACCTCTTGATGTGTTATTTCA